AGAGAGAGCGAGAGAGAGAGAGAGAACGAAAGAGCTCTCGCAAGTGACTGGAAACGAGCGAGAGACTGAGAGAGAGAGAGAGAGAGAGAGAGAGAGAGAGAGAAGGCAAGGCAAGGCAAGGCAAGGCAAGTTTATTTGTATAGCACAATTCATACACAAGGCAAAGTGCTGAACAAAACAAGAAAGCATTAAAATCATAAATAATCACAGAACATTAAAAAGAAAGATAAAAATATAAAATCCCTCAGTTGTAGCACAGCTAAACAGAACTGTCTTTAACCTGGTTTTAAACATTGTCAGAGAGGAGGCCTGTCTCACATCTTCAGGAAGACTGTTCCAGATTTTAGCAGCATGAATCTGAAAAGCAGCCTCCCCATGTTTAGTTCTGACTCTGGGCACTAACAGGAGTCCAGTCCCTGTGCTCCTCAGAGTCCCAGCAGGAGTCCAATCCCTGTGCTCCTCAGAGTCCCAGTCCCAGCAGGAGTCCAGTCCCTGTGCTCCTCAGAGTCCCAGCAGGAGTCCAGTCCCTGTGCTCCTCAGAGTCCCAGCAGGAGTCCAGTCCCTGTGCTCCTCAGAGTCCCAGCAGGAGTCCAGGTGCTCCTCAGAGTCCAGTCCCTGTGCTCCTCAGAGTCCCAGCAGGAGTCCAGTCCCTGTGCTCCTCAGAGTCCCAGCAGGAGTCCAGTCCCTGTGCTCCTCAGAGCCCGGGCTGGTTCGTATGGTACTAACATGTCACTAATATATTTTGGTGAGAGAGAGAGCAAGAGAGAGAGACCAGAGAGAGAGAGCGAAAGAGAGAGAGAGAGAGAGCAAGAGAGAGACCAGAGAGAGAGAGAGCAAGAGAGAGACCAGAGAGAGAGAGAGCGAAAGAGAGAGAGAGAGAGAAAGAGAGAGACCAGAGAGAGAGAGAGAGAGAGAGCGAAAGAGAGAGAGAGAGAGAGCAAGAGAGAGACCAGAGAGAGAGAGAGCAAGAGAGAGAGACCAGAGAGAGAGAGAGAGCCAAGAGAGAGAGACCAGAGAGAGAGAGAGCAAGAGAGAGAGACCAGAGAGAGAGAGAGAGAGCAAGAGAGAGACCAGAGAGAGAGAGAGCAAGAGAGAGAGACCAGAGAGAGAGAGAGAGCCAAGAGAGAGAGACCAGAGAGAGAGAGAGCAAGAGAGAGAGACCAGAGAGAGAGAGAGAGAGCAAGAGAGAGACCAGACAGAGAGAGAGAGCAAGAGAGAGAGACCAGAGAGAGAGAGAGAGCCAAGAGAGAGAGACCAGAGAGAGAGAGAGCAAGAGAGAGAGACCAGAGAGAGAGAGAGAGCCAAGAGAGAGACCAAAGAGAGAGAGAGCAAGAGAGAGACCAGAGAGAGAGAGAGCAAGAGAGAGAGACCAGAGAGAGAGAGAGCAAGAGAGAGACCAGAGAGAGAGAGAGCAAGAGAGAGAGACCAGAGAGAGAGAGAGAGCAAGAGAGAGACCAGAGAGAGAGAGAGAGCAAGAGAGAGACCAGAGAGAGAGAGAGAGAGCAAGAGAGAGAGACCAGAGAGAGAGAGAGAGCAAGAGAGAGACCAGAGAGAGAGAGAGAGAGCAAGAGAGAGAGACCAGAGAGAGAGAGAGCAAGAGAGAGACCAGAGAGAGAGAGAGAGCAAGAGAGAGAGAGACCAGAGAGAGAGCCACAAGAACAGGCGATACTATAATCCGTGCTGGTGAGCGACATGATATGAGGGTTAGCCACACTCACACACGAAGCTAACAAGGCTAATAAGGCTAACAAGCTAACAGTTGTCGGTTGCCATAGAAACGCGGTGCCGCATCTAACATCCGCCCGTGTGGAAACAGACCGCGGAGCTGAGAGCGGAGCTGGTCCTGCACCTTGCCCTGTCGCTTTGGGTTTGAGTTTATGCACAAATATTACAGCTCAGTCTGTACGTTTGCATTGACGCTGTTCCCCGGGACCGTCGGGACACGCTGTTTCTGCGGTTTGTTGACGTCGCCAGATCAGAGCTATAACGTGAGTCCGGTGATGCTAGCTCTGGGTCTCTCTCTTACTTCTCTCTCTGCCTTTGATCTAAGCGAGGCTAACATTCAGGTGACCCTAATTTCATGTTCAAAAAATATATCTCTTGGTCTCTCTCACTGGTTTATCTGGTCTCTCTCTTTGGTTTCTCTCTGGACTCTCTCTGGTCTCTCTCTGGTCTCTCTCTGGTCTCTCTCTGGTCTCTCTCTGGACTCTCTCTGGCCTCTCTCTGGTCTCTCTCTGGTCTCTCTCTGGTCTCTCTCTGGTCTCTCTCTGGTCTCTCTCTGGTCTCTCTCTGGACTCTCTCTGGTCTCTCTCTGGTCTCTCTCTGGTCTCTCTCTAGTCTCTCTCTAGTCTCTCTCTGATCTCTCTCTGGTCTCTCTCTGGTCTCTCTCTAGTCTCTCTCTAGTCTCTCTCTGGTCTCTCTCTGGTCTCTCTCTCTGGTCTCTCTCTGGACTCTCTCTGGTCTCTCTCTCTGGTCTCTCTCTCTGGTCTCTCTCTCTGGTCTCTCTCTCTGGTCTCTCTCTGGTCTCTCTCTGGTCTCTCTCTGGACTCTCTCTGGTCTCTCTCTGGACTCTCTCTGGTCTCTCTCTGGTCTCTCTCTGGTCTCTCTCTGGTCTCTCTCTGGTCTCTCTCTGGACTCTCTCTGGTCTCTCTCTGGACTCTCTCTGGTCTCTCTCTGGTCTCTCTCTCTGGTCTCTCTCTCTGGTCTCTCTCTGGTCTCTCTCTGGACTCTCTCTGGTCTCTATCTGGTCTCTCTCTTTGGTCTCTTTCTGGACTCTCTCTGGTCTCTCTCTGGTCTCTTTCTGGACTCTCTCTGGTCTCTCTCTGGTCTCTCTTTAGTCTTTCTCTGGACTCTCTCTGGTCTCTCTCTGGTCTCTCTCTCTGGTCTCTCTCTGGTCTCTCTCTGGTCTCTCTCTGGTCTCTCTCTGGTCTCTCTCTGGTCTCTCTCTGGTCTCTCTCTGGTCTCTATCTAGTCCAGGGGTCTCCAACCTTTTTCAATCGGAGAGCTACTTTCATACAAACAAACAGGCAGAGAGCTACTCCTTTTTGCAGTCGTAATAAAAATCGATCTAATAATTATGACCAAACTCAGAGAACACACATAAAATACACCATAATACTGTATAACCCTATATTTATACTTATAATAGATATGTAATGGGTCAAAAAGTATTCGTTGAAGTGTATTTGTCAAATTCTAACTCCTTTGGCGAGCTACATGTAAGAGGCTGGCGAGCTACAGGTTGGAGACCCCTGATCTAGTCTCTCTCTCTGGTCTCTCTGGTATCTCACTGGTCTCTCACTGGTGTCTCTCTGGTTTCTCTCTCTCAGGTCTCTCGCTGGTCTCTCTCTGGTCTCTCTCTCTGGTCTCTCTCTGGTCTTGCTCTGGTCTCTCTCTGGTCTCTCTCTGGTCTCTCTCTGATCTCTCTCTGGTTTCTCTCTCGCTGGTCTCTCTCTGGTCTCACTCTCTGGTCTCTCTCTGGTCTCACTCTGGTCTCTCTCTGGTCTCTCTCTGGTCTCGCTCTGGTCTCTCTCTGGTCTCTCTCTGGTCTCTCTCTGGTCTCTCTCTGGTTTCTCGCTCTGGTCTCGCTCTGGTCTCTCTCTGGTCTCTCTCTGCTCTCTCTCTGCACTCTCTCTGGTTTCTCTCTCTGGTCTCGCTCTGGTCTCTCTCTGGTCTCTCTCTCTCTGGTCTCTCTCTGGTCTCTCTCTTCTCTCTCTCTGCTCTCTCTCTGGTCTCGCTCTGGTCTCGCTCTGGTCTCGCTCTGGTCTCTCTCTGGTTTCTCTCTCTGGTCTCTCTCTGCTCTCTCTCTCTGGTCTCTCTCTGGTCTCTCTCTGCTCTCTCTCTGGTCTCTCTCTGCTCTCTCTCTGGTCTCTCTCCGGTCTCTCTCCGATCTCTCTCTGCTCTTTTTCTGCTCTCTCTCTCTGGTCTCTCTGGTATCTCACTGGTCTCTCACTGGTCTCTCTCAGGTCTCTCGCTGGTCTCTCTCTGGTCTCTCTCTCTGGTCTCTCTCTGGTCTCGCTCTGGTCTCTCTCTGATCTCACTCTGGTCTCTCTCTGGTCTCTCTCTGGTCTCGCTCTGGTCTCGCTCTGGTCTCTCTCTGGTCTCTCTCTGGTCTCTCTCTGGTCTCTCTCTGGTTTCTCGCTCTGGTCTCTCTCTGGTCTCTCTCTGCTCTCTCTCTGCGCTCTCTCTGGTTTCTCTCTCTGGTCTCTCTCTGCTCTTTCTCTGCTCTCTCTCTCTCTCTGGTCTCTCTCTGGTCTCTCTCTTCTCTCTCTCTGCTCTCTCTCTGGTCTCGCTCTGGTCTCGCTCTGGTCTCGCTCTGGTCTCGCTCTGGTCTCGCTCTGGTCTCGCTCTGGTCTCTCTCTGGTTTCTCTCTCTGGTCTCTCTCTGCTCTCTCTCTGGTCTCTCTCTGCTCTCTCTCTGCTCTCTCTCTGCTCTCTCTCTGGTCTCTCTCTGCTCTCTCTCTGCTCTCTCTCTGCTCTCTCTCTGGTCTCTCTCTGCTCTCTCTCTGGTCTCTCTCTTACGTGTTTCTACTGTTGATGTTCTTATTTGTGTTGGCGAATCAACAGTTTTGTCATGTCCTTAGCGCTACACAAAAAAAAACATTGAAATGAATTATTGCCATTTCAAGTCATTGGAAGTCACAAACTAGCAATTTTCTTTGGCTCTTGGTGCAAACAATTGATAAAAACAGACAGAAAATGTGATGGAATTACAAGTTCACATTAAATACACACAATAGACAATAGACAGTGCAGGTTAAAGTCACAATATAAGAAATATAGTAAATTATAACCGTTTTGAACATGATTATCAGTAGGTGGTTCCAGAATATTATCTACAATACTGGGTTTATAATACTGATCCAACGAGGAGATTTCCATTCACAACAACAGCCAGAAGGAGTTGTCTAAGGACAGTGGTGAGGATCCATTTAACAACATTTATGGACATCTTTAGGGGTTTGTGAATCTGACTGAAATGTTTCTCATTTCAGCGCCAACATGTCCCTCAACCAGAAGGGGATGCTGCCCTTTCCTCCGCCCATCAGCAAAGACAGAGTCATCCTGGATTATCCAAAGGTAACGAGTTTGTGTTCCTCTTTATTATTATATTTGGGTGAAGTGGGTTAAGGCACGTTCGCTTCATTCCCAAGTGAACCAGAGTTTACTTTAAAGTAGCAATATGTACATTTTTCTTATAAAGTCATCATTAAAGGGCCCTAATCTGTCAAAAGGCATTAATAAAACATGCTCTTTTCCAATACTTCTTTAACTGATAACAGTCGTTCAGAGATATTTGGATTTCTAAATTACTTTTCCAGCCTCTAAATCCTGTTATTGTTTTCATTTCAATGTCCCCCCCTCCACCGTTTCACCAATCAGAAAGTCTGTGATCCGGGCGCCAGAACTCACCGCGTGGAGCTAATCTCACTGGTAAAGAACCATGTGGCGCAGAACTAAAAAAGGTCTCGTTATGATTCTCAAATCATTAACGACAAAACAAGGAATAAAACCAGGATTTATATCTTTGTGAAAAAGGTGTTGGTTATAGATTTGTTGTTGACAAAATTCTTGTCTATTCAGCTGTTATGGTCCCAGCTGGATTCGTCTGCATATCTGGCAACCTGAGTCAGGGAGAGTGGGAGAGGCTGCAGTACCACTTTTGGCCACATTTTTACATACTGCTATTTTAAACTGTGTAAAATCTGCTCAGAAGTGTGTCCACTCAAAACAATCTTGCCTGAGTCCTGGTTCTCATTCCTCACATCTTCAGTGTCAGGAGTCGCCTCAGTCTCCAGGAGGTCTCTGCTCCCTTCACTTATTGGACTCATGTGAAAAGATTCAATCAGAGCCTAAATATAGAGGATTCAACAAGAGAGGCTCCTGTGATGTGCTCCTCCGCCTCAAGGGGCCACAGTAAAGACAGTGTTTTACTATAACAACATTAAAGATAGTGTTTTATGTTTGCCCAAGTCTAATGTAAACAGACTGGAACGGACTCGCTATCACAGGACACTGGACAAAGTCAGATAAATGTAGTGTACAACCTCATATGTGCCGTCATGAAACGTATTTATTTTGTCCCAACGGAAATGTGTTAAAGACAAAGTAACAAATTGTGAACAAGAAATATAGATAGAATATAGGAGGATCTTTGTTTATACCCGAGTGCGCCCCTCGCTGGGTGGGAAGAAGACAGAGCGGCGCAGACTGAAGCATGGATGCGACCAGTACTTTTAAAAGACTCATGCGAATAGCTCTGTATGTAAGCACTTTGACGCAAGAAGATCAGAGGAGATATAAAGACAAGCGAAACATAAGTATGTGAGACCGAACTGAACAAATCCAAAGCCCAGATGAGACCTGGGATGACGAGAAGAAACATTGGTCAGACTCGCCTCTGTCTTGGCACCGATCTGCTGGGACTGGGACTCAGAGACATTTATTCTTACTTCATAGAAAACCCGGGACCCTTTACTCAAGAAGGGTCCGGGGGGAAAATCCATTTCTCATGTTCTTCATCGCGGTAAAGTGGCCCGGCATTTCGCCGTCACGGTAAAGCACATTAAAAGCAGGTTGCCCTTTTTTGCTGTTTTTTACGGTAAAGGTGGAACAGGAAGCCGCGGGGATGAGCAACTAAAATGCAATGTTTAAAATTGATCATTCATTCGTGAACAAGTGCGCAGTGAAACTCTTGTCTATTCAGCTGTTATGGTCCCAGCTGGATTCGTCTGCATATCTGGCAACCTGAGTCAGGGAGAGTGGGAGAGGCTGCAGTACCACTTTTGGACACATTTTTACAAACTGCTCCTTTAATGGTCAAAGAAGTATTGCATAGAAAGGGAATATGGTTCCACTCGTGTGATACAGATGTCAAGGGGTGCAAAATGGGTGGTGGGTTTTAATATGGTTTATTTATATTTTATGCATGTCGTGTGTGTTTTTAATATTGATTTTAACTTGCACCACCTGAAGCACCCCGGCTCCCCACGTGACAATTAGAACACCTGTGCCACGGTACAAAAGGAGATGGGGAGGGGGCAGGAGAAAAAACGGAGAGGGAGCCAGACACGGGAGCCAGACACGGGAGCCAGACACGGGAGCCAGACACGGGAGCCAGACACGGGAGCCAGACACGGGAGCCAGACACGGGAGCCAGACACGGGAGCCAGGCGCAGCGGGTGAGAGCCCCGTGGTCTGGCGGCCCAGGCCGTGGAGACGCATTTTAGCCTGTTTTAGCCTCTGTTTTAGCCCTTTTTTTAGCTTAGATTTGTATTGCTTTTATTTACTTGTTTTTAATGTATTTTATAATAAATTGCTTTTAATTCGCTTTTAATCCAGTGGTCCTTTTTAAATCCGGGTCCGAAGAACCTGTTTTTACACTTGTGACACAGACCCTTTGAATGCCGGCCACAAAAACAATCACAGACATATACAACTGTGCAATTTTCAGCCAAAACAAACATAAATTAGTGTTTGAATGTTATTAATGTCGTTTTGTGTGTTTTCAGTGTTACTCGCCTGAAGCCAGTCTGCAGCTGAAGCCGGACTGGGACCCTCAGACCAGAGACTTCTGCAGAGACAGAGGGTCCAGACTCCAGCCGTGAGCTCTTCTCTCATTCACTGCTCCTTCTATTTGAGGATTTGGACTGAGAACAATCTGCTGTGGTTCTGTTTCAGATGGGACAGGCAGAAAATGTCCAAAGTGGTGGTGGTTGGAGACCTGAACGTGGGAAAAACATGCCTCATAAACAGGTAGCTGCACAGTATCTCGCCACTGAGCTCCTATCTTTCTGTTCGTCTGTGAAAGATACAGAAAAGTTTTGTATCGCTGTAGTTTTTCCCATTGTATTTTTTTCTCTTGATTCAGATTTTGCAAAGATGTTTTTGAGCGCGACTACAAAGCCACGATCGGAGTGGACTTCGAGATCGAGAGGTTCGAGATCTCAGGCGTCCCCTTCTCTCTGCAGATGTGAGTTTACTCGAGATTCTAACATTTATTTTTATCTTTTACATTTTGCATAATTGTAATCCATCCACACAACAAAAAAGCAGCAGAAAGATAAAAAAATCTCTTCTCTTTATCGAGTACTTTTATTGTATCCATATTTTTAATGATGAATGATTTAATGGTTAATGCTTTGATTTGTTCCTTGGATGTTGAAGATGTTATATTTCTGTGTTTGCAGCTGGGACACGGCCGGACAGGAGAAGTTCAAATGCATCGCTTCAGCGTATTACAGAGGCGCACATGGTGACAGACTCCTCTTATGGTATTTACGTCATTATTTACCTCTGGTTTTAACCTTATTTTACTTTCAGTCATCGTCACGGTGTTCGACATGGCGGACATCAAGTCTCTGGATCACACACGGTGAGAGAGAGAGACCAGAGAGAGACCAGAGAGAGACCAGAGGGAGATCAGAGAGAGACCAGAGAGAGACCAGAGGGAGATCAGAGAGAGACCAGAGAGAGACAGGAGAGAGACCGGAAAGAGACCAGAGAGAGATCAGAGAGAGACCAGAGAGCGACCAGAGAGAGAGACCAGAGAGAGACCAGAGAGAGACCAGAGAGAGAGACCAGAGAGAGACCAGAGAGAGACCAGAGAGAGACCAGAGAGAGACCAGAGAGAGACCAGAGAGAGACCAGAGAGAGACCAGAGAGAGATCAGAGAGAGACTAGAGAGAGACCAGAGGGAGACCAGAGAGAGACCAGAGAGAGACCAGAGAGACCAGAGAGAGACCAGAGGGAGACCAGAGAGAGACCAGAGGGAGATCAGAGAGAGACCAGAGAGAGCAGAGGGAGATCAGAGAGAGACCAGAGAGAGACCAGAGAGAGACCAGAGGGAGACCAGAGAGAGACCAGAGAGACCAGAGAGAGCAGAGGGAGATCAGAGAGAGACCAGAGAGAGACCAGAGAGAGACCAGAGGGAGACCAGAGAGAGACCAGAGAGAGCAGAGGGAGATCAGAGAGAGACCAGAGAGAGACCAGAGAGAGACCAGAGAGAAACCAGAGAGAGACCAGAGAGAGAACAAAGAGAGACCAGAGAGAGACCAGAGGGAGATCAGAGAGAGATCAGAGAGAGACCAGAGAGAGACCAGAGGGAGACCAGAGAGAGACCAGAGAGAGACCAGAGGGAGATAAGAGAGAGACCAGAGAGAGACCAGAGAGAGACCAGAGGGAGATCAGAGAGAGACCAGAGAGAGACCAGAGAGAGACCAGAGAGGGAGAACAGAGAGAGACCAGAGAGAGACCAGAGAGAGACCAGAGAGAGACCAGAGAGATCAGAGAGAGACCAGAGAGAGACCAGAGAGAGACCAGAGAGAGACCAGAGAGAGATCAGAGAGAGACCAGAGAGAGACCAGAGTGAGACCAGAGAGAGACCAGAGAGAGACCAGAGAGAGACCAGAGAGAGACAGGAGAGAGAGAGACTAGAGAGAGACCGGAGAGAGACCAGAGAGAGACCAGAGAGAGACCAGAGAGAGACCAGAGAGAGACCAGAGAGAGACCAGAGAGAGACCAGAGGGAGATCAGAGAGAGACCAGAGATAGACCAGAGAGAGACCAGAGAGAGACCAGAGAGAGACCAGAGATAGACCAGAGAGAGACCAGAGAGGGAGAACAGAGAGAGACCAGAGAGAGACCAGAGAGAAACCAGAGAGAGACCAGAGAGAGACCAGAGAGAGAGACCAGAGAGAGACCAGAGAGAGACCAGAGAGAGACCAGAGAGAGACCAGAGAGAGACCAGAGAGAGAGACCAGAGAGAGACCAGAGAGAGACCAGAGAGAAACCAGAGAGAGACCAGAGAGATCAGAGAGAGACCAGAGAGAGACCAGAGGGAGATCAGAGAGAGACCAGAGAGAGACCAGAGAGAGACCAGAGAGAGACCAGAGAGAGACCAGAGAGAGACCGGAGAGAGACAGGAGAGAGAGAGACTAGAGAGAGACCGGAGAGAGACCGGAGAGAGACCAGAGAGAGACCAGAGAGAGACCAGAGAGAGACCAGAGAGAGACCAGAGGGAGATCAGAGAGAGACCAGAGATAGACCAGAGAGAGACCAGAGAGAGACCAGAGAGAGACCAGAGAGAGACCAGAGATAGACCAGAGAGAGACCAGAGAGGGAGAACAGAGAGAGACCAGAGAGAGACCAGAGAGAGACCAGAGAGAAACCAGAGAGAGACCAGAGAGAGACCAGAGAGAGAGACCAGGGAGAGATCAGAGAGAGACTAGAGAGAGACCAGAGAGGGAGAACAGAGAGAGAGACCAGAAAGACCAGAGAGAGACCACAGAAAGACCAGAGAGGGAGACAAGAGAGATACTAGAGAGAGACCAGAGGGAGACCAGAGAGAGACCAGAGGGAGATCAGAGAGAGACCAGAGAGAGACCAGAGAGAGACCAGAGAGAGACCAGAGAGAGACAGGAGAGAGACAGGAGAGAGACCAGAGAGAGACCAGAGAGAGACCAGAGAGAGACCAGAGAGAGACCAGAGGGAGACCAGAGAGAGACTAGAGAGAGACCAGAGAGAGACCAGAGAGTGACCAGAGAGAGACCAGAGAGAGACCAGAGAGAGAATAGAGAGAGACCGGAGAGAGACCAGAGAGAGACCAGAGAGAGAGCAGAGAGAGACCAGAGAGAGACCAGAGGGAGATCAGAGAGAGACCAGAGAGAGACCAGAGAGAAACCAGAGAGAGAACAAAGAGAGACTAGAGAGAGACCAGAGAGGGAGAACAGAGAGAGAGACCAGAGAGAGAGACCAGAGAGAGAGACCAGAAAGACCAGAGAGAGAGACCAGAGAGAGACCACAGAAAGACCGGAGAGGGAGACAAGAGAGATACTAGAGAGAGACCAGAGGGAGACCAGAGAGAGAGACCAGAAAGACCAGAGAGAGGCCACAGAAAGACCAGAGAGAGACTAGAGAGAGACCAGAGAGAGACCAGAGAGAGACCAGAGAGAGACCAGAGAGAGACCAGAGAGAGACTAGAATACTCTTGTGTTCCAGGCAGTGGCTCGACGAGGCCATGGGCGAAAACCAATCAGGTTCCTGCTTCGTCTTCTTAGTTGGAACCAAAAGCGATTTACTGGTGAGACTCGAGTTTTGTGAGCAGGAAATATATGATACGAGTTCATTTACAAAACCAGATTTCTCTGTTTATAAAATGCTGTTGTTTGAGAATGAAACTGATCGGTAAAGACAACGTTCCAAGGGCACTAATCTGTTGTGTTTCTGAACTCGATCAGTCGTCAGAAGAAAGGAGGAGAACAGAGAGAGATGCAGTCAAAATGGCCGCCGACATGAACGCGGAATTCTGGGCCGTTTCATCAAAGACTGGTAAATTGTTGTTTGTGTAAATCTTTATTTATGAATGGACACAAAGTCGCTTTACACAAAAGAAGATACAAGATTCCACATGGACCAGATCAACATGTCTGCCATGTACCACCTACAGTATTATTTATTTATTTAGAGAGACTAGAGAGAGACCAGAGAGAGACCAGAGAGAGACCACAGAGAGACCAGAGAGAGAGACCAGAGAGAGACCAGAGAGACCACAGAGAGACCACAGAGAGACCACAGAGAGACCAGAGAGAGACCAGAGAGAGAGAGACCAGAGAGAGACCAGAGAGAGACCAGAGAGAGACCAGAGAGAGAGACCAGAGAGAGACCACAGAGAGACCAGAGATAGAGACCAGAGAGAGGGACCAGAGAGAGAGACTAGAGAGAGACCAGAGAGAGACCAGAGAGAGAGACCAGAGAGAGACTAGAGAGAGACCAGAGAGAGAGACTAGAGAGAGACCAGAGAGAGACCAGAGAGAGAGACCAGAGAGAGACCAGAGAGAGAGACCACAGAGAGACCAGAGAGAGAGACCAGAGAGAGACCACAGAGAGACCACAGAGAGACCAGAGAGAGAGACCAGAGAGAGACCAGAGAGAGAGACCAGAGAGAAACCAGAGAGAGAGAGAGAGACCAGAAAGAAACCAGAGAGAGACCAGAGAGAGACCAGAGAGAGACCAGAGAGACCAGAGAGAGACCAGAGAGAGACCAGAGAGAGAGACCAGAGAGAGAGAGAGACCAGAGAGAGAGACCAGAGAGAGACCACAGAGAGACCAGAGAGAGACCAGAGAGAGACCACAGAGAGACCAGAGAGAGACCAGACAGCAAGATCAGAGAGAGAGAGAGACCAGGGAGAGAGACCAGAGAGAGAGACCAGAGAGAGACCACAGAGAGACCAAAGAGAGACCAGACAGCAAGATCAGAGAGAGACCAGAGAGAGACTAGAGGGACACTAGAGGGACACTAGAGGGAGACTAGAAAGAGACCAGCGAGAGACCAGAGACTATTTGTTCGTATTTAAAATTGTATATGTTTACACCAAGGCCCATATCTTTCTGCTCTTTGCTCTTCAGCCTATTTCTGTTTATGTCCAATGAGCTTTTATCCGACTAAAATATTCTTCCACTTTTTATAATTATGGCATATCATATATCTTTTGCTGAACACCAAACAGTAGAAAACTAAAAGTACGTTGTTCTTTGTGCAGGAGAAAACGTGTCCGGATTCTTCTTCAGAGTCGCAGCTTTGGCTTTTGAGAAGTGTGTTTTGAAAGACGCAGAGAACGGGACTCCAGCCAGCATCGGCCGCGGAGACAGCATCAGTGAGCGTTTAATATATCTACAGTATATAACAACATATACTTAAAGCTGGGGAACCTGGGATGCTGACAGTGGGAGGACTATGAGCTTAGTTCTTCCAGTCTGAATTTGGAAAACTATGGTCCAAGAGGCAAAATCTAAAATGTCAATAAAAACACTGCAAACATTACAATAAGAAACTTACTAGAGATAGTTCAAGCAAACTCGGTCAATTCCACCATTTTTTATTTTTATTTTATTTGTATCATTTTTCCCTTAAAGAGAACATAAGACCGTACAATAGAAATAAAATGAAATCAAAACAGAACCAAAACGTGACAAGCCTAGTAAAGCAGCAGTATGTAAAAATGTGGACAAAAGTGGTACTGCAGCCTCTCCCACTGTCCCTGACTCAGGTTGCCAGATATGCAGACGAATCCAGCTGGGACCATAACAGCTGAATAGACAAGAGTTTTGTCAACAACAAATCTATAACCAACACCTTTTTCACAAAGATAGAAATCCTGGTTTTATTCCTTGTTTTGTCGTGGATGATTTGAGATTTTGTGTCCGCGGCGCGCACAGACAAACACACACACACACACACACGTGTGCACTCACATGTTACCCACTGAACTGCTGCACTTTGCATCAGCAATTCAGCAGTTAGCTACTGTAGCTAACAGCTACTGTAGCTGTAGCTGTTAGCTGTTAGCTACAGTAGCAGAATGTAAACAGGAAAAGAAGTAGATCTCAACCAGGTAGTCTCTGGTGTTAGTATTAGCGCCACCAGCTGGACCGAGTGTTGTACTACAGCACAATTTCCCTGGCACGGTTCAGTCAACACGTTCATGTGCACGACGATCCGGGCCACTTGGCCCAGTTCGTTTGTAAAAACCTATGTGAACGTGTCCTTAGGGGCTGAAAATACAATTTTGAAATTAAATTATCTCTGAACTACTGTTATCATTTAAAGAAGTATTGAAAAAGAACATGTTTTATTAATGCCTTTGACAGATTAAGGCCCTTTAATCATGACTTGAGATAAAAATCTTACATATTGCTACTTTAATGTTGTTTTTCCATATACATCATCCATTTCCCCCATTTCTTCTTTAATTGAGCCTCTTTCAGTCTTAGTTTATGGGTTATTTAATTCCACCAAATCACAGAGTTTTTATAGCGTCTGTCTGTGTCTCCCTCAGTCAGACAGCCTCCTCTTTCAGTGAAGAAGAGGCAGCATCAGTAGAATTCTGTACATTATGTGAATTATGTAAACAAGTCAGAAGGTCTCAATCTTTCTGCATTCTCATCCTAAGTGTTGACCTGGTATTGCCTGACGCTCATGACACTCTGCAGGACCAGTCGGTGTAGACCTCACAGAATCATGTGCTAAAAACATAAACTGGTTTCCTCAGGGTCAGATCGGGTGAATCTGGAAGCAGCCCCAGCTCAACACACAAAGACCTCCTGCTGCTGAGGAAGAGGAGGACAGAGCCGGATTCTGCTGCTGAGGAAGAGGAGGACAGAGCCGGATTCTGCTGCTGAGGAAGAGGAGGACAGAGCCGGATTCTGCTGCTGATGAAGAGGAGGACAGAGCCGGATTCTGCTGCTGAGGAAGAGGAGGACAGAGCCGGATTCTGCTGCTGAGGAAGAGGAGGACAGAGCCGGATTCTGCTGCTGAGGAAGAGGAGGACAGAGCCGGATTCTGCTGCTGAGGAAGAGGAGGACAGAGCCGGATTCTGCTGCTGATGAAGAGGAGGACAGAGCCGGATTCTGCTGCTGAGGAAGAGGAGGACAGAGCCGGATTCTGCTGCTGATGAGGAAGAGGAGGACAGAGCCGGATTCTGCTGCTGAGGAAGAGGAGGACAGAGCCGGATTCTGCTGCTGAGGAAGAGGAGGACAGAGCCGGATTCTGCTGCTGAGGAAGAGGAGGACAGAGCCGGATTCTGCTGCTGAGGAAGAGGAGGACAGAGCCGGATTCTGCTGCTGAGGAAGAGGAGGACAGAGCTGGATTCTGCTGTGATGAGGAAGAGGAGGACAGAGCCGGATTCTGCTGCTGAGGAAGAGGAGGACAGAGCCGGATTCTGCTGCTGAGGAAGAGGAGGACAGAGCCGGATTCTGCTGCTGCTGAGGAAGAGGAGGACAGAGCCGGATTCTGCTGCTGCTGAGGAAGAGGAGGACAGAGCCGGATTCTGCTGCTGCTGAGGAAGAGGAGGACAGAGCCGGATTCTGCTGCTGCTGAGGAAGAGGAGGACAGAGCCAGATTCTGCTGCTGCTGAGGAAGAGGAGGACAGAGCCGGATTCTGCTGCTGCTGAGGAAGAGGAGGACAGAGCCGGATTCTGCTGCTGCTGAGGAAGAGGAGGACAGAGCCGGATTCTGCTGCTGAGGAAGAGGAGGACAGAGCCGGATTCTGCTGCTGCTGAGGAAGAGGAGGACAGAGCCGGATTCTGCTGCTGCTGAGGAAGAGGAGGACAGAGCCGGATTCTGCTGCTGCTGAGGAAGAGGAGGACAGAGCTGGATTCTGCTGCTGAGGAAGAGGAGGACAGAGCCGGCTTCTGCTGCTGCGCTAAATTAGCCAAAACTTGGAATATTACTTTTGAGTTGCCATAGTTACCAGCAAATTTAATTCACCTGCCACCATGATGTTCAACTATTGGCTCTTTGGAACGTTGTGATGTCACATGAACGCAACCTATTCAGTCCAAAACTACTGACACGTCCCATTGTCCCTGTTTACTGTATGTGACTGACTCCTAAACCCAAAGTTTCAGAATATACAAAATTACGATAAAAAACTAAATATAGTGAATGAAGTGTTCTTTTGTGAAGAAGAGGTTTTTAGGTTTTTATTAACACTAATCAAGTTAAGCTGAACATTATAGAAAATACTACAGAACATTAAAGCCCTATTTCCACCAGCCCCACTTGGCCCTACTCTACTCTACTCTACTCTACTCTACTCTACGGTACGCTACTCTACTCTACTCTACTCTACTCTACTCTACGGTACTCTGGGCTACTCTACTCTACTCTACTCCACTCTACTCTGGGCTACTCTACTCTACTCTACTCTACTCTACTCTACTCTACTCTACGGTACTCTACTCTACTCTAGGCTACTCTGGGCTACTCTACTCTACTCTACTCCACTCTACTCTGGGCTACTCTGGGCTACTCTACTCTACTCTACTCTACTCTGGGCTACTCTGGGCTACTCTACTCTACTCTACTCCACTCTACTCTGGGCTACTCTGGGCTACTCTACTCTACTCTACTCTGGGCTACTCTACTCTACTCTACTCTACTCTAGGCTACTCTGGGCTACTCTACTCTACTCTACTCTAGGTTACTCTGGGCAACTCTGGGCTACTCTACTCTACTCTACTCCACTCTACTCTGGGCTACTCTGGGCTACTCTACTCTACTCTACTCTAGGCTACTCTGAGCTACTCTACTCTACTCTACTCTAGGCTACTCTGGGCTACTCTGGGCTACTCTACTCTACTCCACTCCACTCTACTCTGGGCTACTCTACTCTACTCTACTCTGGGCTACTCTACTCTACTCTACTCTACTCTAGGCTACTCTGGGCTACTCTACTCTACTCTCCCCTACACTTTAGTATCTGCTACTGTATCCCAGTAACCTACCCCCAACACAGCCAAGAGCCAGTGAATTCCTTGGTAACCATGGCTTCCAACAGCACTCTGACCAATCACTGTCAGTTAGAACACTTTAGCACCAGCTCGGCCTGGATAGAACCAGAGCTAAAACAGTACCTGATACCGGTTAAACAGGGCCGGTAGAGCAGAGCAGGGTAGAGTAGGGTAGGGCCAAGTAGGGCCAGTAGGGCTGGTGGAAATGGGGCTTAGAGGTTTTTTTTTTTTAAAAGATATTACAGTTTCTATTTGCTTTTTAATATTCTGAATGCTGTTTTTTGATTTATAAATGATATAAACATGTGAATAACACGCACTGCCATGGAAGAGTTTGACTGAATACAGTACTTGCCGAACTGTGAGCCGCTACTTTTTCTGACTTCTGTGATCTCTGCGGCTAAAACATCGACAACTTTGTAAAGTCCTCCAAGAAAACCACTGCTGTGATTCAGGGCTGTACATAAATGCTGCCAATGTATGTGTTTTTATTTTGTTAACGTGCCGCCGGAGCAGAGGAACGACACAGCTCTATCAGATGTGTTACGTAGCACACATTCCTGCTTATTGTGTGTTTATGTGAACAGCAGAACGAGGCGACAGGAGGATAATACAAAGAACTCGCTTTTACGTGATCAGCGCATTTGGCCTGAAAATATGCACCTCACCTCTCACTACTACGGGCTATAAAAACACAAACTTAACCATTTCACGAACGTAACTAGCATAGAACAGCACAAGGTAAATTTGTTAGCTTTCAAACTATGTATATGGTGAATACTTTAACTGTGGTTTTCTTTATGCTGCTGAAAAGACCCCAAATGTTTATGTTTTGGCTAATCAAAGCTCTGATCTTGAGTCAGACACCCGAGTTCCAGAGTCCGGACTGGTTCCAGTTCCAGAGTTTGGTAAAAAGCAGGAAGTGTCAGACTCAGGCTGCCCTCCTGTTAGGATGATAGGATGTATTAGTCAGAGCAGAGTTTATGGACTTCATCATTTGACTTCTGAGTATTAGAAGGAATGGGACACACGTTAAATCACGTTGTGTTGAGTTAAAACAGTCGTCTCTCTGCTATATTACAACATGAAAACCTGCGGCTTATACACAGATGCGGCCTATATATGGTTTATATACAGCTGTGACACTAGTCCAGCCAGTTTGGTATTTGCTGGAGGTTTTTTTTTTTAGCAAAGCAATGATACTAGACTTACTTTTCATGGGGTTTTGACTTCTCTCCCATTCAAAAGAAACATGATTTTGTTTTGAATTGTTTATCACCGTGGCATCGTCCCAAAACCATGACTTAACAGTGTTCATGCTTTGTAAACATATACACTACCGTTCAAAAGTTCGGGGTCACATTGAAATGTCCTTATTTTTGAAGGAAAAGCTGTAGATAACTTTAAACTAGTCTTAACTGTAAAGAAATACACTCTATACATTGCTTATGTGGTAAATAACTATTCTAGCTGCAAATGTCTGGTTTTGGTGCAATGTTGTATTTGCTGCAAATGGAGGATTCTTTGACGAAAGCAAAGTTTGATGTAAAACAATATGGTATGGTGGTGAATAAGTGTGACTTTTCATGGAAAACACTTGGGTGACCCCAAACCTTTGAACGGTAGTGTATATTATACACAATAAAACTAATAATCAAATGTTCTATTGTTATTAAATGTCACTGAAAGTATTGTATGTTGTTTTAATCTGCAACGTTATGATTGTAAATAAAAATCTGGAAAAACAGTCCTCTTTTTCAACTAATAAATAAATATACAGAAAACAGAGACACCTGAATTTCTCAGATGGGGATCAGTCAAGCATCTATCTGTTATCTATCTATCTAATATTAGGCTAATTCATGTGAAAGTTTAAGATAATATAAACTTTATTGATCTCACGATGAAGACATTTACATATTTAAGTATTCAGTACAGCATATAGTAGAACACACATACAGTTAAAGCTGGGGTATGTACATTTCAACCCCCTATTTTCTTATTACTAGTTCGCCGCTCTAAACAGTTTGGTTCTGTCACTATAATTTACATATCTGTATTTTTGACCTTTGTCACGTGGTTGGATAAGATTTAAATGTTTTCTAATAATACAAAGACATGAGATAAACACAATAAGACTCTCTGTTTGGGAAAAAAAATAAAATTGTTGATTACATTTCCTCTTCACTATTTCTGACCAATCGCGTGCCTCCTCTCACACGAACCCGGAAGTAAACAATCCCGTGCTCCCTCGGCTATGGCTAACACACCGCTAACTTCTGTCACTTATTTACGGCCCTAAAGCCTCCGTTTGAGAACCCACAGTGGATATGCGCAGTATAATAAGTGTGATTACTGCAAAATATGTGTAATTCAGCAGCAGCATTTACGGCTGTATTTAATGTGAGCAGCACGACCCCTCCTTCCTGTGGTTCACAACACGTTTGCAGAAGTGTGTGAGGTCTAATAGTTTTGTTTTTGTTTCAGCTGATTTACAATGAGAACTAACAAGTCCTATAAGCTGCTGCTCCATAAGAAGGGCTTTGGTGGAAGCGGTGAGTACTGTGTGTTTGAGGGAATAACGGGAAAATATATACTTAACTTTGAAATCTCATTGAATAACTATTTAATTATAATCCGTGTCACTTGTTTTTGGCTCTGAAACGGTTTGAGTCTTTCTCTAGTTTTCACGTGTGTGTGTTTTTGGTCATAAAAACACACATATATTAGATCAGAGAGTGTACTAGCTCAGCCAATCAGCTCTCAGTGTGGAAAAGATTAAGGGTTTTCGTCTGTTTATTGTGACTCTATGATGTCTGCTTGTTGTGACTCTATGATGTCTGCTTGTTGTGACTCTATGATGTCTGTTGTGACTCTATGATGTCTGTTGTGACTCTATGACGTCTGCTTGTTGTGACTCTATGTCTGCTTGTTGTGACTCTGACGTCTGCTTGTTGTGACTCTGACGTCTGCTTGTTGTGACTCTGACGTCTGCTTGTTGTGACTCTGACGTCTGCTTGTTGTGACTCTGACGTCTGCTTGTTGTGACTCTATGACGTCTGCTTGTTGTGACTCTATGTCTGCTTGTTGTGACTCTGACGTCTGCTTGTTGTGACTCTGACGTCTGCTTGTTGTGACTCTGACGTCTGCTTGTTGTGACTCTATGACGTCTTTTGTGACTCTATGACGTCTGCTTGTTGTGTGACTCTATGATGTCTGCTTGTTGTGACTCTATGATGTCTGCTTGTTGTGACTCTATGACGTCTGCTTGTTGTGACTCTATGATGTCTTTTGTGACTCTATGACGTCTGCTTGTTGTGACTCTATGACGTCTGCTTGTTGTGACTCTATGACGTCTGCTTGTTGTGACTCTATGATGTCTGCTTGTTGTGACTCTATGATGTCTGCTTGTTGTGACTCTATGACGTCTGCTTGTTGTGACTATGATGTCTGCTTGTTGTGACTCTATGACGTCTGCTTGTTGTGACTCTATGACGTCTGCTTGTTGTGACTCTATGACGTCTGCTTGTTGTGACTCTATGATGTCTGCTTGTTGTGACTCTATGATGTCTGCTTGTTGTGACTCTATGACGTCTGCTTGTTGTGACTCTATGATGTCTGCTTGTTGTGACTCTATGACGTCTGCTTGTTGTGACTCTATGATGTCTGTTGTGACTCTATGACTTCTGCTTGTTGTGACTCTATGATGTCTGTTGTGACTCTATGACGTCTGCTTGTTGTGACTCTATGATGTCTGCTTGTTGTGACTCTATGATGTCTGTTGTGACTCTATGATGTCTGCTTGTTGTGACTCTATGATGTCTGTTGTGACTCTATGATGTCTGTTGTGACTCTATGACGTCTGCTTGTTGTGACTCTATGATGTCTGCTTGTTGTGACTCTATGATGTCTGCTTGTTGTGACTCTATGATATCTGTTGTGACTCTATGATGTCTGCTTGTTGTGACTCTATGATGTCTGTTGTGACTCTATGATGTCTGCTTGTTGTGACTATGACGTCTGCTTGTTGTGACTCTATGATGTCTGTTGTGACTCTATGACGTCTGCTTGTTGTGACTCTATGATGTCTATTGTGACTCTATGATGTCTGCTTGTTGTGACTATGATGTCTGTTGTGACTCTATGATGTCTGTCGTGACTCTATGACGTCTGCTTGTTGTGACTCTATGATGTCTGCTTGTTGTGACTCTATGATGTCTGCTTGTTGTGACTCTATGATGTCTGCTTGTTGTGACTCTATAATGTCTACACATTTTTTTGTAGACTATAGACATCTGGTCAATCCCATTACTATTTAAAACACATGATAACTTGATACTTTTAGGGTTTAGGGACGTTTTTCCACAATATAAAAAAAAAATGCGTCCGGAAAAAAACACTGACTGCATCTTTAAATGTCACACAATATAATTCAAAATCTGTCGTTTATATTTTTCTTCATATTTCACTGTTTAAATCCTTCTGCAGACGATGAACTTGTGGTCAACCCAAAGGTTTTCCCTCAGGTCCGTCTGGGGGACATCATCGAGATCGCACACCCCACGGACGAGTACAGGTGGGGCTTCCTCTGCGTCACAATCACACACATTCATCATTCTGACGACAGTGTTTTTCTGTTCTCACTCTTCAGTCCTCTCCTGCTGCAAGTTAAAAGCCTGAAAGAAGATCTGCAGAAAGGTACATTCTTTCACTTTACACAAACTTTGTCTTTAAGGCTATATCCACACGAAGACAAAACGCTTATAATTTCAGAAACTTTTTCTGTAAACACGGAGTTAGCTCAGTAAATGTGTGCGTCCATATGAATGTAGTCAATACGCCTGAAAACGCTGTGAAACTATGCCAGACCTGTTGGTGGCGCTGTGACGCAATGACGGGATCAAGCCCAAACTTCCGTGACGGGAACTGGGCATGCGCAGAATGTTGTAAACAGACAACATGGCGAGTGGGCGAGCTGGTACTACATTAGTATGGACGGACGATGAGGTTGAACTGTTGCTTCGGGTCACACTGGATTACAAAACCAACAAGCTACATTGTTGTTGTCATTATTTTCTGAGTGCGGCGCATGCGTGCTTTAACAAGAGGCGGGGCGATGACGCAAGCGTCTCAGATACATTGCGGAGAGGCAGTAACCACGGAGCGGCATATACGGAGTTTTGAAATCTTTCCACTCTGGGACCTACTTTCAAAAATGTTCGTTTACACCCCCCCAAAACGCCGGCCTCGTATGGACGATACACTGGATTGATAAAGTATTTTTGCGTTTAGGCCTGAGCTTGACTTCGTGTGGACAGGGCCTTAATGTGGGTCAGGATCAGAGAAGAGTCTAGAGGTCATGAAACTCAGTGACTGCCGTTGACGTATATTGGTGACCGGGGATTTCTGCCACACTTCCCCTCTACTCGACTGGGGATTACAGAAGAACAAAACTAGATAGAAACAAACTTACTTTTGCTGATGAAAGTAGACAGTCCAATATTTCAGAATCTGGTTTCATATTTCACATAGCCATAGCACACAATATTCTGTGGGTCTTGAATATCAGTGAAATCATCCAAAACGGCTGACAGTCAATGAGTTAAAGTCATGTTAAATGTGATGAAATCCAAGACCCTTAAAAGCTTTACATTACCGAGACTGTGGCCTTAAATCTTGTCGCATCAGCATCCGATTGAAATATTTAGGTATTCTGTGGTTTTGACATAGAACAACTACTGCAAATTCATTCATTCCTTATCTTCCCCTTTATAAGAGACAGTTTTATCACAGAGCAGTCACACTCCTGAACTCTCAACCAATGAAAGCCAGTAAAGTGACAATTGAAGTATCTGGACTTTAAAAGGTTATAACTTAAAAACTAAAATTACTTTCATAGATTGGAAAAAAGATTTCAAACACAGACAGATTGAAGAGATAGTGTGGAAAAAATCAAAAGGAAAGATTGACATAAAAATGTTTAGCAACATTTTAAACGACCAAATTAGCCTCTGATTGGACCATTCTACTGTGACGCCAGTTACATAGAAAATAAAATGTCCTCAGTCTCAAAAAGCAGAAGATGAAATTCCACAAGATTTACATGGTTAACACAACAGAAGGAAATCACTTCATATAAAAAGGAATCGTAAAAAAAATAAAAAATAATTAATTAATTAAATGACCCTTGAAAAATGTATAACGGACGTGATGAGGACGGTCCTCTTTTCTCTAAAAATTAAACTTGAGAGAAAAAAAAATCTGGTCTGTTTTCACATTTAATTGCTTGACAATATGAAAGTATCACTTTGCATCTACTTTGTGTAAAAAAATAGAATCTCTGAATCAAATGTGGACATCTGAAAATACCATCAAACTTCCACAAAGCTCATTCCGTCAAATCATCGTCCGTTACATAAAATAAACAGGGCGCTGTAGGAAACTTGTCTAATGTATGAAACAGTTTTGTTCTAGAAACTTCTAATGGACAGAGGAGGTGCTTGGAAACATAAAACATCTTCTGATTATTAAAATCTAATTTTTGGCCTTTTGTCACACTTTTGTGCCCTTTAGTGTGAATAAGCCCATATACTAGCAATAGCAGCTTGTACAGTCTCTCATGTATGCAAATATATGTATCTGTGTTGTAAATATTATCCTATACTTGCGCTTTTGCAGACGCTAAACTGCATTTAGTTGCATTGTTCTGATTTTGTAATGACAGTAAAGTTGAATCTGATCTAATCTAATCTATAAATCCATTTCTGGGTCGTGGGGGGGGGGTCATTATCAGTCTCAGAGCACCAGCCCCTCACTGGTCCTCCTGCAGGGGCTGGGTCCACGGGAGGATGGCTCTGACTCTGGTTGGTTTGGTTTGTGTGTTTTCCTCAGAGACCATCAGTGTGGACCAGACCGTGGCTCAGGTCTTCAAACTGCGGGCGTACCAGGATGTCATCGTCAGCATCGTGGATCCAAAGGTGATCCACTTTCTAAAACCACCTGCACTGGACCCAACATCAACACTGACATTTCATACTGTCCTGATGAACTTAATCCAGACCAGTTGTGAAATGACAAGAGATAACATTTGGTACTTTTGTCTGGTCTCCTTCTGGTCTCTCTCTCAGATCTCTCTCTGGTCTCTCTCTGGTCTCTCTCTGGTCTCTCTCTGGTCTCTCTCTCTAGTCTCTCTCTGGTCTCTCTCTAGTCTCTCTCTGGTCTCTCTCTGGTCTCTCTCTCTAGTCTCTCTCTGGTCTCTCTCTGGTCTCTCTCTGGTCTCTCTCTGGACTCTCTCTGGTCTCTCTCTGGTCTCTCTCTGGTCTCTCTCTAGTCTCTCTCTGGTCTCTCTCTGGTCTCTCTCTGGTCTCTCTCTGGTCTCTCTCTAGTCTCTCTCTGGTCTCTCTCTGGTCTCTCTCTCAGGTCTCTCTCAGGTCTCTCCCAGGTCTCTCTCAGGTCTCTCTCAGGTCTCTCTCAGGTCTCTCTCAGGTCTCTCTCAGGTCTCTCTCAGGTCTCTCTCTGGTCTCTCTCTGGTCTCTCTCTGGTCTCTCTCAGGTCTCTCTCAGGTCTCTCTCAGGTCTCTCTCAGGTCTCTCTCAGGTCTCTCTCAGGTCTCTCTCTGGTTTCTCTCAGACCTCTCTCAGACCTCTCTCAGACCTCTCTCTGGTCTCTCTCTGGCCTCTCTCAGGTCTCTCTCAGACCTCTCTCAGATCTCTCTCTGGTCTCTCTCAGGTCTCTCTCAGATCTCTCTCTCTCTCTCTGGTCTCTCTCTGGTCTCTCTCTGGTCTCTCTCTGGTCTCTCTCTGGTCTCTCTCTGGTCTCTCTCTCGGGTCTCTCTCAGATCTCCCTCTGGTCTCTCTCACACCTCTCTCTGGTCTCTCTCAGACCTCTCTCGGACCTCTCTGGTCTCTTTCTGGTCTCTCTCAGATCTCCCTCAGGTCTCTCTCTGGTCTCTCTCTGGTCTCTCTCTGGTCTCTCTCTGGTCTCTCTCTGGTCTCTCTCTGACCTCTCTCTGGTCTCTCTCTGGTCTCTCTCTGGTCTCTCTCTGGTCTCTCTCAGGTCTCTCTCAGATCTCTCTCTGGTCTCTCTCAGATCTCTCTCTGGTCTCCCTCTGGTCTCTCTCAGATCTCTCTCTGGTCCACAGATGAATATAGATGTTTCTTTCAGGATGTGACTCTGGACCTCGTGGAGCTGACGTTTAAAGACCAGTACATCGGCCGCGGAGACATGTGGAGGCTCAAGAAGAGTCTGGTCAGATATTTTAATTTCATGCATTTGACCGTAGTGAGACTTTAACCATGTGTGCTGCTGTCCGCTGTAATAACACCTGGTCCAAGAGGGAAACTGCTTTTGTTCACATCCAGAGCTTGTTATGGCTGTTTAATACCATCTCCATCCTCTCTCCTCCTCAACTAAACTTAACACCAGGACTCCCAGAATTCTGAAACTTAATTTTGACTGCTCCCATTCCACCAGATTGGGGCTTTTTCCTCCAGATTTGTTAAAACTAATTTATTAAACCACACAGTAATATACATCTATTTATTACCTGTATTTATGTTTTACTATGTGCTCAAACTAATGACTATGAATTAAATACAGCGGCGCCAAAGCAGCTTGTTGAAATGCTAATGCTAAAGGCTAAATGCTAACTGCTGCAAGTAAACACTGCGTTGCCGTGGTAACCAGAACTGGTTCTTCTCTGGTGGGGAACCAAACTGGACCAGAACCAGCTCCTTGAAAAGGGGCTTTAACTTAGCTTTAAAGTTAGTTACCAAGCAACCAACAATGATAAAAAATTATAAAATATTAAAATACTAAAGTTATATTTTGATATCACTTTATATTTTGATATAACTTTATATTTTTATAACGTATATTTTTTCAGGTGAGCACTTGTGCCTATGTGAGCCAGAAAGTGGAGTTTGCCGGGATCAGGTATTATTAAATTATATATTATTATATTTTTTGTTTTTCTCTGTCTCTCTCTCTCTGTCTCTGTGTCTCTTTCTGTCTCTCTCTCTTTCTATCTCTCTCTCTCTGTGTCTCTGTCTCTCTCTCTCTGTGTCTCTCTCTCTGTCTATCTCTCTCTCTGTGTCTCTGTCTCTCTCTCTCTGTGTCTCTGTCTCTGTCTATCTCTCTGTCGCTGTGTCTCTCTCTGTGTCTCTCTGTCTCTGTTTCTCTCTGTCTCTCTCTCTCTCTGTGTCTCTGTCTCTCTCTCTCTGTGTCTCTGTCTCTCTGTGTCTCTCTCTCTGTCTATCTCTCTCTCTGTGTCTCTGTCTCTCTCTCTCTGTGTCTCTCTCTCTGTCTATCTCTCTCTCTGTGTCTCTGTCTCTCTCTCTCTGTCTATCTCTCTCTCTGTGTCTCTGTCTCTCTCTCTCTGTGTCTCTCTCTCTGTCTATCTCTCTGTCTCTGTGTCTCTCTCTCTGTCTCTGTGTCTGTCTCTCTGTTTCTCTCTCTCTCTCTCTCTCTGTTTCTCTCTCTCTGTCTCTCTCTCTCTGTGTCTCTGTCTCTGTCTATCTCTCTGTCGCTGTGTCTCTCTCTCTGTCTCTCTGTCTCTCTGTGTCTCTCTCTCTCTGTCTCTCTCTCTCTGTCTCTCTGTGTCTCTCTCTCTGTGCCTCTCTGTAACATGGTGTGTCCTCAGAGCCCAGGCCAGTGAGCTGTGGGTCAAAGGAGAGAAGGTGACGTGTGGATACATCAGTGAAGACTCCAGGGTGAGGCTCCTTTAGCCATGTACGGGCTAAACTTATTTAAATCATGTGGCTGTTGTGGCGGAAATGGGGAGGAGGAGGGTTGCGGCACGAGCTGTTAGAGGCAGACTCATTGTAGCATGTGTGTGTTGTAGTGGTAGGACAAAACTTTCAGTCTGAAGTGTGACTTTAGAATCATAAAAGATTTCTTTCTACATCTGTCTCTCGAAGTAATATTTTTTATCAATTGTACCATAACTTTTGATAACAACACTTTAGATTAGCCTTCACTGATTAACAGCTAATTACGCGCTAATAATTGTACCCTAACCCTCAAGGGAAAGTGTCAGTTAGTAGTTAGTTAGATGTTGAATAAGACCATGTAGAACAAGGACTAAAGAGTGCTTAATAAATACAATTAAAGATCATAAAGTATGCATTAATTAGCCTTTAATTAGCTGTTAGCATTGAGTGAGGGCTAAACTAAGCGTGTGTGGATGTTAGGTGGTGTTCCGGTCCACGTCTGCCATGGTCTACATCTTCATCCAGATGAGCTGCGAGATGTGGGACTTCGACATCTATGGTTCGTCTGTATCAGTCTGCTTCAGTCTGCTTCAGTCTGCTTCAGTCTGCTTCAGTCTGCATCAGTCTGCTTCAGTCTGTGTCAGTCTGCTTCAGTCTGCTTCAGTCTGCATCAGTCTGCTTCAGTCTGCTTCAGTCTGCATCAGTCTGCATCAGTCTGTGTCAGTCTGCTTCAGTCTGCTTCAGTCTGCTTCAGTCTGTGTCAGTCTGCTTCAGTCTGCATCAGTCTGCATCAGTCTGCTTCAGTCTGCTTCAGTCTGCATCAGTCTGCATCAGTCTGCATCAGTCTGCTTCAGTCTGCTTCACTCTGCTTCAGTCTGTGTTTAAGACCAGTCCTTAAAGCTTCTCCCATTCATCTATTTGTTTTCTTGCAGGAGACCTTTATTTTGAAAAGGCGGTGAATGGCTTCCTGTCTGATCTTTTTACTAAATGGAAGGTGGGTGTTATTATTATCGACGCAGGAAAAATCTATACTTTTTATTTAATACTTCTTCTATGACTTATTTGCAGGAGAAAAACTGCAGCCATGAAGTCACCGTGATCCTGTTTTCCCGCACTTTCTACAACGGCAAATCTCTAGGTATGAACTTTTCACATTTCATAGAGGGTGTAGTAGATGCTTGACCAGAGAGAGACCCGAGAGAGAGACCAGAGAGAGAGACCAGAGAGAGAGACCAGAGAGAGAGACCAGAGAGAGAGACCAGAGAGAGAGACCAGAGAGAGAGACCAGAGAGAGGCCAGAGAGAGAGAAGAGAGAGACTAGAGAGAGAGACTAGAGAGAGAGACCAGAGAGAGACCAGAGAGAGACCAGAGAGAGACCAGAGAGAGAGACCAGAGAGAGAGACCAGAGAGAGAGAGACCAGAGAGAGGCCAGAGAGAGAGAAGAGAGAGAGAGACCAGAGAGAGGGTGACCAGAGAGAGAGACCAGAGAGAGAGAGACCAGAGAGAGGCCAGAGAGAGAGAAGAGAGAGACCAGAGAGAGAGACCAGAGAGAGAGACCAGAGAGAGAGACCAGAGAGAGAGACCAGAGAGAGAGACCAGAGAGAGACCAGAGAGAGAGACCAGAGAGAGACCAGAGAGAGAGACCAGAGAGAGACCAAAGAGAGGGACCAGAGAGAGAGACCAGAGAGAGACCAAAGAGAGGGACCAGAGAGAGACCAGAGAGAGAGACCAGAGAGAGAGACCAGAGAGACCAGAGAGAGAGGAGAGAGAGAGGAGAGAGAGAGGAGAGAGAGACGAGAGAGAGACGAGAGAGAGACGAGAGAGAGAGACCAGAGAGAGAGACGAGAGAGAGACGAGAGAGAGACGAGAGAGAGACCAGAGAGAGACGAGAGAGAGACCAGAGAGAGAGACCAGAGAGAGAGACCAGAGAGAGACCAGAGAGAGACCAGAGAGAGAGACCATAGAGAGAGACCATAGAGAGAGACCACTGCTTTTAACATGTTATAATTACAAAATAATCACAATAAAACACAGTATATCAAGCACATGAACATCAAGAGGCAAGAGCTCTGGTGTGTGTCGTCTGGTGCACACTGAGGTAGTCTTGCACAGTTTTTCCAATGTGGTTTTACTGCAAATGGTAAATAAATGAATCTGAATCTGAAGAGGTAGAAGATAAAATGCTCTCTTTTGGAAAAAAATATAGTCCTTTTTAAACCTTCGCAGTAACTGGCTGGAATTCTGGCCCATTCACTCCTTTACCATCACTTAGCCTAATATATATTTTACATTGAAATAGCAAAATGTGAATGTTTTTTTTTTTTTGTCTAGATGAATTCCCAGAAGCTCTGAGAGGATCCATTCACCAGGACCATGAAGGACGCTTCTGTGAGGACTTCTACAGGTAAACACGACCAGAGACTGCCTGTGCCGCAACCCTCCTCCTCCCCAACACAGATTCTTACGTTTTTGTTTTATTTTGTGTTTGCTTCTTCAGAGTCGTGGCTCAGAACGAGAGGCGAGACGAGTGGACCTCTCTCCTGGTCACCATCAAGAAGTTGTTCATCCAGTATCCAGTCCTGGTGCGGCTCAAAGAAGCAGGTGATGGTCCAACGGGAAATAAAACGTACGTCCTGGAGCCTGGTTTTGATCAGTCTGTGTTTGGTTTTCCAGATGGGTTTCCTGTCGGTTATAACTCCTCGGCTGTTCAAGGAAACTACCTGGAGGCCATAAATCTGTCTTTTAACGGTCAGCGCAAGTTTGAGGAAGTGGGAGCAGTTTTTTATATAGAGACATAGGACAAAATACACACATATAAGTACTATTATGATAGACGTGTATAATAAAAGTAACATGTACTGTATATTTACCTCCATACATCCATCCATCCATCCATTTTCTTCCGCTTTATCCGTTGCCGGGTCGCGGGGGCAGCAGTCTAAGCAGAGACGCCCAGACTTCCCTATCCACACACACTTCCTCCAGCTCGTCCGGGGGGACCCCAAGGCGTTCCCAGGCCAGCTGAGAGACATAGTCTCTCCAGCGTGTCCTGGGTCTTCCCCGGGGCCTCCTCCCGGTGGGACGTGCCCGGAACACCTCCCCAGGAAGGCGTCCAGGAGGCATCCTGAACAGATGCCCGAGCCACCTCAACTGGTTCCTCTCGACGTGGAGAAGCAGCGCCTCTACTCCGAGCTCCTCCCGTGTGACTGAGCTCCTCACCCTATCTCTAAGGGAGCGCCCAGCCACTCTGCGGAGGAAGCTCATTTCGACCGCTTGTATCCGCGATCTCGTTCTTTCGGTCATTACCCACAGCTCATGACCATAGGTGAGGGGGGGAACGAAGATTGACCGGTAAATCGAGAGCTTTGCCTTTCGGCTCAGCTCCCTCTTTACCACAACGGTCCGATACAGAGACCGCATCACTGCGCACGCTGCACCGATCCGCCTGTCAATCTCACGCTCCATCCTCCCCTCACTCGTGAACAAGACCCCGAGATACTTGAACTCCTCCACTTGAGGAAGGACCTCTCCACCCACCTGAAGAGGGCAAGGCACCTTTTTCCGGTCGAGCACCATGGCCTCGGATTTGGAGGTGCTGATTCTCATCCCAGCCGCTTCACACTCGGCTGCAAACCGTCCCAGTGCATGTTGCAGGTCCTGGTTCGTTGGAGCCAGCAGGACGACATCATCCGCAAAAAGTAGAGATGAAATCCTGTGGTTCCCGAACCGGACCCCCTCCGGCCCCTGGCTGCGCCTAGAGATTCTGTCCATAAATACAGTGAACAGAACCGGTGACAAAGGGCAGCCTTGGCGGAGGCCAACATGCACCGGGAACAGGTCTGACTTACTGCCGGCAATGCGGACACAGCTCTGGCTCCGGTCATACAGGGACCGAACAGCCCTCAGCAGAGGACCCCGGACCCCGTACTCCCGGAGGACCCCCCAAAGGACACCCCGGGGAACACGGTCGAACGCCTTCTCCAAATCCACAAAGCACATGTGGACAGGTTGGGCGAACTCCCATGAACCCTCGAGTATCCGATGGAGAGTATAGAGCTGGTCCAGTGTTCCGCGACCGGGACGAAAACCACACTGCTCCTCCTGAATCCGAGATTCGACCATCGGCCGTAGCCTCCTCTCCAGTACCTAGGAGTAGACCTTACCGGGGAGGCTGAGGAGTGTGATCCCACGATAATTGGAACACACCCTCCGGTCCCCCTTCTTGTAGAGAGGGACCACCACCCCGGTCTGCCACTCCATTGGCACTGCCCCCGATCGCCACGCGATGTTGCAGAGACGTGTCAGCCAAGACAGTCCTACAACATCCAGAGACTTTAGATAGTCAGGACGGATCTCATCCACTCCCGGCGCCTTGCCACCATGGAGGCTGCCAACCACCTTGGTGACCTCGGCCAGGGAGATGGAAGTGTCCGCCCCAACATCCTCAGCCTCTGCCTCCTGGACGGAGGACGTGACGGGGGGATTGAGGAGAACCTCGAAGTATTCCTTCCACCGCCCGACAATATCCCCAGTCGAGGTCAGCAGCCCTCCACCCGCACCATACACGGTGTTGGCAAAGAACTGCTTCCCCCTCCTGAGGCGCCGGACGGTTTGCCAGAACCTCTTCGAGGCCGACCGATAGTCATGCTCCATGGACTCTCCGAACTCCTCCCAGTCCCGGGTTTTTGCCTCTGCAACAGCCCGGGCCGCGGCACGTTTGGCCTGCCGGTACTGGACAGCTGCCTCAGGAGTCCCACGAACCATCATTGCTCGATAGGACTCCTTCTTCAGCCTGACGGCATCCCTTACTGCCGGTGTCCACCACCGGGTTCGGGGATTGCCGCCGGGACCAGCACCAGAGACCTTGCGACCACAGCTACGAGCCGCTGCATTGGCGATAGAGGAAGAGAACATGGTCCACTCGGACTCGATGTCCCCCTCCTCTGCCGGGACCTGGGAGAAGCTCTCCCGGAGGTGTGAGTTGAAAGTCCGTCTGACAGGGGGCTCAGCAAGACGTTCCCAGCAAACCCTCACTACACGCTTGGGCCTGCCAGGTCTGACCGGCCTCCTGCCCTGCCAGCGGATCCAACTCACGACCAGGTGATGATCGGTTGACAGCTCCGCCCCTCTCTTCACCCGAGTGTCCGAAACACGCGGCCGAAGGTCAGATGATACGACTACAAAGTCGATCATCGACCTCCGGCCTAGGGTGTCCTGGTGCCACGTGCACTGATGGACACCCTTGTGCTCGAACATGGTGTTCGTGATGGACAGGCCGTGACTGGCACAGAAGTCCAACAACTGAACACCGCTCGGGTTCAGATCAGGGAGGCCGTTCTTCCCGATCACCCCTCTCCAAGTGTCACTGGCATTTCCCACATGGGCGTTGAAGTCCCCCAGGAGAATAACGGAGTCCCCGGGCGGTGCACTGTCCAGTACCCCTCCCAAGGACTCCAAGAAGGCCGGGTACTCTGCACTACCGTTAGGCCCGTAGGCTGTCACAACAGTGAGAGACATGTCCCCCACCCGGAGGCGGAGGGACGCGACCCTCTCATTCACCGGGGAGAACTCCAACACGTGGCGGCTGAGATGGGGGGCAATGAGAATGGCCACCCCAGCTCGCCGCCTCTCCCCGCGGGAAACACCAGAAAAGTGGAGCGTCCAACCCCTCTCAAGGAGTTGGGTTCCAGAGCCCAAGCTGTGTGTGGAGGTGAGGCCGACTATCTCTAGTCGGTATCGCTCAACCTCCCCCACAAGCTCGGGCTCCTTCCCCCCCAGTGAGGTGACGTTCCACGTCCCAAGAGCCAGATGTTGGGTGTGTGGACTGGGTTACCTCCATACAATACCATAGAATACCATAGAATTGACTTGTGTCCAATTTAAGAAAAAAAGTTAATTTGTTCCTGAGCTCTTGTGTCTCTTTGTGGTCGTAACAGGGCCTTTCTCAGTGTAGTTTGCATGTTCTCCCCGTGTCTGCATAGGTTTCCTCCTGGTACTCCGGTTTCCCCTACCTTTCAAAAATATGCCCAATAGGTAAAAATCCTCCGGCTGCAGTGGTCCTGACCAAGCCGAGCATCAACATCTGGAGATGGGTTCCCGGGCGCTGTTACTACGGCGACCACTGCTCCTGACGTAAGCCGTAGTGGCATCAGGATCTGGGTCAAATGCAGAGGGGGAAGTGCCCCACGGGGATTAATAAAGTGCCAATTTACATCTTAGAGTTCCAGTTAAACGTGTCGGACAATCTGGCAGCTGTCAAATTAGTTCTTTATCAATAAATGTGATGTTTCTAACACACAACGAAGGTTCTGAACCTGTGACAAAAAGAGAAAAGTGAATTTAACGACTTCAGAGCAGAGGAAGAGGCAGATCATTAAAGGTCTTATATTTATCTTCTCTGATGTCTTCTTTGATCTGTGGTGGTGCAGTATTCGACAAACACTACATCAACCGTAACTTCGACCGCACGGGGCAGATGTCGGTGGTGATCACGCCGGGGGTCGGAGTGTTCGAAGTGGACCGTCTGCTCATGATCCTCACCAAACAGAGGATGATCGACAACGGTGAGCTCCCAACTCACAAGCTAGCTTTAGCTTTGACTCGCTAACTCTAACCCTTTATGTATACTGAGTTACAATGCGCAGAGACATTAAGCTCAAAGACAGATATTGTTCTGCCCCCTTCTGGACAAACAAGGAACTAAACCAGAGTGGGTCTGTGAACATTCAGCAGGGTTCATTTCATTAATCAGAATTGTATTTTTTTGACCCAATAACAATTTTTTTGAGTGAAGTTTTGTCTTTCCTAAATCAAAAGTGAACATAGAAAGTGTCTGTTGTAGGCATCGGTGTGGACCTGGTCTGTATGGGAGAGCAGCCTCTTCACGCCGTGCCGCTGTTTAAGGTGACGCTGCTGCTTCTGATGTCACATGTTGATGATGTCAGAACAGTCATCTAATGAGCTTTTATTTTTTTATTTAGCTTCACAACAAACCAACTCCTGGAGATTCTCGAGTTGGAGACGATTACAACCTGCCTCATTGGATCAACCACAGGTAAAGTATACAGACCTCTGTCTCAGTATACATACATCTGTCTCAGTATACATACATACATCTGTCTCAGTATACATACAGACCTCTGTCTCAGTATACATACCTCTGTCTCAGTATACATACAGACCTCTGTCTCAGTATACATACAGACCTCTGTCTCAGTATACATACAGACCTCTGTCTCAGTATACATACACACCTCTGTCTCAGTATACATACCTCTGTCTCAGTATACATACAGACCTCTGTCTCAGTATACATACAGACCTCTGTCTCAGTATACATACAGACCTCTGTCTCAGTATACATACAGACCTCTGTCTCAGTATACATACAGACCTCTGTCTCAGTATACATACAGACCTCTGTCTCAGTATACATACAGACCTCTGTCTCAGTATACATACATACCTCTGTCTCAGTATACATACAGACCTCTGTCTCAGTATACATACAGACCTCTGTCTCAGTATACATACAGACCTCTGTCTCAGTATACATACAGACCTCTGTCTCAGTATACATACAGACCTCTGTCTCAGTATACATACAGACCTCTGTCTCAGTATACATACTTTTCCTTTTGCAGCTTTTACACATCCAAAAACCAGAGCCCGTGCAGTTCCTTCACTCCTCGCATCAAACTGGCAGCAAGAAAAGTAAGAATCTCATAAACTGAACATTCTGGTGATGTCACATGTTGCACTAATAATAATAAAATAAATCTCCTCATTCTCAGTTTCACGCAGACAGGATGAAGAGCCACAGGGAGCACAGTGAGTGACCGGTGTGTGGATGGACTGGAGGACACACAGATGTTGACGTGTGTGTGTGTGTGTGTGTGTGTGTCAGCTCTGTGTGTTCAGAAAGAGCCGGAGAACAGCCTGCCCATCCAGGTGGACTACGACGCCCACGATGCCCAGGTGTTCCGCCTCCCAGGACCGGCCCGAGTGCAGAGGCCCTCGCACTTCAGGTCAGACCTCTGCTCAGCTTTAATGACATGTTATAGAAATCTGACTTTTAAAGAAATCTGACTTGTATAGAAACTTGTATAAGAATCTGACTTTTAAAGAAATCTGACTTGTATAAAAATCAGACACTTTTAAGAGTATTTAACTAATCGTCAACTCTTGATTCAAATAGAGGACATATAATCTGAAAGGCCAATGGATGGACAGGCCACATATGTTTGGTTCTGTATCCATGTGCAAGAAGTGTATGTCCAGCTCCAGACTGTATCAGGGTTTAGAACACAGACTGAAAATACTAGAACAGTAAACTCTACATTCTACAACATTCATGGACATTGGTCTCTCCCTGTGGACAATACATGTGTTCTATGTGTTTGTGTTTTAACTGTTGATTCTCTGATCTGTGTTGGCAAATTCAACGGTTTTGTTAAGTCCTCTGAGAAACTACTGCTGTGATTTAGGGCGATACAAGAATACATTGAATTGTTAAAGTACAGCCTTGAGCTACTTGCTTCAATGAGGACTTGATTTCTTTAAGACTTAGACGGTGGAACACTGCGTTGTCCTGTAAATGTAAAACAGTTTATTTAAAGAAATAATTCATAGTCTAAAACTTATTATCAAGATCATATTTAAAGTGTACACATATAATGCATAATACAGTGCCTTGCGTAGGTATTCGGCCCCCTTGATCCTTTCAACATTTCGCCACATTTCAGGCTTCAAACATAAAGATATAACATTTTAATTTTTTGTCATGAATCAACAACAAGTGGGACACAATCGTGAAGTGGAACGAAATGTATTGGATAATTTAAACTTTTTAACAAATAAAAAACTGAAAAGTGGGGCGTGCAATATTATTCGGCCCCTTTACTTTCAGTGCAGCAAACTCAGTCCAGAAGTTCAGTGAGGATCTTTGAATGATCCAATGTTGTCCTAAATGACTGATGATGATAAATAGAATGCACCTGTGTGTAATCAAGTCTCCGTATAAATGCACCTGCTCTTTGATAGTCTCAGGGTTCTGTTTAAAGCGCAGAGAGAACCATGAAGACAAAGGAACACACTGGGCAGGTCCGAGATACTGTTGTGGAGAAGTTTAAAGCCGGATTTGGATACAAAAAGATTTCCCAAGCTTTAAACATCTCAAGGAGCACTGTGCAAGCAATTATATTGAAATGGAAGGAGTATCAGACCACTGCAAATCTACCAAGACCCGGCCGTCCCTCCAAACTTTCATCTCAAACAAGGAGAAGACTGATCAGAGATGCAGCCAAGAGGCCCATGATCACTCTGGATGAACTGCAGATAACTACAGCTGAGGTGGGAGAGTCTGTCCATAGGACAACAATCAGTCGTGCACTGCACAAATCTGGCCTTTATGGAAGAGTGGCCATTTCTCAAAGATATCCATAAAAAGTAAAGTTTGCCACAAGCCACCTGGGAGACACACCAAACATGTGGAAGAAGGTGCTCTGGTCAGATGAAACCAAAATCGAACTTTTTGGCCACAATGCAAAACGATATGTTTGGCGTAAAAGCAACACAGCTCATCACCCTGAACACACCATCCCCACTGTCAAACATGGTGGTGGCAGCATCATGCTTTGGGCCTGCTTTTCTTCAGCAGGGACAGGGAAGATGGCTAAAATTGATGGGAAGATGGATGGAGCCAAATACAGGACCATTCTGGAAGAAAACCTGTTGGAGTCTGCAAAAGACCTGAGACTGGGACGGAGATTTATCTTCCAACAGGACAATGATCCAAAACATAAAGCCAAATCTACAATGGAATGGTTCACAAATAGACGTATCCAGGTGTTAGAATGGCCAAGTCAAAGTCCAGACCTGAATCCAATCGAGAATCTGTGGAAAGAGCTGAAGACTGCTGTTCACAAACGCTCTCCATCCAACCTCACTGAGCTCGAGCTGTTTTGCAAGGAAGAATGGGCAAGAATTCCAGTCTCTCGGTGTGCAAAACTGATAGAGACATACCCCAAGCGACTTGCAGCTGTAATTGCAGCAAAAGGTGGCGCTACAAAGTATTAACGCAAGGGGGCCGAATAATATTGCACGCAACACTTTTCAGTTTTTTATTTGTTAAAAAAGTTTAAATTATCCAATAAATGTTGTTCCACTTCACGATTGTGTCCCACTTGTTGTTGATTCTTGACAAAAAAATAAATGTTTATATCTTTTTGTTTGAAGCCTGAAATGTGGCGAAATGTTGAAAGGTTCAAGGGGGCCGAATACTTTCGCAAGGCACTGTATGAACTGTCTCATATGAACTGTCTCATGCACTGTCTCATGAACTGTCTCATGAACTGTGTCATATGAACTGTCTCATGAACTGTGTCATGAACTGTGTCATGAACTGTGTCATGAACTGTGTCATGAACTGTGTCATGAACTGTGTCATGAACTGTCTCATATGAACTGTCTCATGAACTGTGTCATGAACTGTGTCGTGAACTGTCTCATATGAACTGTGTCATGAACTGTGTCATGAACTGTCTCATATGAACTGTGTCATGAACTGTGTCATGAACTGTCTCATATGACTTTCAGGTTAGGCCGTGAGCGAGAGGGCAGTGCGCGGCGGAGCTGGGGGTCTGTGGAGGTGGCGGGGGGGATGGGGGTGTCTCCTCCGGTGCGGTCCACAGATGAGCAGCGCAGTCTGGCCTCTGACGACAGCCTCGGCCCTGTGTCCAACATGCTGCTGATCCCACGTCTGCAGGGAGTGGGGCAGTACGAGGTCAGCAGCTCTCTGGGATACACCAGCACCAGAGGTGAGGACGGTCTCCTCCCATTCAGGATTTGTTCATGTTTACTGTTATGTACATTAGTCAAATAGATGTTGGTATCTGCCAAAGTCTGTAGTTTATAATCAAGAATCAAAGATATAATCAACATTTTTAGTTCCCTCCCTCACCTCTGGTCATGAGCTTTGGGTAATGACCTCTCCTGTCCCTCTCTCGCTCCTGTCTCTCTCTCTCCCTCTCCTCTACCTCTCTTCTCCTCTCCCTCTCCTCTCCCTCTCCTCTCCCTCTCCTCTCCCTCTCCTCCCCCTCTCCCTTTCTTGTCTCTGTCAGACCTGGTGGAGAAGATGCTGGACTCCCAGAGGGACAGCAGTGCTCCTGGACGCTTCACCGTGGGCAGTGCTGAGTCCACTCTCCACATTCGTCCCGGAGGCTACACCCCCCAGAGGGCCCTCATCAACCCCTTCACCCCGTCCCGGATGCCCATGAAGCTCACCTCCAACCGCCGCCGCTGGATGCACACCTTCCCCGTCGGTCAGACTCTCCTCTCTCTGCTTCTGATTCTTTTGTTCTCTGCCTCCTCATCCTGCCTTCATCTTCAGTATAAAACCCACAGATAAACAGCACAATCATTTAAAGCAGTGACATTCCCCAACATTTGTTCCCCTTTGTTCGCCCGTCGTCAGGGTAGACATTCCCAAGATGCATGAAATGCAGTGTGAATATTTCAGAACAGGTCACTTTAAAGGAGCATTTTTTAAGATTTTCATGTCAAGTCATCCTTTAATGGCCCTAATCTGTCATCATTAAAGGGCCCTAATCTGTCATCATTAAAGGGCCCTAATCTGTCATAATAATAAACTGCTCTTTTCCAGTACTTCTTTAACTGATAAGATTGTATATTTTAATTTCTAAATCAGTTTTTGGGAGAGGCTGCAGTACCACTTTTGGCCAGATTTTTATACACTGCTGCTTTGATACAAACAGAGAATGTGGTTTACCGTCAATTGATCCAGTTGTTAAATGTGTGACGTCAGGACCCTCCGGAGAGGCCATCCAGATCCACCACCAGACCAGACAGAACATGGTGGAGCTTCAGGAAGAGCGAGACCCCGCCCACACGTCTGCAGAGCTGCTGGAGCTGGCCTATCACGAGGCCACAGGCAGGTCAGAGAGGCTTCCTTTTTAACACCTTTTTTGCTACCCCCGGGTCAAAATTACCCACCACAGATTTAATAAAAATACCCCGAAAACACATCCATCCATCCATTTTCTTCCCCTTAATCCATTTCTGGGTCGGGGGGGTGGCAGTCAGAGCTGCACCCAGTCCACAGAGCACCAGCCCCTCACTGATCCTCCTGCAGGTGCTGAGTCCACAGGAGCTGAGGTCTTTCAGTGGGAGCTTCAGGCAAAGTGGGGTTAAGTGTCTTGCCCAAGGACACAACGACAGCAGACATCAGTGGGAGTCGTGAAGTAGGTCTTACGATGGTCTCGAACCCATGACCTTCAGGCCCAAAGGCCAATGCTCTACCAACCGAGCCACTGTCACCCCCGAAAACAATGGCTACAATCACAGCTGTGTTAAATATTATTTCTCCTTGGGCAACATTGCTGACTCTGGTTGTCACGGTTACAAATGTTGGCGGTAACCTAACCTGTATGTACAGAACTTGGAGTATACTTTTATAAACTAAATAATGAAGGTCTGATTCTGGATCGAGGACATAAGGTTCAATGTGACGGATCATTGTTGGAGAAAGTGTATTCTCAGGTGTGAAATGACTACGTACCGGTGACAGCTGAAGAGTTGGCTTTCATGCTGTGTGTTTACCTCCATTCTTAGCATGAGGCTACGTTACTGCGCGGGGGGAAGAGATCAGCTTTTTTTCTTACATTTTATCTATATTTAATAACATGACCATTTCAAATTAGATAAATGATCAGCTTATTTCAATTGAGGTGACATCACATCTATGCAAGAAATGTCTTTATTTTATTTTGATTTATATATTTTTGTTAGTTTGTCTTTTGTCTTACCTCTCATCTGCGATCTTGTGTATTTTGTTTTCCTGTTGCCTAAGTGGGTTTTTGTCATTGTGTTGCTTTATGTATCGTATGTATATGTTTTGTATGTACATATTGTGAGCTATACTTCATTATTATCACCACACTTATGATCAGGATGGACTGTGAATCATCTTCTTCACATACAATCTCATGTTCTTGTGTTCCCCAGGAGAACCACGCTGCGTCACGGAGAGAACGGGCTGCACTTCGGAGTCGTGGAGGAGTTCACCGGGAGTCCAGGGAGTCAGGCCAGCGGTGAGCTCCGGACTCTGGAGGTTCACTGGACCCTTTACATTCACTACAGCTTCAAATGAAACAATTCAAACCAGTCTATGGAGCGGTCGCTGTTGGAACTTTTACATATCTATATATCTGTAGAACTTTCCAGACTTGAATATAAGCCTCACTTGAACATAAGCCTCACTTGAACATAAGCCGCACTTGAACATAAGCCGCACTTGGATATAAGCCGCACTTGAATATAAGCCGCACTTGAATATAAGCCGCACTTGATTAGAAGCCGCACTTGAAAATAAGCCGCACTTGAACATAAGCCTCACTTGAACATAAGCCGCACTTGAACATAAGTGTGTGTGTGTGTGGGTTTGTGTATCTGTCTGTCTGTCTTTGTGTGTGTGTGTGTGTGTGTGTGTGTCTGTGTGTGTGTGTGTGTGTGTGTGTGTGTGTGCGTGTGTTTCTCTGTCTGTGTGCATCTGTGTGTGTTTGTGTGTCTATCTGTCCCTGTGTGTGTGCGTCTGTGTGTGTCTGTGTGTAACTGTGTGTACTTGTTTGTCTAACCCCGTTGAAAACCCCCTCCTCCTTCTTCACACTCAGATCATTTCTTGACCGTGTCGTCTGCAGGAACCTTGACAAACCGCGGCTCCTTTGATAACTTCTCTCTGAGCGGCAGTGATCCGAGTGAGTCCTCCTCTCTCTCCACAATCTCTGCACACACTCAGACCTCGCTGCTGGGTGTGCTCCACAGAATCATGGTTTGGTGAAACAAAAAAGAACCTTAAACCTGAGGTGACAATAACATCAGAGTTTTGCAGCAGGTGTCTCTGTGGGTGGTGTGTCAAGGAAGCAGGGCGTGTGGTTTGGGATGCGCCCTTTACTCTCTCCCACTCTCTCCTACTCTCTTCTACTCTCTCCCACTCTCTCCTGCTCTCTCCTACTCTCTCCTACTCTCTCCTACTCTCTCCTACTCTCTTCTACTCTCTCCCACTCTCTCCTGCTCTCTCCTGCTCTCTCCTGCTCTCTCCCACTCTCTCCCACTCTCTCCTACTCTCTCCTACTCTCTTCTACTCTCTCCTGCTCTCTCCTACTCTCTTCTACTCTCTCCTACTCTCTCCTGCTCTCTTCTACTCTCTCCCACTCTCTCCTACTCTCTCCTACTCTCTCCTACTCTCTACTACTCTCTCCTGCTCTCTCCTACGCTCTCCTACTCTCTCCTGCTCTCCTACTCTCTCCCACTCTCTCCTACTCTCTCCTGCTCTCTCCTGCTCTCTCCCACTCTCTCCCACTCTCTCCTACTCTCTCCTACTCTCTTCTACTTTCTCCTGCTCTCTCCTACTCTCTTCTACTCTCTCCTACGCTCTCCTACTCTCTCCTGCTCTCCTACTCTCTCCCACTCTCTCCTACTCTCTCCTGCTCTCTCCTGCTCTCTCCTACTCTCTCCTGCTCTCTCCTGCTCTCTCCCACTCTCTCCTACTCTCTCCTACTCTCTCCTACTCTCTCCTGCTCTCTCCTACTCTCTTCTACTCTCTCCTACGCTCTCCTACTCTCTCCTGCTCTCCTACTCTCTCCCACTCTCTCCTACTCTCTCCTACTATCTCCTGCTCTCTCCTACTCTCTCCCGCTCTCTCCCACTCTCTCCTGCTCTCTCCTACGCTCTCCTACTCTCTCCTGCTCTGCTACTCTCTCCCACTCTCTCCTACTCTCTCCTGCTCTCTCCTGCTCTCTCCCACTCTCTCCCACTCTCTCCTGCTCTCTCCTACTCTCTCCTACTCTCTCCTACTCTCTTCTACTCTCTCCCACTCTCTCCCACTCTCTCCCACTCTCTCCTGCTCTCTCCTACTCTCTCCTGCTCTCTTCTACTCTCTCCCACTCTCTCCTGCTCTCTCCCACTCTCTACTACTCTCTCCCACTCTCTCCTACTCTCTCCCGCTCTCTCCCACTCTCTCCTGCTCTCTCCTACTCTCTCCTGCTCTCTTCTACTCTCTCCCACTCTCTCCCGCTCTCTCCTACTCTCTCCTACTCTCTCCTACTCTCTTCTACTCTCTCCCACTCTCTCCCACTCTCTCCTGCTCTCTCCTACTCTCTCCTGCTCTCTTCTACTCTCTCCCACTCTCTCCTGCTCTCTCCTACTCTCTCCTGCTCTCTTCTACTCTCTCCCGCTCTCTCCCACTCTCTCCTGCTCTCTCCTACTCTCTCCTGCTCTCTTCTACTCTCTCCCACTCTCTCCTACTCTCTCCCGCTCTCTCCCACTCTCTCCTGCTCTCTCCTACGCTCTCCTACTCTCTCCCACTCTCTCCTGCTCTCCTACTCTCTCCTGCTCTCCTACTCTCTCCCACTCTCTCCTACTCTCTCCCACTCTCTCCCACTCTCTCCTGCTCTCTCCTACGCTCTCCTACTCTCTCCCACTCTCTCCTACTCTCTCCTACTCTCTCCTGCTCTCTCCTGCTCTCTCCTACTCTCTCCTACTCTCTCCTACTCTCTTCTACTCTCTCCCACTCTCTCCTGCTCTCTCCTACTCTCTCCTACTCTCTCCTACTCTCTCCTGCTCTCTTCTACTCTCTCCTACTCTCTCCTGCTCTCTCCTGCTCTCTCCTGCTCTCTCCTACTCTCTCCTACTCTCTCCTACTCTCTCCTGCTCTCTCCTGCTCTCTTCTACTCTCTCCTACTCTCTCCCGCTCTCTCCTGCTCTCTCCTGCTCTCTCCTACTCTCTCCTGCTCTCTCCTACTCTCTCCTACTCTCTCCTGCTCTCTCCTACTCTCTCCTACTCTCTCCTACTCTCTCCCGCTCTCTCCCGCTCTCTCCTGCTCTCTCCTGCTCTCTCCTACTCTCTCCTGCTCTCTTCTACTCTCTCCTACTCTCTCCTACTCTCTCCTGCTCTCTCCTACTCTCTCCTGCTCTCTCCTACTCTCTCCCGCTCTCTCCTGCTCTCTCCTACTCTCTCCCGCTCTCTCCTACTCTCTCCTGCTCTCTCCTACTCTCTCCTACTCTCTCCTGCTCTCTCCTGCTCTCTCCTACTCTCTCCTACTCTCTCCTACTCTCTCCTACTCTCTCCTGCTCTCTCCTGCTCTCTCCCGCTCTCTCCTACTCTCTCCTGCTCTCTCCTACTCTCTCCTACTCGCTCCTACTCTCTCCTGCTCTCTCCTACTCTCTCCTGCTCTCTCCTGCTCTCTCCTACCCTCTCCTGCTCTCTCCTACTCTCTCTTGCTCTCTCCTGCTCTCTCCCACTCTCTCCCGCTCTCTCCTACTTTCTCCTACTCTCTCCTGCTCTCTCCTACTCTCTCCTGCTCTCTCCTACTCTCTCCTGCTCTCTCCTGCTCTCTCCTACTTTCTCCTACTCTCTCCTGCTCTCTCCTACTCTCTCCTGCTCTCTCCTACTCTCTCCCGCTCTCTCCCGCTCTCTCCCGCTCTCTCCTGCTCTCTCCTACTCTCTCCCGCTCTCTCCCGCTCTCTCCTGCTCTCTCCTACTCTCTCCTACTCTCTCCTACTCTCTCCTGCTCTCTCCCGCTCTCTCCCGCTCTCTCCTGCTCTCTCCTGCTCTCTCCTAGTCTCTCCTGCTCTCTCCTACTTTCTCCTACTTTCTCCTGCTCTCTCCCACTCTCTCCTACTCTCTCCTACTCTCTCCTACTTTCTCCTGCTCTCTCCCACTCTCTCCCACTCTCTCCTACTCTCTCCCACTCTCTCCTACTCTCTCCCACTCTCTCCTACTCTCTCCTGCTCTCTCCTACTTTCTCCTGCTCTCTCCCACTCTCTCCTACTCTCTCCTACTTTCTCCTGCTCTCTCTCACTCTCTCCCACTCTCTCCTACTTTTTCCTGCTCTCTCCTACTCTGTTCTGTTCTCTCCCACTCTCTCCTTTTCTCTCTGTTTCTCTCCCACTCTCTCCTACTTTCTCCTGCTCTCTCCCACTCTCTCCTACTCTCTCCTGCTCTCTCCCACTCTCTCCCACTCTCTCCTGCTCTCTCCCACTCTCTCCTGCTCTCTCCCACTCTCTCCTACTTTCTCCCACTCTCTCCCACTCTCTCCCACTCTCTCCTACTTTCTTCTGCTCTCTCCCACTCTCTCTCCTACTCTCTCCCACTCTCTCCCACTCTCTCCTACTTTCTCCTGCTCTCTCACTCTCTCCCACTCTCTCCCACTCTCTCCTTTCTCCTGCTCTCTCCTACTCTGTTCTGTTCTCTCCCACTCTCTCCTACTTTCTCCTGCTCTCTCCTACTCTCTCCTGCTCTCTCCCACTCTCTCCTACTTTCTCCTGCTCTCTCTCACTCTCTCCCACTCTCTCCTACTTTCTCCTGCTCTCTCTCACTCTCTCCCACTCTCTCCTACTTTCTCCTGCTCTCTCCTACTCTGTTCTGTTCTCTCCCACTCTCTCCTTTTCTCTCTGTTTCTCTCCCACTCTCTCCTACTTTCTCCTGCTCTCTCCCACTCTCTCCTACTCTCTCCCACTCTCTCCCACTCTCTCCTACTTTCTCCTGCTCTCTCACTCTCTCCCACTCTCTCCCACTCTCTCCTTTCTCCTGCTCTCTCCTACTCTGTTCTGTTCTCTCCCACTCTCTCCTACTTTCTCCTGCTCTCTCTCACTCTCTCCCACTCTCTCCTACTGTCTCCCACTCTCTCCCACTCTCTCCCACTCTCTCCTACTTTCTTCTGCTCTCTCCCACTCTCTCCTACTCTCTCCCACTCTCTCCTACTTTCTTCTGCTCTCTCCCGCTCTCTCCCACTCTCTCCCACTCTCTCCTACTTTCTTCTGCTCTCTCCCACTCTCTCCTACTCTCTCCCACTCTCTCCCACTCTCTCCTTCTTTCTCCTGCTCTCTCACTCTCTCCCACTCTCTCCCACTCTCTCCCACTCTCTCCTTTCTCCTGCTCTCTCCTACTCTGTTCTGTTCTCTCCCACTCTCTCCTACTTTCTCCTGCTCTCTCCTACTCTCTCCTGCTCTCTCCCACTCTCTCCTACTTTCTCCTGCTCTCTCTCACTCTCTCCCACTCTCTCCTACTTTCTCCTGCTCTCTCTCACTCTCTCCCACTCTCTCCTACTTTCTCCTGCTCTCTCCTACTCTGTTCTGTTCTCTCCCACTCTCTCCTTTTCTCTCTGTTTCTCTCCCACTCTCTCCTACTTTCTCCTGCTCTCTCCCACTCTCTCCTACTCTCTCCCACTCTCTCCCACTCTCTCCTACTTTCTCCTGCTCTCTCACTCTCTCCCACTCTCTCCCACTCTCTCCTTTCTCCTGCTCTCTCCTACTCTGTTCTGTTCTCTCCAACTCTCTCCTACTTTCTCCTGCTCTCTCTCACTCTCTCCCACTCTCTCCTACTTTCTCCTGCTCTCTCTCACTCTCTCCCACTCTCTCCTACTTTCTCCTGCTCTCTCCTACTCTGTTCTGTTCTCTCCCACTCTCTCCTTTTCTCTCTGTTTCTCTCCCAATCTCTCCCACTCTCCTTCTCTCTCCTACTTCCTCCTTGTGTTCTTTCTACGGCAAAATCTGATCCTTTATGAATCAATGAATCATGTCTCAGTCAGTAACCAGTTTGAGAATATGAATTAAAATATAAGACTAGGCCTAGTTTGTTTGTATAGCACAATAATCATACACAGGAAAATAAAACTGCTTTACAAAGAAGAAATTAGATGAAAATAATACAAGTACAATGTTAAAAGAGGAAAAGATACAATACTTCAGTTATATGCACAGCTAAACAGAATGGGTCAGTCCCTGTGCTCCTCAGAGTCCCAGCAGGAGGCCAGTCCCTGTGCTCCTCAGAGTCCCAGCAGGAGGCCAGTCCCTGTGCTCCTCAGAGTCCCAGCAGGAGGCCAGTCCCTGTGCTCCTCAGGCTCACAGGCAGAAAACCAGAGAGAAGCAGAGATCAGCTTGTTTCAGCTCTATGCAAGAAAGATGAGATAAGATAGACTTTACTGATCTCACACAAAAGACTGAAGTATGAAACATGTTAAAGGTTAAAATATAGTCTGTGCAGGATATAATTATGAACAATAAAAAAGTGGCAATGGCAGTGCAGGTTTTTTCAGTCCTGGTGCTTTAGTGACTGCAAAACCAGCTCTAACTTCCCATGTTTTGAGTGTGTTGTGTATCACCTGCAGTATTATCACACATGTGCGTAGGCTGGACTGAGACACATGAAGAAGAGTGACCTATGGGACCTTTAAGTGTTCTCCTCCTCTCCATACGCACGTCTGCTCCTGCATGTCCAACGGCAAACTCTTCTTCTGCTGCTGCACAGTCTTATCCAATCACACGCCTTTTATCGCGCATGTCCTCTGTAATTCCAATCTTTGACAAAAAAATCACAAAATCGAGACTTTTCAGGATCTCTCTGTCCCCTCACTTCTCTCCACATCCACCGAACCCACAATCTGCATGTTCTCCACACCTCCAGGCCGCTCCCGAAATCGTCACAAGTAACGTTTTTTCTTCTTCTCCTCTTCTTCTTCTTCTTTGGTCATCATCACCTGTTGTTTCCCCCTGTTCCCCCGTAAACCCCGTGTGCTTGTGGCGTGTGCTGAAGTCTTGGTGCTGTCTGCGCCTCCGACAGTGCCTAGTTTCTGCTGCACGGTGGGAGTGGACTGGAAGAGCCTGACCACGCCCGCCTGCCTCCCCCTCACCACTGACTACTTCCCCGAGAGGCAGGCGCTGCAGAACGACTACACCGAGGGCTGCTACGACCTGCTCCCTCACAGCGACCTCGACAGGTGCCTCTCTGGTCTCTCTCTCTCTGGTCTCTTTCTAGTCTCTTTCTAGTCTCTCTCTGGTCTCTCTCTCTCTGGTTCCTTTCTCTGGTCTCTCTCTGGTCTCTCTCTGGTTCCTTTCTCTGGTCTTTCTACCAGAGAGAGACCAGATCATCCAAATTATGTTTTGAATGTGTATCTCTGTGTGTTTGTGTGTGTGTGTGTGTGTGTGTGTTTGTGTGTTTGTCTCTGTGTCTGTGTGTGTCTCTGTGTCTGTGTGTGTCGCTGCATGTGTGTGTCTGTGTGTGTCTCTGCATGTGTGTCTGTGTGTTTGTCTGTGTGTGGTGTGTGTCTCTGCATGTGTGTGTGTGTGTGTGTCTCTGTGTCTGTGTGTGTCTCTGCATGCGTGTGTGTGTGTGTGTCTCTGCATGTGTGTCTGTGTGTGTGTCTCTGTGTCTGTGTGTGGTGTGTGTCTCTGCATGAGTGTGTGTGTGTGTGTCTCTGCATGTGTGTGTGTGTGTACTTGTGTGTGTTCTCTGTGTCTGTGTCTCTGTCTCTGTCTGTGTGTCTCTGTGTGTGTGTGTGTGTCTCTGCGTATGTGTCTCTGTCTCTCTCTGTGTGTGTGTGTGTGTGTCTATGTCTATGTGTGTGTGTGTTTCTCTCTGTGTGTGTGTGTGTCAGGCGTGAGGACGAGGCTCCGTCCATGAGTGCGTCTCAGGTCTTTGAGGAGTTCATCTGTCAGCGGCTGATGCAGGGATATCAGATCATTGTGCAGCCCAACAGGAAGAGCCAGCCCAGCGCCGCCCCCCCCCTCGGCAGCAGCCCGCTCTACTCCAGAGGTTTCATTCATACACACAACATGTTTTTAGTTAGATTCAGAAGTAATTTGATTGTAAGTAACAAAGTAGTAGTAGTAGTTTATTGCCATTGTGCTGACGAGCACAATGGCACAACGACCGGGTCGTTAAGAAAGCTCGTCAGCGTCTCTACTTTCTGCAGAAACTTAGACAATTTACCACTAACTCTAAGATTCTGCTTAACTTTTATGGCTGCACCATTGAGAGTTTACTTGTTGGTTCTGTGTCTGTGTGGTTTGGAAACATCACAGATAAAGAAAAGAGAGCTTTAAACAAGGTGCTCCGCTCTGCAAAGAGGACCATGGGCTGTGAGACCAGAGAGAGACCAGAGAGAGACCAGAGAGAGACCAGAGAGAGACCAGAGAGAGACCAGAGAGAGACCAGAGAGAGACCAGAGAGAGACCAGAGAGAGACCAGAGAGAGAGACCAGACTAAACTGAAGTCTAATTTAAAGGCATCAAAATCAATCAATCAATAATTTTATTTTGTACCGCACAATTTGTGTACAAGGCAATTCAAAGTGCTTCACAAGAGACATTTAAAAACACAGATCAAAATGCATTAAAAAGTCAATATAAATACAATTCCTTAATATTGAAATTGAGGAACTATATGGGGGTTAAAACACATTAAAAAAGTGGGTTTAAAAAAGGCAATAAAAGTAATAAGTAGTACAAAATCAGTCTGTTTATCAAACTGTTTTTCGGCGGTTGCTTCCATGTTGATCCGGTGAAGAAGACGAGAGAAACCCCCTTGTAGATGATCTTTGTGTGTGCCTCAGGTTTGGTGTCGATGCGCCGCATGGAGGACGAGGAGACCGTGTTCTGGCTGAGCATGGGCCGGACCTTCCACAAAGTCTGCCTCAAGGACAAGATCATCACCGTGACGCGCTACCTGCCCAAGTGAGACCACACCTGCAGTAAAACCACAGTGGAGTACATGTGCAAGAGTGCCCAGTGTGGATCAGACCAGTACAGGAGGAGGACTAGAAAAAAATCAATTGTCAGCTGTAGCAATCAAAGAGCTACAGCTGAAAGAAGTGTTAGCGTGTTAGCATGTCCTGCATCTCAGCCAACGATATCAGAGGGAAGAAGCTGGAACATGGCTTTCCAGGGGGAGGGAGGCCAGAGAGAGACCAGAGAGAGAGACCAGACAGAGAGTCCAGAGAGAGTCCAGAGAGAGTCCAGAGAGAGTCCAGAGAGAGTCCAGAGAGAGTCCAGAGAGAGTCCAGAGAGAGTCCAGAGAGAGACCAGAGAGAGACCAGAGAGAGAGACCAGAGAGAAAGACCAGAGAGAGAGACCAGAGAGAGACCAGAGAGAGACCAGAGAGAGACCAGAGAGAGACCAGAGAGAGACCAGAGAGAGAGACCAGAGAGAAAGACCAGAGAGAGAGACCAGAGAGAGACCAGAGAGAGACCAGAGAGAGACCAGAGAGAGAGACCAGACAGAGAGTCCAGAGAGAGTCCAGAGAGAGTCCAGAGAGAGTCCAGAGAGAGTCCAGAGAGAGACCAGAGAGAGACCAGAGAGAGACCAGAGAGAGACCAGAGAGAGACCAGAGAGAGACCAGAGAGAGACCAGAGAGAGTCCAGAGAGAGTCCAGAGAGAGAGTCCAGAGAGAGAGTCCAGAGAGAGAGTCCAGAGAGAGAGTCCAGAGAGAGAGTCCAGAGAGAGAGTCCAGAGAGAGAGTCCAGAGAGAGAGTCCAGAGAGAGAGTCCAGAGAGAGAGTCCAGAGAGAGACCAGAGAGAGAGACCAGAGAGAGAGACCAGAGAGAGACCAGAGAGAGACCAGAGAGAGACCAGAGAGAGACCAGAGAGAGACTAGAGAGGGACCAGAGAGAGACCAGAGAGAGACCAGAGAGAGTCCAGAGAGAGTCCAGAGAGAGAGTCCAGAGAGAGAGTCCAGAGAGAGAGTCCAGAGAGAGAGTCCAGAGAGAGACCAGAGAGAGAGAGACCAGAGAGAGAGAGACCAGAGAGAGTCCAGAGAGAGTCCAGAGAGAGTCCAGAGAGAGAGACCAGAGAGAGAGACCAGAGAGAGAGTCCAGAGAGAGAGTCCAGAGAGAGTCCAGAGAGAGTCCAGAGAGAGTCCAGAGAGAGTCCAGAGAGAGACCAGAGAGAGACACCAGAGAGAAAGACCAGAGAGAGAGACCAGAGAGAGACCAGAGAGAGACCAGAGAGAGACCAGAGAGAGACCAGAGAGAGACCAGAGAGAGACCAGAGAGAGACCAGAGAGAGACCAGAGAGAGACCAGAGAGAGACCAGAGAGAGACCAGAGAGAGACCAGAGAGAGACCAGAGAGAGACCAGAGAGAGACCAGAGAGAGAGACCAGAGAGAGAGTCCAGAGAGAGTCCAGAGAGAGTCCAGAGAGAGTCCAGAGAGAGACCAGAGAGAGAGACCCATCACGTGTCAGTCCAATACCCTCCTCTCTGTTGTTGCAGATACCCGTATGAAACAGCCCAGATCAGCTACAGCTACAGCCTGTGCCCCCCGCAGCCCGAGGCCCAGTTCGTCTGCTGCTGGGTGGAGTTCGGACACGAGCGTCTGGAGGAGTACAAGTGGAACTACCTGGACCAGTACATCTGCTCCGTGGGCTCAGAGGACTTCAGGTTCTGACACACACAAAGCACACAATGATAGCAAACTGTGGGAGGAACAGAAACCAAATGAGTAAAAAGCAAAGGTTGCAGCAGAGAGTTCAATTTAGCAAATGTTTTCAAGAAATTAAAACTTTGAGATTATTTTGTCCAAGTTCAGTCAAAGCAAAAGGTTTAGCTCTTGTATTCAGAGCCTCTCACTAGTCTCTCTCTGGTCTTTCACTCTGGTCTCTCTCTGGTCTCTCTCTGGTCTATATCTGGTCTCCCTCTGGTCTCTCTGGTCTCTCTGGTCTCTCTCTGCTCTATCTCTGGCCTCTCTCTAGTCTCTCTGGTCTCTCTCTAGTCTCTCTGGTCTCTCTCTAGTCTCTCTGGTCTCTCTCTAGTCTCTCTGGTCTCTCTCTAGTCTCTCTGGTCTCTCTCTAGTCTCTCTCTGGCCTCCCTCTGGTCTCTCTGGTCTCTCTCTAGTCTCTCTCTGGCCTCCCTCTGGTCTCTCTGGTCTCTCTCTCTGGCCTCCCTCTGGTCTCTCTGGTCTCTCTCTAGTCTCTCTCTGGCCTCTCTCTAGTCTCTCTGGCCTCCCTCTGGTCTCTCTCTAGTCTCTCTCTGGCCTCCCTCTGGTCTCTCTCTAGTCTCTCTCTGGCCTCCCTCTGGTCTCTCTGGCCTCTCTCTAGTCTCTCTTTGGCCTCTCTCTGGTCTCTCTGGCCTCCCTCTGGTCTCTCTGGTCTCTCTCTAGTCTCTCTCTGGCCTCCCTCTGGTCTCTCTGGTCTCTCTCTAGTCTCTCTCTGGCCTCTCTCTAGTCTCTCTGGCCTCCCTCTGGTCTCTCTGGTCTCTCTCTAGTCTCTCTCTGGCCTCCCTCTGGTCTCTCTGGTCTCTCTCTAGTCTCTCTCTGGCCTCCCTCTGGTCTCTCTGGTCTCTCTCTAGTCTCTCTCTGGCCGCTCTCTAGTCTCACTGGTCTCTCTCTGGTCTCTCTGGTCTCTCTCTGGTCTCTCTCTGGTCTCTCTCTGGTCTCTCTCCCTGGCCTCTCTCTAGTCTCTCTCTCTGGTCTCTCTCTAGTCTCTCTCTGGTCTCTCTCCCTGGCCTCTCTCTAGTCTCTCTCCCTGGCCTCTCTCTAGTCTCTCTGGTCTCTCTCTGGTCTATTTCTATCTCTTCTCTGTGTTTTATCCTAGTATATCTGATTATACTAGTTTAATATTTTTGTCCCAATGAGATCTGTACGATACTAACGAGTTGCGACTCTCCTTTAGCCTGATCGACTCGCTGAAGTTCTGGAGAACGCGCTTCCTGCTGCTGCCTGCAGGGGGAGCGCGGCGCGTGGGGGACATGGAGGGGCCTTGGGACGTGTACGGAGACGGGCCCGGTGTGGGGACCAACGGGGAGGGGGCTCTGCTGGACGGCTTTATCCGATTCGTGGAGGGTCTGAACCGCATCAGGAGACGGCACCGCTCCGACCGCATCATCAGGGTGAGTGTCAGAGGCCGCATGGACATAGGTCATATTTATTTATATAGCGCCTTTGTCTCTCACTCCACACAGAGATGGGAGCAGGGGTCGGGGTCAGTATATACAGGAGGTGCATGCCAGATCTATTGCTCATGTTTTTAGTGGTAGGGAAAACCGGAGCACCCGGAGGAAACCTAGGCAGACACGGAGAGAACATTCAAACTCAACACAGAAAGGCCTGGAGGTGGAGTCGAACCCAGGAGCTTGTCTGGTCTCTCTCTCTAGTCTCTCTCGGGTCTCTCGCTCTGGTCTCTCGCTCTGGTCTCTCGCTCTGGTCTCTCGCTCTGGTCTCAATTGTCTCTCTCTGGTTTCTCTCTCTGGTCTCTCTCTGGTCTCTCTTTCTAGTACCACTCTGGTCTCTCTTTTTGTTCTTTCTCTCTGGTCTCTTTCTGGTCTCTCTCTGGTCTCTCTCTCTGGTCTCTCTCTCTCAGGTCTCTCTCTGGTCTCTCTCTGGTCTGTCTCTGGTCTTTCTCTGGTCTCTCTCTCTGGTCTCTCTCTGGTCTCTCTTTCTAGTATCTCTCTGGTCTCTCTTTTTGTTCTTTCTCTCTGGTTTCTCTCTGGTCTCTCTCTCTGGTCTCTTTCTCTGGTCTCTCTCTCTGGTCTCTCTCTCTGGTCTCTCTCTGGTCTCTCTCTCTCTGGTCTCTCTCTGGTCTTTCTCTCTCTGGTCTCTCTCTCTGGTCTCTCTCTGGTCTCTCTTTCTAGTATCTCTCCGGTCTCTCTTTATGTTCTTTCTCTCTGGTCTCTCTCTCTGGTGTCTCTCTCTGGTCTCTCTCTCTGGTCTCTCTCTGGTCTTGCTCTGGTCTCTCTCTCTGGTCTCTCTCTCGTCTCTCTCTCTGGTCTCTCTTTCTGGTCTCTCTGGTCTCTGGTCTCTCTCTGGTCTCTCTCTCTGGTCTCTCTCTGGTCTCTCTTTCTGGTCTCTCTGGTCTCTCTCTGGTCTCTCTCTGGTCTCTCTCTCTGGTCTCTCTCTCTGGTCTCTGGTCTCTCTCTCTGGTCTCTTTCTGGTCTCTCTGGTCTCTCTCTCTGGTCTCTCTCTCTGGTCTCTCTCTCTGGTCTCTCTCTCTGGTCTCTCTCTCTGGTCTCTCAAAAGCAGCATAGGATAATTGCCCATATTTCCAGCCTCATGAGATACTGGTTAAGACATGATCCTGGAAACCTGTTTGAGTGACAGCTGTGTTTCCTGCTACAGAAGGGAACCCCCCTGAAGGTGACGGCGCCCCTCCCCTCCTACCCCCCTGAGCCTGTGGCCCCTCCCCCGGGAAAGAAGGGGACCTCAGCCCTGTCCGCTCTGCTGGAGATGGACCAGAATCACAAGTGAGTCGTCTGAGCTGCACTTTGAATCACCCGGACATCAATGCTACTATAAATACTTACTATACTATATACACTAGGGTTATTTTAATTTACTGTTTATTGATCTTATAAAGGCATGACATGTACATTTCAAAACACCTCGTCCAGTTTTGTATGAATAACAAAAACAAAGTTGACCGTTGATAGCGCACTAATGTTGGGGATTCAAACCTCAACATTCAAATAGAATCTTGTCTGTGTATAGTCGCACGCCGCTGGTTGCGTTGGCGGTTGCGTTGGCGGTTGCGTTGGACCTACGCAGCCACAGTTGCTCGTGCACTCGGGCGTACACCCTGCATAGTTTTGAAGATAATGTTGTAATCCCTCACCACAACCACATGATGGCGATCTCACAAGAGTTGGGTGGTTGATAATGGGGAGATAGATGGAGTTGGGTGGTTGATAATGGGGAGATAGATGGAGTTGGGTGGTTGATAATGGGGAGATAGATGGAGTTGGGTGGTTGATAATGGGGAGATAGATGGAGTTGGGTGGTTGATAATGGGGAGATAGATGGAGTTGGGTGGTTGATAATGGGGAGATAGATGGAGTTGGGTGGTTGATTATGGGGAGATAGATGGAGTTGGGTGGTTGATTATGGGGAGATAGATGGAGTTGGGTGGTTGATTATGGGGAGATAGATGGAGTTGGCTGATTGATAATGAGGAGATAGATGGAGTTGGGTGGTTGATAATGGGGAGATAGATGGAGTTGGGTGGTTGATAATGGGGAGATAGATGGAGTTGGGTGGTTGATAATGGGGAGATAGATGGAGTTGGGTGGTTGATGATGGGGAGATAGATGGAGTTGGGTGGTTGATAATGGGGAGATAGATGGAGTTGGGTGGTTGATTATGGGGAGATAGATGGAGTTGGGTGGTTGATAATGGGGAGATAGATGGAGTTGGGTGGTTGATAATGGGGAGATAGATGGAGTTGGGTGATTGATAATGGGGAGATAGATGGAGTTGGGTGGTTGATAATGGGGAGATAGATGGAGTTGGGTGGTTGATAATGGGGAGATAGATGGAGTTGGGTGGTTGATAATGGGGAGATAGATGGAGTTGGGTGGTTGATAATGGGGAGATAGATGGAGTTGGCTGATTGATAATGGGGAGATAGATGGAGTTGGGTGGTTGATAATGGGGAGATAGATGGAGTTGGGTGGTTGATAATGGGGAGATAGATGGAGTTGGGTGGTTGATAATGGGGAGATAGATGGAGTTGGGTGGTTGATAATGGGGAGATAGATGGAGTTGGGTGGTTGATAATGGGGAGATAGATGGAGTTGGGTGATTGATAATGGGGAGATAGATGGAGTTGGGTGGTTGATTATGGGGAGATAGATGGAGTTGGGTGATTGATAATAGGGAGATAGATGGAGTTGGGTGGTTGATAATGGGGAGATAGATGGAGTTGGGTGGTTGATAATGGGGAGATAGATGGAGTTGGGTGGTTGATAATGGGGAGATAGATGGAGTTGGGTGGTTGATAATGGGGAGATAGATGGAGTTGGGTGGTTGATAATGGGGAGATAGATGGAGTTGGGTGGTTGATAATGGGGAGATAGATGGAGTTGGGTGGTTGATAATGGGCAGATAGATGGAGTTGGGTGGTTGATAATGGGGAGATAGATGGAGTTGGGTGGTTGATAATGGGGAGATAGATGGAGTTGGGTGGTTGATAATGGGGAGATAGATGGTGTTGGGTGGTTGATAATGGGGAGATAGATGGAGTTGGGTGGTTGATAATGGGGAGATAGATGGAGTTGGGTGGTTGATTATGGGGAGATAGATGGAGTTGGGTGGTTGATAATGGGGAGATAGATGGAGTTGGGTGGTTGATAATGGGGAGATAGATGGAGTTGGGTGGTTGATAATGGGGAGATAGATGGAGTTGGGTGGTTGATAATGGGGATATAGATGGAGTTGGGTGGTTGATAATGGGGAGATAGATGGAGTTGGGTGGTTGATAATGGGGAGATAGATGGAGTTGGGTGGTTGATAATGGGGAGATAGATGGAGTTGGCTGATTGATAATGGGGAGATGGATGGAGTTGGGTGGTTGATAATGGGGAGATAGATGGAGTTGGGTGATTGATAATGGGGAGATAGATGGAGTTGGGTGGTTGATATGGGGAGATAGATGGAGTTGGCTGATTGATAATGGGGAGATAGATGGAGTTGGGTGGTTGATTATGGGGAGATAGATGGAATTGGGTGGTTGATAATGGGGAGATAGATGGAGTTGGGTGATTGATAATGGGGAGATAGATGGAGTTGGGTGGTTGATAATGGGGAGATAGATGGAGTTGGGTGATTGATAATGGGGAGATAGATGGAGTTGGCTGATTGATTATGGGGAGATAGATGGAGTTGGGTGGTTGATAATGGGGAGATAGATGGAGTTGGCTGATTGATAATGGGGAGATGTATGGAGTTGGGTGGTTGATAATGGGGAGATAGATGGAGTTGGGTGGTTGATTATGGGGAGATAGATGGAGTTGGCTGATTGATAATGGGGAGATAGATGGAGTTGGGTGGTTGATTATGGGGAGATAGATGGAGTTGGGTGGTTGATTATGGGGAGATAGATGGAGTTGGGTGGTTGATAATGGGATGGGAGATAGATGGAGTTGGGTGGTTGATAATGGGGAGATAGATGGAGTTGGGTGGTTGATTATGGGGAGATAGATGGAGTTGGGTGGTTGATTATGGGGAGATAGATGGAGTTGGGTGGTTGATAATGGGGAGATAGATGGAGTTGGGTGGTTGATTATGGGGAGATAGATGGAGTTGGGTGGTTGATTATGGGGAGATAGATGGAGTTGGGTGGTTGATAATGGGGAAATAGATGGAGTTGGGTGGTTGATTATGGGGAGATAGATGGAGTTGGGTGGTTGATAATGGGGAGATAGATGGAGTTGGGTGATTGATAATGGGGAGATAGATGGAGTTGGGTGGTTGATAATGGGGAGATAGATGGAGTTGGGTGATTGATAATGGGGAGATAGATGGAGTTGGCTGATTGATAATGGGGAGATAGATGGAGTTGGGTGATTGATAATGGGGAGATAGATGAAGTTGGGTGGTTGATAATGGGGAGATAGATGGAGTTGGGTGGTTGATAATGGGGAGATAGATGGAGTTGGGTGGATGATTATGGGGAGATAGATGGAGTTGGGTGGTTGATAATGGGGAGATAGATGGAGTTGGGTGGTTGATTATGGGGAGATAGATGGAGTTGGGTGGTTGATAATGGGGAGATAGATGGAGTTGGGTGGTTGATAATGGGGAGATAGATGGAGTTGGGTGGTTGATAATGGGGAGATAGATGGAGTTGGGTGGTTGATAATGGGGAGATAGATGGAGTTGGGTGGTTGATTATGGGGAGATAGATGGAGTTGGGTGATTGATAATGGGGAGATAGATGGAGTTGGGTGGTTGATTATGGGGAGATAGATGGAGTTGGCTGATTGATAATGGGGAGATAGATGGAGTTGGGTGGTTGATAATGGCTTGTGTCTGTTTACATGTAGCTGTTTGATGAAAGGCGCTATACATATAAACTTTATTTACTACCTACTTACTACAATAATACTGTCTTTAAGTCTTCCCTCTGTGTTCCCTTCCTCTCGGTCAGGTCTCTGGAAGAGCAGCAGTCCAAGCCCCCTCCTGTGACCCCGGACCCCCCAGCGGTGTCTGTGGCCCCCTCGTATTTGGACAGCCCCCGCAAGGTGAGAGCGCCACCTTTTCTCCGACATAATCTCTGCTTCTGCCTTTACAAGAGACATGTTATGCCTTTAGTAATAAGCCAGTACTAGTTACCATTGCAACGTAATGTGTACGTGCTACCAGCTAGCATCTGGTTAGCCTTTCCACAAACTGATTTTTTCTGTATTTTCAAGTTATATTCACCAGTTTTAGCTCTTAGAAAAAGTGAGTGAAGATAAAAAAAAGTGTCAAAATAGTGTCTTTATAGTTTCTTCTTTAGCGTTAGCATAGTTTTAGAGTGTCTTCTTTAGCGTTAGCATAGCTTTAGAGTTTCTTCTTTAGCATTAGCATAGCTTTAGGGTTTCTTCTTTAGCGTTAGCATAGCTTTAGAGTTTCTTCTTTAGCATTAGCATAGCTTTAGAGTTTCTTCTTTAGCATTAGCATAGCTTTATAGTTTCTTCTTTAGCGTTAGCATAGTTTTAGAGTGTCTTCTTTAGCGTTAGCATAGCTTTAGAGTTTCTTCTTTAGCATTAGCATAGCTTTAGGGTTTCTTCTTTAGCGTTAGCATAGCTTTAGAGTTTCTTCTTTAGCATTAGCATAGCATGTCTCTTGGATGCTGACTGGGGCTTGGCTGTGGTGTCCTCTCTGGTCTTGTTGCCGTTGGATCCTGTGTCTGTGGCTTCAGGACGGTGCCTTTATATTTGACTTTATTCGAAGTCCGCGCTCCTCGTACGTCCCCCACTCTCAGGTGAGTGTACTCTCTCTCTGCGTGTGCTCTCTCTCTGCATGTTCTGCTCTCTGCATGTTCTGCTCTCGCTCACACATGTGTTAAAGGGGCCATAACTTGGACTGTTTTCAAAGATTTTAACTAGGGCTGTCAAACGATTACATTTTTTTAGTTGATTAATCGCACAGAAATGGTGAGTTAACTCACGATTAATCGCATTTTTAACATTCTATTTCAAATCCACTCCAATTGAAGTTAAACGAGATTATCAAATGTCATTCATACCAAATGTTCTTAAATCTGTTAGATTTGCTCACAACCCTTTGCTTTGGGGCAAAACCAACATGAGCTGTTAATGAAAGGGGGAAATTTACATACCCCAGCTTTAATTCAGCGAGTTTAGTTTCAGGAAAAGACAGGGACACTTCCGCAGTGTATTTGCGTGCACAGGTTACGCACAGGTTACGCACAGGTTACGCACAGGTTACGCACAGGTTACGCACAGGTTACGCACAGGTTACGCACAGGTTACGCACAGGTAATGCACAGGTTGCAAAGACACGATCACAACGCGCAGACAAAGTTCTGTGGCGTGTTTGGTCTTATATGACCATGTTACCGCGGCAACATTCACTCACAGCCGCTCACAGCCGTGTTGTTGTTAGCGGCTCACAGCCGTGTTGTTGTTAGCGGCTCACAGGCAGAGCGGCCGCGGAGGAGGCGGACTTCAGTTCACTTCAGCCCCGCGGTGACGCACGTATTCTTTTAAAACATGAGTTCCCAGAGACCTGCTCTGATGCATCTCACACGCTGCATTCTGAGTGATATTAAGGATAAATGGGCGGGTCATTCGGACTTGCGTTAATGCGTTAATTACATTTTTCCTTAACGCGTTTAAAAAAAATTAACGTGAGTTAACGCGATAATTTTGACAGCCCTAATTTTAACCCATTTTAACCCGGGTCAAAGCTGTGTAAAGTACTGTTTATTAATGTGGTTTTAGAAAAGTTCCGGCATGTTTTAGATTCTCCCACATCCATAACTTTAGCCCCACATCCCCACTCTACTCTACTCTACTCTACTCTACTCTACTCTACTCTACTCTACTCTACTCTACTCTACTCTACTCTACTCTATACTACTCTACTCTACTCTATACTACTCTACTCTACTCTACTCTACTCTATACTACTCTACTCTACTCTACTCTACTCTACTCTATACTACTCTACTCTACTCTACTCTATTCTACTCTACTCTACTCTATACTACTCTACTCTACTCTATACTACTCTACTCTACTCTATACTACTCTACTCTACTCTATACTACTCTATACTACTCTACTCTATACTACTCTACTGTAGTCTATACTACTCTACTCTACTCTACTCTATACTACTCTACTCTACTCTATACTACTCTACTCTACTCTACTCTATACTACTCTACTCTACTCTACTCTATACTACTCTACTCTACTCTACTCTACTCTACTCTACTCTACTCTACTCTACTCTACTCTATACTACTCTACTCTACTCTATACTACTCTACTGTAGTCTACTCTACTCTATACTACTCTACTCTACTCTACTCTATACTACTCTACTCTACTCTACTCTACTCTATACTACTCTACTCTACTCTACTCTACTCTATACTACTCTACTCTACTCTACTCTATACTACTCTACTCTACTCTACTCTATACTACTCTACTCTATACTACTCTACTCTACTCTATTCTGCTCTACTCTGCTCTACTCTACTCTCCTCTACTCTATACTACTCTACTCTACTCTATACTACTCTACTGTAGTCTACTCTACTCTATACTACTCTACTCTACTCTACTCTATACTACTCTCCTGTACTCTACTCTACTCTACTCTACTCTGCTCTACTCTACTCTACTCTATACTTCTCTACTCTACTCTAGACTACTCTCCTGTACTCTACTCTACTCTACTCTACTCTACTCTATACTACTCTACTCTATACTACTCTACTGTAGTCTACTCTACTCTATACTACTCTACTCTACTCTACTCTATACTACTCTCCTGTACTCTACTCTACTCTACTCTACTCTGCTCTACTCTACTCTACTCTATACTTCTCTACTCTACTCTATACTACTCTCCTGTACTCTACTCTACTCTACTCTACCTGGTTGTGTTTCCATAACCCTTTAGTATCTGGTTCTGTATGTTAGCAACCTACCCACAATAAAACAAGTGTCCATAGAAATTCCTTGATAACCATGGCTTCAGGCAGAACTCACTGTCAGTTAGAACACTGGAACCTGGTCAGTCCTGTGATGGGAGACCTTTTGGAACAGCAGGTGCCGCAGTGGAGCGGCTGCGGCTGTAAAGTGCCACTGCCTTTGTGTCCTTAGGCAAGACACTTCCCCCCACATTGCCTTTAGCTTTATAAAACCAATGCATCATTATTTAATCTGGTAAGTTGGTTCAGATCCAAAATCTACTGTATCCTGCTCAAACATCTGTGTGTGTGTGTGTTGTGTGTATCTGTGGACTTGTGTGTGTTGTGTGTGTCTGTGAACCTGTGTGTAGCCAGTCCCTGAAGCCTCGGACAGTGCAGATAGAGCAGGACTTCAGACCCAGACCTCTGAGACTGGATCCACAGACCCCAGGTGAGCTGTGTGTCTCTGTCTCTGTGTGTGTCTCTGTCTCTATTGTGTGTCTCTGTTTTCTGTCTGTCTCTGCCTCTTGTGTGTGTGTCTGTGTGTGTGTGTGACCCCTCTGCTCTGTTCCAGTTTAGCCTCAAACGGCGTCCTCTCTCTCTCTTCTTCGCCGACGTCTCTGGAGATTCTCGACGCCATCAAACATCCAACGTGAGACTTTACTCTTCACTGTTTGTTTTTAACGTTTATGTAGATTTTAATGTTTGATGTGATGTGTGTTGTGAGGCGCTTTGTGTTGCCTTGTGTAGGAAAGACAAATACATTTGATTGATTGTGCGGTGGCTGAAGCTAATCTGTTTTTGAACAATGTTATTCTGTGGCTAAAATCTCCAAAAAGTGAATCAGATTCATGTGTTCTTTAAACTGAAGTCCCTGTTTCAAACGTCCAGGACCGGGGTCCACCTGCTGCCGGAGCAGAAGGGGCTGCCTCCAAACTGCTTCATCAGTGCAGAGGTGGTTCATTGGCTCGTCAACAACGTGGAGGGCGTGGCCACTCAGGGCATCGCCGTGGACATCATGCAGGTACAGCCAGACAGAGCACATGCACTGCCTTTAGTGCGAGAGCAAGACTTTTCCACACATTTAAAAAGTACAAATACAGAGCCTTTATGAAAGTATGAAGCAGCTTGAACTTCTGCACATAACAATAACGTGATAAAACGAAGGTTACGTATGTAACCACGGTTCTATGAATCCCGGATGACCGTCAGAGAGCGGTGAATAGCACTGACTGTTCAGTGTGCATGAGGGAAGGGAACATTCAGTGCAATGCAGCGCCCTCTGGTGGTCAGGAGGGATGAAGTAGAACCCTGGTTCTGTTTGTGTGACAGAAAATGCTGGAGGAGGGGTTGGTGGCTCACGCCTCCGGAGACGCCATGCGAACCTTTGTCTACGGATTCTACTTTTACAGAATCGTAGGAGAAAAGGACGGTGAGTGTCACAGCGCCACCTTCAGCCCGGTGTCTGCACCACACATGTTTAATCTTGCATCAATAGAAATATCAGTCATGAAACCTCTTCTCAGAAAGTTTAAGTCTGTGAAAAGGTTTAAAAAGAATATTAATCATTCACAAAATTATTTAATTAATTGATGAACTTGTTACCGTTAGGCATGCTTTAGCTGCATAAATCAAACAGTGTGTGTGTGTCCTTTGTCCTTTGTCCCTCTGTGTGTGTGTGTGTGTGTGTGTGTGTGTGTGTGTGTGTGTGTGTGTGTAGCCTCGCAGATCGCCCCCTCTGCTGCTGGAGGCTGGTCGTCCGCTGCCCTCGAGGACCTGACGTTGTTCCAGAGGAAGTGGTTTGAGGTGGCCTTCGTCCTGGAGGAGCGCAGACCATGTGACCTGCCAGCCTTCTTGTTGCCGTGGTTACCCAGCAGGCCCGCCTCCTACGCAAGTAGGCACAGCTCTTTCAGCCGCAGCTTTGGAGGACGCAGCCAGGCCGCCGCACTGCTAGGTACAGCCAGCCCAACGCCAGAGGCCAGAGCAGAGCAGAGGAGAGCGAGACACGAGCCAACAGCAGGGGGCGCTCTCACCATCTACATCAGACACACAGCAGCAACATGGCTCAACAGTTACTACTCATGGGAAGCATCTGTATCCCAGTCGTATGATCTTCATGTCAACAGTCCTAAGTTGTGTCCATGGAAACTTCAGGGTTCTCATCAAAGAACCGCACCCAGAATCTGAAAATCACAAACAAAATCAGAAGAAACAAAATCACAGACTCCCACAGACTGAGCTGTTGATCCATGGAGCCTCCATCCTCCATAAGTCCGTCCATGTAACCCCCACCTCCTGCTGTGGCTCCTGCTGCGGTCTCCTCTGGGGCTCGTCTGGTCATGTCCTGTCTGTAGTGCATGAAGTAGTGGAGAGGTCTCAACGTGGTCCCAATGTGGTCCGTGTCTGGTCCCAGTCTGGTCCCAATGTGGTCCGTGTCTGGTCCCAGTCTGGTCTCAACGTGGTCCCAGTCTGGTCCCAGTCCCTGTGTTTATATGGGCAGAGAATATGAACGACACTACACAACCTGATGTATGCTTATCCCTCAGATAACTCTCTAGTCTCAGTATACATACATACCTCTGTCTCAGTATACATACCTCTGTCTCAGTATACATACAGACTCAGGAGCTCTGTCTCAGTATACATACACACCTCTGTCTCAGTATACATACAGACCTCTGTCTCAGTATACATACAGACCTGTCTCAGTATACATACATACCTCTGTCTCAGTATACATACCTCTGTCTCAGTATACATACATACCTCTGTCTCAGTATACATACCTCTGCCTCAGTATACATACATACCTCTGTCTCAGTATACATACCTCTGTCTCAGTATACATACAGACTCAGGAGCTCTGTCTCAGTCCTGTAATATTGTGACATCACACTGGCAATTTCTCAAGTGACTCAACTGCTCCCTCTGGTGGTAGCACAGGGAGTTACAGGCGGAAAGCATTTTGTGCCCTTCATACATGTCTTACCATAGTTTCTACTCAACATTATTATTATTATTTCACATTCTAAACCATTAAAGTCATTTGTCTCATATGTTTTTATGGCCAAAAGTAGTTTGTAGTATTTTCCTGAATAAGACTGGAGGTTATATCTCAGTCTTTCTCTGGCCCCATGTAAACGCAGTGAGTGTCAGCTAGTGTTGTGTGCGTTCTGCATGTGCCGTGGCTGTAGATTGTGGTGCCGTGGCTGTAGATTGTGGTGCCGTGGTCTCTGCTCCTCAGCTTTGCTTCCGTCTCCATCCAAAGGTTTGTCCATCGCTCACGCTCTGATCCCAATGGCTTCTCCCACTAAATGTAAACCAAATCTTTCTGTCGTCTCACGTTTAAGGCTTAGAAGGTTCTTTTGATGAGACAAAAGTGTACACTGCTTAATTACCTGACATTTGTTGGGGAACGAGGCAAAAATAGTAGTAACGGACCATCAACAGAGACGAGGGGGCCTTCACCTTGGCTCACACTCGGGATTCACTTCTCCAGAGACCACAGCGCAGCAGTAACAACAGCTGATAAGTGTAATCATAATAATACATGTTTATTTGCAAAGCACTTTTCAGAAACAGTGTTCACAAAGCAGTAAAAAGTCAAAAACAGTCAATGAATAGTCATAATAATAACTGATATGTTATAGATATCTAAAAGAAGAATAAAGCCGACAGACCACAAAAAAGACCAAACTCAAGTTCATAATTATAGCTTTGTGCCAGACCAAAACAAGCTTTAATTTAAAGGTGATGAGTAAAATCTAAAAATCTCTTCGATAGCGCACAGGGAGCCAGTGGAGGGACTCTAAGACAGGGGTAATGTGCTCCCTTCTGTTAAAACCAGTGAGAAGTCTGTCTGCTGCACAGCTTCTTTACACTTCTGTCTCAGTAAAAGAACCTTCTAGGCTTCTCCCACTCTCCGTCAAACTAAACCATTACACACAAACTGCTTCAATCTGTCCTGCCTCCCGTACCTGCCTCCCCCGTCTACCCCCTCCCTCCCCCAGCCGCCACCGTCCCGGAGCAGAAGACCGTGACTCTGGACGTGGACGTGAACAACCGCACGGACCGCAGCGAGTGGTGCAGCTGCTACTACCACGGAAACTTCTCTCCCAACTCCGCCTTTGAGATCAAGCTGCACTGGATGGCCGTCACCGCCGCTGTGCTCTTCGAGATGGTAACAAAGCTGCCGATTCGCCAACACAGATCAGAGAATCAGACAAAACACAGGAAATGCAATGATTAAAAAACACATAGAGCCATTGGTGAATTAGTGACAAAGACCAAAGTCCATAAATGTGGTTGAATATTTAGTGTTCTGTCCTGATGTAAGTATTTAATAAGTATTTAATCAAAGTAAAAACCTAATCCAACATAAAAATACCAAGACTAACAAGACACAGGTGAGACACATGACGACAGGTAACAGGAAGTAGAACTAAGGAAGATTCAGGGGTCGACAAATCACAAAACAAAACCATGTTCTGGATCATGACTGTCCTCAGACCTCCACATGATGCAGGTGGCAATACTTATGATAGATTACATTATGATAGATCACATTATGATAGATTACATTATGATAGATTACATTATGATAGATCACATTATGATAGATTACATTATGATAGATTACATTATGATAGATCACATTATGATAGATTACATTATGATAGATTACATTATGATAGATTACATTATGATAGATTACATTATGATAGATTACATTATGATAGATTACATTATGATAGATTACATTATGATAGATTACATTATGATAGATTACATTATGATAGATACATTATGATAGATTACATTATGATAGATTACATTATGATAGATTACATTATGATAGATTACATTATGATAGATTACATTATGATAGATTACATTATGATAGATCACATTATGATAGATTACATTATGATAGATTACATTATGATAGATCACATTATGATAGATCACATTATGATAGATTACATTATGATAGATTACATTATGATAGATTACATTATGATAGATTACATTATGATAGATTACATTATGATAGATTACATTATGATAGATCACATTATGATAGATCACATTATGATAGATTACATTATGATAGATTACATTATGATAGATTACATTATGATAGATTACATTATGATAGATTACATTATGATAGATTACATTATCATAGATTACATTATCATAGATTACATTATGATAGATTACATTATGATAGATTACATTATCATAGATTACATTATCATAGATTACATTATGATAGATTACATTATGATAGATTACATTATGATAGATTACATTATGACATATTCATCTGTTTTGATAATCCACTAGTCTCTTTTCTGCTGCTGTTGTTACTATTGTGATAATATTGAAAGTCATCAGTGTTTACTTACTTCCTTTGTTTTGTGTAATATCTGCTGAACCTTGTGCTCAGTGTGGGCGGGTCCCGGCTCAAAAGTGTCCAAAATAACTTGCGCTGACATGCTGCAATACCACCCCGGGCCTGTAGGGGTGGACCCAGAATAAGAATTAGCCAATGCTACTTACCTCTGGAAAACCTCTTTACAGGATGGTCCAAAAGTTGGCTCTTGGCCCAAATCTCCGTTCCACATGTGTGTCAATGCTGAGTGTTCTGGACCACTCTAGTTTAGTCGCTGTGGACTTTAGAAGTCACTCGTTCAAATGAATGGAGCTCGTGCAGCTGACGCATGCACAGATGTGTTTTTTCACAATTTTCTTGTGGGCGGGACCACTCGCGGCCATTTTGGATTGCTCCAGTAGAGCAAATTTTTTGGCCCATTAGTGAGAACGGCGGAGATAGACTGTAAATATTAACGGACAGAGCCACGCCTATGTTTGTGCTTTGTTCAAAACATGCAGGACAATGTGAATGCTAAATGAAAATAAAATAAAATAAACAAATAAAATGAATGAATAAATAAAAATATACATTAAAAATAAAAATAAAGGTCTTATCTGGTCATATTCTCTGTGGCTCAAATATGAAGTATGTAAATGTGAATTTGAAAAGATTCTGTGTTTGTTGTGTGTTTTAAAGCCCCTGTAACGTGTGTGTGTTTGTGTGTGTGTGTTGTGTAGGTGCAGGGCTGGAGCAGGAAGGCGGCCTCCTGTGGTTTCCTCCTGGTGCCCGTGTTGGAGGTGCCCTTCGCTCTCACCTCAAACCTGTACGGAGACCCCTTCAGGACTCACCTGTTCATCCCACTGCACACACACTGTCTGCTGCAGAACCACACCGACAACCTGTTCGAAGGTACACACACACACACACACACACACACTGTCTGCTGCAGAACCACACCGACAACCTGTTCGAAGGTACACACACACACACACACACACACACTGTATGCTGCAGAACCACACCGACAACCTGTTCGAAGGTACACACACACACACACACACACTGTCTGCTGCAGAACCACACCGACAACCTGTTCAAAGGTACACACACACACACACACACTGTCTGCTGCAGAACCACACCGACAACCTGTTCGAAGGTACACACACACACACACACTGTCTGCTGCAGAACCACACCGACAACCTGTTTGAAGGTACACACACACACACACACACACACACTGTCTGCTGCAGAACCACACCGACAACCTGTTTGAAGGTACACACACACACACACACACACTGTCTGCTGCAGAACCACACCGACAACCTGTTCGAAGGTACACACACACACACACACACACACACACACACACACACACACACTGTCTGCTGCAGAACCACACCGACAACCTGTTCCAAGGTACACACACACACACACACTGTCTGCTGCAGAACCACACCGACAACCTGTTCGAAGGTACACACACACACACACACACACACACACACACACACACTGTCTGCTGCAGAACCACACCGACAACCTGTTCGAAGGTACACACACACACACACACACTGTCTGCTGCAGAACCACACTGACAACCTGTTCGAAGGTACACACACACACACACACACACACACACTGTCTGCTGCAGAACCACACTGACAACCTGTTCGAAGGTACACACACACACACACACACACACTGTCTGCTGCAGAACCACACTGACAACCTGTTCGAAGGTACACACACACACACACAAAGAGATACGCACAAACACACGTCCACACATTTACAGACACAGTAATGAATACAAAAATAAAGTCAGTTAGTGCAGATTTAAAGAGACAGTGCACAATAAACATAAACCTCAGAGGGAGCCATGTACCTGGTTCTACAGTGACTCATATTGCCTCAGGGCCGATTTATTAGCTTGCGACCATCTTTTCATACACTGAATCCTCTCTGACAGTATCTCTAATCTCTAATCTCTAATCTCTAATCTCTCCAGGCTTCGAGCCGGAGTCGTACTGGGACCGCATGCAGCTGTTCCAGGAGGCCATTCTCTACAGGTTTGGTTTCGTTAACGACAAGTTCTCAGCCTCGGCCTTCAGCTTCCCCTCAGAGAACAGGCCGCAGTACATCCACGTCACAGGTCAGTGCCCCCACACTCTGGCGCCCCCTGCTGGAGGAGAAACAATATCAACTATCTGATTTACTAGAGATTAAACTGTAATACAGTCAGGATGGGATTTGAACAGAGATTTTGATTTCACTGTTTGTGGAAGAAAGTCTATAATTAAGTCTTTCTATATATTCTTTACAATAATCTATACAGCAGAGGACAAACTAAAGAAGGATTAAGTACTTTTGTCCTTTTCTCAGAGGTTCTCAGTGACACCTCTGACAACGTGGAGTCTATTGTTGTATTTGTGGATGAGGTTTTTGTCGTCTCTGATGCTAAAGCTACACATTCTCCAGTTCCAGTATAAAATCTCTAGCTTTAGCATAATAAAGAAGCTAGTCTAAAATCTCTAGCTTTAGCATAATAAAGAAGCTAGTCTAAAATCTCTAGCTTTAGCATAATAAAGAAGCTAGTCTAAAATCTCTAGCTTTAGCATAATAAAGAAGCTAGTATAAATCTCTAGCTTTAGCATAATAAAGAAGCTAGTCTAAAATCTCTAGCTTTAGCATAATAAAGAAGCTAGTCTAAAATTGTTAGCTTTAGCATAATAAAGAAGCTAGTACAGAATAGCATTGTGAGTGTATGGGACAAAGTGATGCGTTGGTTAGTCCTCGTTGTTCGTCGTACAGTCTGACAGTGGTTCTCCTGCAGGCACCGTGTTCCTGCAGCTGCCTTTCTCCAAACGCAAATTCACCAACGCTCCTCAACGCCGCCGCCGCAACTCCACGGCGTCCGGAGGCCAGGCGGGGGTGGGCGGGGCCGCGGGGGGGGAGGAGCGGCCCGGGTTCTACTGGGCCTACAACAGCATGCTAACCAAGGCCTGGAGGGGGGGCGCGCTGGGGGACGAGCGGCTAGCCGACCGCCTGCTCCGGGACTTCACCGACTTCTGCGCCAACAAGGACCAGCGCCTCAGACTGTTCTGGAACAGCTGCGTGGACAAGATGAACGCCAGCGCCCCCTGAAGAGCCGCGGGGGTCACTGCAGTTGGATCTGTTTGTGTGACGACCTAATCCACTTCAGAGATGTCGATTCAGTCGCAGCAGATCAGAGAATCAGACCGTTCAAATGCAATGATTACAAACACATAGAATCCATCGGTTCATGGGAGCGGCACTAGTGGCTATAAATGTCTTAGTCCAGAGGAGTCAAACTGGTCTAAACCGGTCCTCAAACGGGCCGTGTGGCTGCAGGTTTAAGCTCCAATCAGAGACAGGACAGTAGTGAGAGTAAGTAGCTGTTCAATGTTTCTGAACTAGCTCTAAATGCTTCAACATCAGACTCCACCCTTTTCCTCAAATCTTCAGGTTAAAACTGGACTCACCTGAGGAAATGGGTGGAGTCTGCTTTGCTCCTGCTCCTGGAACTAACACCTGCCCTTTGAGGACCGGTTTGACACCTCTGTCCTTAGATCCTTCTGCAACTAAAAAAACCCCAGTGGGAAAAAAGTGAGAAACCTCAGAGGTTCACACAGAGAGAGGGACGGAGGCTTTATAGACCCAGGACTGAGGCTGTAGACCCAGGACCGAGGCTGTAGATCCAGGACTGAGGCTGTAGATCCAGGACTGAGGCTGTAGACCCAGGACCGAGGCTGTAGACCCTGGACTGAGGCTGTAGACCCAGGACCGAGGCTGTAGATCCAGGACCGAGGCTGTAGATCCAGGACCGAGGCTTTATAGACCCAGGACCGAGGCTGCAGACCCAGGACCGAGGCTGTCGACCCAGGACCGAGGCTGTAGACCCAGGACCGAGGCTGCAGACCCTGGACCGAGGCTTTATAGACCCAGGACCGAGGCTGCAGACCCAGGACCGAGGCTGTAGATCCAGGACAGAGGCTGTAGACCCAGGACAGAGGCTGTAGACCCAGGACCGAGGCTGTAGACCCAGGACCGAGGTTGTAGACCCTGGACCGAGGCTTTATAGACCCAGGACTGAGGCTTTATAGACCCAGGACCGAGGCTGTAGACCCAGGACCGAGGCTTTATAGACCCAGGACCGAGGCTTTATAGACCCAGGACCGAGGCTTTATAGACCCAGGACCGAGGCTTTATAGACCCAGGACTGAGGCTGTAGACCCAGGACTGAGGCTTTATAGACCCAGGACTGAGGCTGTAGACCCAGGACCGAGGCTGTAGATCCAGGACTGAGGCTATAGACCCAGGACTGAGGCTTTATAGACCCAGGACTGAGGCTGTAGATCCAGGACTGAGGCTGTAGACCCAGGACTGAGGCTGTAGACCAAATCCTCCCTTTTCTCCCACTGGGTTTCATAGTTGATGTAGAGGATGATCCAGAACATTATGTCTCTGTGTTTCTATCTCTGCATTTTCAGTGTATTTTCTAAAATACACGGAAATAAAATACATGAAATACTTTCTGTGAAACTCCGGTGAAAGACTTTTTATCTCGCTTCTTTGTGAACGACTGAAACTGTTTTGTACAAATGTAAAAATGTAACATAATCAAGAGACTTCTTTAAAACGTCTGCCACAGATTTTTTATTCAGTGTTTTCTTAAAAAGCTCAGGACGATGTTGGTGTAAAATCCCTTTATTTAAAAATGAATAAATCCACATCAACAAAGGTTCAAATCCATTCACAACATTCTTAAGTTTGTGCGTGACTTTTCCAGTTTTATCAAACAGTGGATTGTCTTTGTTCTGATATTTATATTTATCCCGACGTCCCAAAAGAAGTCCAGACTAAAGCGCAACACAATCTCATGGCAACTTCAGTTTTTTTGGTTTTAATGCAACACAAAAGGCTTTTTCAAGACTGAATATTGTCAAAGATTTCAGACTTGGAGTGTGTGTGTCTGTGAGACTGTGTGTGTGTGAGACTGTGTGTGTGTGAGACTGTGTGTGTCTGTGAGACTGTGTGTGTCTGTGAGACTGTGTGTGTCTGTGAGACTGTGTGTGTGTGAGACTGTGTGTCTGTGAGACTGTGTGTGTGTGTGAGACTGTGTGTGTCTGTGACTGTGTGACTGTGTGTGTGTGTGAGACTGTGTGTGTCTGTGACTGTGTGACTGTGTGTGTGTGTGAGACTGTGTGTGTCTGTGAGACTGTGTGACTGTGTGTGTGTGTGTGTGACTGTGTGTATCTGTGAGACTGTGTGTGTCTGTGACTGTGTGTGTCTGTGAGACTGTGTGACTGTGTGTGTGTGTGTGACTGTGTGTATCTGTGAGACTGTGTGTGTCTGTGAGACTGTGTGTGTCTGTGAGACTGTCTGTGAGACTGTGTGTGTGTGTGAGAGAGACTGTGTGTCTGTGTGAGATTGTGTGTGTGTGAGACTGATTGTGTGTGTGAGACTGTGTGTCTGTGAGACTGTGTGTGTGTGAGACTGTGTCTGAGACTGTGTGTGTGAGACTGTGTGTGTCTGTGAGACTGTGTGTGAGAGAGACTGTGTGTGTCTGTGTGAGATTGTGTGTGTGTGAGACTGTGTGTGAGTGTGTGACTGATTGTGTGTGTGATACTGTGTGTCTGTGAGACTGTCTGTGTGAGATTGTGTGTGTGTGTCTGTGTGTGTGTCTGTGTGTGTGAGACTGTGTGTGTCTGTGTGAGATTTTGTGTGTGTGAGACTGTGAGAGTGTGTAACTTAGGCTGTTGTAGGAACTAGTGGCACAGACACATCCCCCCGCCCCTTCTGTCAAAACGTGACGGTATGAAACAGACACAGTGTGAAGGAGAGTGGACCGTGATTTCAGGAGATTTAAAAGTGCAAGACATCACTAACTATTATTAAATACTTCCATCTCAAGTCTCCAACCTGTGGCTCTGACGCTAACGACAGCTAACGACAGCTAACGGCAGCTAACGACAGCTAACGGCAGCTAACGACAGCTAACGGCAGCTAACGGCAGCTAACGACGGCTAACGACCCTCTTTAAAGTCAGTTTTATGGGTAAATATACAAAAAATCAGACTTCTTGCGCTGATAAATGATGGAAGGAACTAAAAATGCTCAAAAACATAGAAATTGTCTGACTTGAAAGAAGATTGAAATAAAACAATGAGCTTTAGTGTTAACAAATATTTTAAAATCAACATTAAAAAAACAAAAACAATCCATTGTAGCACAACATTTTGTCGAGGGTCTAAAAGTTTGGAGACAGCAGCTTTAAACTCAGGCCAAAAAGATTTAAGGATTTTCAGTTATTGCTTCCTCTGTGCTTCCATGGCACGTTCTACATCATCCTAAAGCTCATGGTTAAAGTGCAGAAAGAAGGTCGTGGGTTCGATTCCACCTTAGACTCTGCTCTGGAGCTACATCTGCCACAGTCCTCCGCCAACAAAAGTGTGGGTGTAATGGCGGTATCTGACCACTAGGGGCGCAGAATACACAGCAGGCTCTAAGGCAAACGGCAATACGAGAGAGAGACTCATTTACAGAATCTCTCTCTCTCCTTTGTCTGACTGCTCCTCAGTGTGGAGTTTGCATGTTCTCCTGCTGCTCTGGTTTCCTCCATCACTGATAAACATGTGATGGGGGAAGGTTGAAAGAGTGAGTGATGTTGTTTTGCTTCTGTGTGAATGTGTGAAGAGAAAAAGTGCTGAGTGTCTTTGGTCTCTGAAATAAATGTGCAATATAGATAAATATGACTTCTTTAATTAGATCCAAAGTGCAATTAGCAATAGTTAAAAAAGGCATAACACAAACTTCTACTAAAGTCCTTAGAGTATGAGAGAACTGTCAACCTCGGACCAAAATTAGTTAAAATAAAAGCAGAAAACAAAATGTGAGAGAGTTTGAGATGGCGTCTGTTTTGACAGAAGGGGTGGGGGGAGGTGCCAGTGCCAGAGTGTCCTGATATTAAAGTGAACGGAGCTTAAAAAAATGTAAAAATAAACTAAAATAGAACAATCCAAATCTTCTCCTGGTTTCTCTTCCCTCTCGTGTTTTGAGGTAAAACGGTAAAAAGATTTGACCTGGTTTATTTATTTTTTTTCTCTGGTTGTTCCTTGTCCAGAACTAAAAATCCCTAAAAAGCAAAAGTCTTCAAAAAGACATCTGTAGATAAAAGTGCTTCTCTGCAGTTAAAGTGCAGGATCTTGGCCCTTTGCTCCACGAGGTTTTAAAGTGTTTTTCTCCAGAGGTTTTAAAGTCTTAATTAACCGCAGCTTCTTCTTCAGTCACGACCGGAACGAGTCCTGCGGAAAACACAGAAACCGGAAATGAAAGTCTTAATGCTCCACTGCGTAGTTTTTCCTCCCATCCATCATTGAGATCATAATATTCTCTTTCATTTTAAAAGATTATATAAAAATAAGACTCTTGTCAGATACTTGAAATTTGTCCAATAATTTTCTGTTTCTGTATCTCCTTAATGGATAAACGGCCTGATGTTTTTTTCTTTTTCTTTTTTACTTTCTTTTTGTATTTCCAATGAGGAAAAACACAAAGGCACATGTTGTGTTTTAAAGGCAGGCATTATAAGCTTATGCTTCAGCCGACGCCTTTTCGGTCAGTGTAAAGTAAAGTATCAGTTTGTACGGTACATTCTTTTTTTTGGAATATTTTGTGTTCCTGTGGAAATTATCCTTGTACAACTTTGTTTTCGATGCCTGACCGAATAAACTAAACTAAACTAAAAAAAAAAAAAAAAAACTAATATTGTAATTTCCGGGACTGCATTAGCTTCACAGGACAATATGTGGTCTTTGACTGTGGTCCCCAACTCCCAGCCTCATGGACATTTATAAGTCACATTCTAAGTCTATGACAACAATTTAAAAACATGGTGGAGGTAAATATTCTTAAAAGGGTCACATTTGTTTTTTTCATTTGGAGCAACTGTAAAAATTACACACAGTGGCTTTAAAAATATTATAAAAACCTTCTAGGCCTATTAAGAAAGTTTGGACGTGACTCACGGCGCCGGATCTTGATCGGCCAGATGAGGATGGAGCAGAGGGCCAGCGCCGCCACACAGGCCACGCCCCCTGTCACGGTCACCATGACGATGTGGTAGAACCAGACACAGTCGGGACAGCACACCACCGTACTGAGAGAGAGACACACACACACAGAGAAAGACACACACACACACACAAGTTCAGGGGGAGGATTCAACTTTTTACACAATATTTGGGTTATAATCAGGTTGTCGGGGGAGATGATGATAATGATGATGATGATGATGATGATGATGATGGAGACTCACTGACACGGGTGCAGGCTCTGGATCAGCATCACCGCGAAACCGTTCGCCACTTTGTCGGTGAAACTCATGGCTCCGTAAACGAATGCTCCACTTTGCTGCAACACAAATAAACATTCTCATTTCTCTCCTCAAATCTGTCCAGAGACACACACAGAGAGACACACACAGAGAGACACATACAGAGAGAGACACACACACACAGAGAGACACACACAGACACATACAGAGAGACACACACAGAGAGAGAGAGACACATACAGAGAGACACACACAGAGAGACACATACAGAGAGAGAGAGACACACACAGAGAGACACACACAGAGAGAGAGACACACACACAGAGAGAGAGACACACAGAGACACACACACACACAGAGAGACACACAGAGACACATACAGAGACACATACAGAGAGACACACACAGAGAGACACATACAGAGAGAGAGAGACACACACAGAGAGAGACACACACAGAGAGACACACACAGAGAGAGAGACACACACACAGAGAGAGAGACACACAGAGACACACACACACAGAGAGAGACACACAGAGACACATACAGAGACACAGAGACACACACACAGAGAGACACACAGACACACACACACAGAGAGAGACACACAGAGACACATACAGAGAGAGAGAGACACACAGAGAGACACATACAGAGAGAGAGACACATACAGAGAGAGAGAGACACATACAGAGAGAGAGAGACACACAGAGAGACACATACAGAGAGAGAGACACATACAGAGAGAGAGAGACACATACAGAGAGAGAGAGACACAGAGAGACACACACAGAGAGACACATACAGAGAGAGAGAGACACATACAGAGAGAGAGAGACACAGAGAGACACACACAGAGAGACACATACAGAGAGAGAGAGACACATACAGAGAGAGAGAGACACAGAGACACATACAGAGAGAGAGAGACACACACAGAGAGACACACAGAGACACATACAGAGAGACACACAGAGACACATACAGAGAGAGAGAGACACACACACAGAGACACACAGAGAGACACACACACAGAGAGAGACACACACACAGAGAGACACACACACACAGAGAGACACACACACACAGAGAGACACACACACAGAGAGACAGACACACATACACACAGAGAGACACATACAGAGAGACACATACAGAGAGACACACACAGAGAGACACACACACACAGAGACACACACACACACACAGAGAGACACACACAGAGACACACACACACAGAGAGACACACACACACAGAGAGAGACACACACACAGAGAGAGACACACAGAGACACACACACACAGAGAGAGACACACACAGAGGCCGAGAGATAGTGAGACACTCAGAGAGAGAGACAGTTTGTCCTGAACCTTCTCTTCCCTGTGTCTTCACCTCCGACCCCTGGACCTCCCAAAGCACTCTATGGCGAGCGTGTTGGAGCGTGTTCTTACCGTCTGGTCGAGCGTGTTCTTACCGTCTGGTCGAGCGTGTTGGAGCGTGTTCTTACCGTCTGGTCGAGCGTGTTGGAGCGTGTTCTTACCGTCTGGTCGAGCGTGTTGGAGCGTGTTCTTACCGTCTGGTCGAGCGTGTTGGAGCGTGTTGGAGCGTGTTCTTACCGTCTGGTCGAGCGTGTTGGAGCGTGTTGGAGCGTGTTCTTACCGTCTGGTCGAGCGTGTTGGAGCGTGTTCTTACCGTCTGGTTGAGCGTGTTGGAGCGTGTTCTTACCGTCTGGTCGAGCGTGTTGGAGCGTGTTGGAGCGTGTTCTTACCGTCTGGTCGAGCGTGTTGGAGCGTGTTCTTACCGTCTGGTCGAGCGTGTTGGAGCGTGTTGGAGCGTGTTCTTACCGTCTGGTCGAGCGTGTTGGAGCGTGTTCTTACCGTCTGGTCGAGCGTGTTGGAGCGTGTTCTTACCGTCTGGTCGAGCGTGTTGGAGCGTGTTCTTACCGTCTGGTCGAGCGTGTTGGAGCGTGTTCTTACCGTCTGGTCGAGCGTGTTGGAGCGTGTTGGAGCGTGTTCTTACCGTCTGGTCGAGCATGTTGGAGCGTGTTCTTACCGTCTGGTCGAGCGTGTTGGAGCGTGTTCTTACCGTCTGGTCGAGCGTGTTGGAGCGTGTTCTTACCGTCTGGTCGAGCGTGTTGGAGCGTGTTCTTACCGTCTGGTCGAGCGTGTTGGAGCGTGTTCTTACCGTCTGGTCGAGCGTGTTGGAGCGTGTTCTTACCGTCTGGTCGAGCGTGTTGGAGCGTATTGGAGCGTGTTCTTACCGTCTGGTCAAGCGTGTTGGAACGTGTTGGAGCGTGTTCTTACCGTCTGGTCGAGCGTGTTGGAGCGTGTTCTTACCGTCTGGTCGAGCGTGTTGGAGCGTGTTCTTACCGTCTGGTCGAGCGTGTTGGAGCGTGTTCTTACCGTCTGGTCGAGCGTGTTGGAGCGTGTTCTTACCGTCTGGTCGAGCGTGTTGGAGCGTGTTGGAGCGTGTTCTTACCGTCTGGTCGAGCGTGTTGGAGCGTGTTGGAGCGTGTTCTTACCGTCTGGTCAAGCGTGTTGGAGCGTGTTCTTACCGTCTGGTCGAGCGTGTTGGAGCGTGTTCTTACCGTCTGGTCGAGCGTGTTGGAGCGTGTTCTTACCGTCTGGTCGGCGATGAGCTCGGCCGTCATGGCGAGGGAGATGACCAGGATGGTGGCGGAGCCGGCCCCCAGCAGCACCGCGGCGCCGTACACTCTCTGCCCCATGTCCACGTCCAGGAGCACCCAGTACGAGAAGCAGAGGACCAGGACGAGCCCGAGGAAGTACGTCAGCTGAGACACACAGAGAGAACACACAGAGACAGGTGAAAACATCGCCCTCTGCTGGGAGAAGCTGACAGAAGAATGGAGAGAGACAGAGAGAGAAGAATGGAGAGAGACAGAGAGAGAGAGACACAGACGGACAGACAGAGAGAACACACAGAGACAGGTGAAAACATCGCCCTCTGGTGGGAGAAGCTGACAGAAGAATGGAGAGAGACAGAGAGAGAGAGAGAGACACACAGACAGACAGACAGACGGACGGACAGAGAGACACACACAGAGAGACAGAGACAGAGACGGACAGAGAGACACACACAGAGAGACAGAGACAGAGACGGACAGAGAGACACACAGAGAGAGAGAGAGAGACAGAGACTGACAGAGAGACACACAGAGAGAGAGAGAGAGAGAGACAGACAGACAGAGAGACAGACAGATACAGATAAAAAGAGACACAGAGAGACAGAGACAGACGGACGGACAGACAGAGAGAGAGACAGATACAGATAAAAAGAGACACAGAGAGAGAGAGGCTCAGCTGCTACTACCCAACGACAGATGCATTGTTCACTAGTCACTTCTCTACATGTTTTTGTCCGTGTTGTTATTACTCACAGATTTCCCGATGAGTTTAGAGACCGGCTTCATGATGAAAGACGAGAGAAACCCACTGAGATACATGACCAGAGGGATGGTGGCAATGTACTTCTGTAAAACACACAACTGTTACACACTATTCACCAACACTTTACAAACATCATTCAGACCAGAGCCTTGTAGAGATTCATACTTTTCCATCCCAAAAACATGCTAACCCAAAGTAAATGTTTTAACCATCACGCCGTTTCAGTAACTCATCATTTCTATATATTCAGTCTGTGTCGGAGTAAATACATGTGACATCACCTTGTCCAGGCCCAGAGTGTTGACCAGGTACATGGAGATGTAGGTCTGCGACAGGTTCACGATGAGCCGGGTCGACATGTACAACAGCGCCACCTGCAGGCAGAGGCCAGAGGAGGATCAGACTCACACTGACATCATCAGAGATATATCTAAATGTGTTGACAGCGCCCCCCTGAGGACAACAGCTCATTCTCACTGTGCAGTTAGTGAAAAGTGAAAAGAGCTTGTGCCAGAGCTGACATTTTGTATTTGTATTTTTGCACGGAGACATATGACTTCCTCTCTGAGATTATGTCGGCTGCTGCCGTCAGACGTCTGTGAAACAGAATAGTGGCCAAACCCGCTCCAGCAGCAGCTCTGTGTGTTCATCAGTGAGGATTTGTTTTAAATAGAAGCGGTGTGTGACGTGCATGAGCTGTTGAAGCATCGAGGACGATGGATGAAGCACAACTTATTGAAATCAATTGGAAAAAGGAGAGAAACGAGAAAAGAACATATCCAGGCTTTTTTGAAAGTGAGTCAATATTGACATTACGTGAAAAATAAACGGCAGATTTATGACCAAGAAATATTTAAATTTAATACGTGAAAAAAAACACACATTTGTTAATAATCATTATTATTAACAAACTCTTATAAACAGTATTCTGTGGTCCTGGTTATCAATACATGTTCTAGAATGTGGTTAATATATTATTCCATTGTCTTTTCAACGGAAAACTGACCCGACACGCGTCGACGGAACAAATAGGATTGTTTCTATTTCGTCCGTTGCACTCTGTGTGGACTGACGCATGTGTGAGGGAGCCACTTCCATTCACCCTCATGGAGAGAACGGAAACGTTTTACGCAGCCGGTGGAGTCGGGGCCTAAGTCATGGTTCTCGACACGTCTGGGTCTGGGTCTGGGTCTAGGTCTGGGTCTAGGTCTGGGTCTAGGCCTGGGTCTGGGTCTGGGGAAGTGAATCCTCTGTACATGAATGACTTCATCTAAAGAAGAGACCTCCTCCAAGTTCATGGTGCTGGTACCTGGTATAAGGAGGCTGTACCTGGTAGGAGGAGGCTGTACCTGGTATGAGGAGGCTGTACCTGGTAGGAGGAGGCTGTACCTGGTATGAGGAGGCTGTACCTGGTATAAGGAGGCTGTACCTGGTATGAGGAGGCTGTACCTGGTATGAGGAGGCTGTACCTGGTAGGAGGAGGCTGTACCTGGTATGAGGAGGCTGTACCTGGTATAAGGAGGCTGTACCCGGTATGAGGAGGCTGTACCTGGTATGAGGAGGCTGTACCTGGTATAAGGAGGCTGTACCTGGTATAAGGAGGCTGTACCTGGTATAAGGAGGCTGTACCTGGTATAAGGAGGCTGTACCTGGTAGGAGGAGGCTGTACCTGGTATAAGGAGGCTGTACCTGGTAGGAGGAGGCTGTACCTGGTATAAGGAGGCTGTACCTGGTATGAGGAGGCTGTACCTGGTAGGAGGAGGCTGTACCTGGTAGGAGGAGGCGGTACCTGGTAGGAGGAGGCTGTACCTGGTATAAGGAGGCGGTACCTGGTATAAGGAGGCGGTACCTGGTATAAGGAGGCGGTACCTGGTATAAGGAGGCGGTACCTGGTATAAGGAGGCGGTACCTGGTATAAGGAGGCGGTACCTGGTATAAGGAGGCGGTACCTGGTATAAGGAGGCGGTACCTGGTATAAGGAGGCTGTACCTGGTATAAGGAGGCTGTACCTGGTATAAGGAGGCTGTACCTGGTAGGAGGAGGCTGTACCTGGTATGAGGAGGCTGTACCTGGTATGAGGAGGCTGTACCTGGTATAAGGAGGCGGTACCTGGTATAAGGAGGCGGTACCTGGTAGAAGGAGGCGGTACCTGGTAGAAGGAGGCGGTAAGGAGGCTGTACCTGGTATAAGGAGGCTGTACCTGGTATAAGGAGGCTGTACCTGGTATAAGGAGGCTGTACCTGGTATGAGGAGGCTGTACCTGGTAGGAGGAGGCTGTACCTGGTATGAGGAGGCTGTACCTGGTATAAGGAGGCTGTACCTGGTATAAGGAGGCTGTACCTGGTAGGAGGAGGCTGTACCTGGTATGAGGAGGCTGTACCTGGTATAAGGAGGCGGTACCTGGTATAAGGAGGCTGTACCTGGTAGGAGGAGGCTGTACCTGGTAGGAGGAGGCTGTACCTGGTATAAGGAGACTGTACCTGGTATAAGGAGGCTGTACCTGGTATGAGGAGGCTGTACCTGGTATGAGGAGGCTGTACCTGGTATGAGGAGGCTGTACCTGGTATAAGGAGGCGGTACCTGGTATGAGGAGGCTGTACCTGGTAGGAGGAGGCTGTACCTGGTATGAGGAGGCTGTACCTGGTATGAGGAGGCTGTACCTGGTAGGAGGAGGCCGTACCTGGTATGAGGAGGCCGTACCTGGTAGGAGGAGGCCGTACCTGGTATGAGGAGGCTGTACCTGGTATGAGGAGGCTGTACCTGGTAGGAGGAGGCTGTACCTGGTATGAGGAGGCTGTACCTGGTAGGAGGAGGCTGTACCTGGTATGAGGAGGCTGTACCTGGTATGAGGAGGCTGTACCTGGTATGAGGAGGCTGTACCTGGTAGGAGGAGGCTGTACCTGGTATGAGGAGGCTGTACCTGGTAGGAGGAGGCTGTACCTGGTATGAGGAGGCTGTACCTGGTATTAGGAGGCTGTACCTGGTATGAGGAGGCTGTACCTGGTAGGAGGAGGCTGTACCTGGTATAAGGAGGCTGTACCTGGTATAAGGAGGCGGTACCTGGTAGGAGGAGGCTGTACCTGGTATAAGGAGGCTGTACCTGGTATAAGGAGGCTGTACCTGGTATAAGGAGGCTGTACCTGGTATAAGGAGGCTGTACCTGGTAGGAGGAGGCTGTACCTGGTAGGAGGAGGCGGTACCTGGTATAAGGAGGCGGTACCTGGTAAAGGAGGCGGTACCTGGTAGAAGGAGGCGGTACCTGGTAGAAGGAGGCGGTACCTGGTATAAGGAGGCTGTACCTGGTATAAGGAGGCTGTACCTGGTATAAGGAGGCTGTACCTGGTATAAGGAGGCGGTACCTGGTATAAGGAGGCGGTACCTGGTAGAAGGAGGCGGTACCTGGTAGAAGGAGGCGGTACCTGGTATAAGGAGGCTGTACCTGGTATAAGGAGGCTGTACCTGGTATAAGGAGGCTGTACCTGGTATAAGGAGGCTGTACCTGGTATGAGGAGGCTGTACCTGGTAGGAGGAGGCTGTACCTGGTATGAGGAGGCTGTACCTGGTATAAGGAGGCTGTACCTGGTATAAGGAGGCTGTACCTGGTAGGAGGAGGCTGTACCTGGTATGAGGAGGCTGTACCTGGTATAAGGAGGCGGTACCTGGTATAAGGAGGCTGTACCTGGTAGGAGGAGGCTGTACCTGGTAGGAGGAGGCTGTACCTGGTATAAGGAGACTGTACCTGGTATAAGGAGGCTGTACCTGGTATGAGGAGGCTGTACCTGGTATGAGGAGGCTGTACCTGGTATGAGGAGGCTGTACCTGGTATAAGGAGGCGGTACCTGGTATGAGGAGGCTGTACCTGGTAGGAGGAGGCTGTACCTGGTATGAGGAGGCTGTACCTGGTATGAGGAGGCTGTACCTGGTAGGAGGAGGCCGTACCTGGTATGAGGAGGCCGTACCTGGTAGGAGGAGGCCGTACCTGGTATGAGGAGGCCGTACCTGGTATGAGGAGGCTGTACCTGGTAGGAGGAGGCTGTACCTGGTAGGAGGAGGCTGTACCTGGTATGAGGAGGCTGTACCTGGTATGAGGAGGCTGTACCTGGTATGAGGAGGCTGTACCTGGTAGGAGGAGGCTGTACCTGGTATGAGGAGGCTGTACCTGGTAGGAGGAGGCTGTACCTGGTATGAGGAGGCTGTACCTGGTATAAGGAGGCTGTACCTGGTATGAGGAGGCTGTACCTGGTAGGAGGAGGCTGTACCTGGTATGAGGAGGCTGTACCTGGTATGAGGAGGCTGTACCTGGTAGGAGGAGGCTGTACCTGGTATAAGGAGGCTGTACCTGGTATAAGGAGGCGGTACCTGGTAGGAGGAGGCTGTACCTGGTATAAGGAGGCTGTACCTGGTATAAGGAGGCTGTACCTGGTATAAGGAGGCTGTACCTGGTAGGAGGAGGCTGTACCTGGTAGGAGGAGGCTGTACCTGGTAGGAGGAGGCTGTACCTGGTAGGAGGAGGCTGTACCTGGTATGAGGAGGCTGTACCTGGTATGAGGAGGCTGTACCTGGTAGGAGGAGGCTGTACCTGGTAGGAGGAGGCTGTACCTGGTATGAGGAGGCTGTACCTGGTATGAGGAGGCTGTACCTGGTATGAGGAGGCTGTACCTGGTAGGAGGAGGCTGTACCTGGTAGGAGGAGGCTGTACCTGGTATGAGGAGGCTGTACCTGGTATGAGGAGGCTGTACCTGGTATAAGGAGGCGGTACCTGGTAGGAGGAGGCTGTACCTGGTATGAGGAGGCTGTACCTGGTATGAGGAGGCTGTACCTGGTAGGAGGAGGCTGTACCTGGTATGAGGAGGCTGTACCTGGTAGGAGGAGGCTGTACCTGGTATGAGGAGGCTGTACCTGGTATGAGGAGGCTGTACCTGGTATGAGGAGGCTGTACCTGGTATGAGGAGGCTGTACCTGGTAGGAGGAGGCTGTACCTGGTAGGAGGAGGCTGTACCTGGTATAAGGAGGCTGTACCTGGTATAAGGAGGCTGTACCTGGTAGGAGGAGGCTGTACCTGGTATAAGGAGGCTGTACCTGGTATGAGGAGGCTGTACCTGGTAGGAGGAGGCTGTACCTGGTAGGAGGAGGCTGTACCTGGTATAAGGAGGCTGTACCTGGTATGAGGAGGCTGTACCTGGTAGGAGGAGGCGGTACCTGGTAGGAGGAGGCTGTACCTGGTATAAGGAGGCTGTACCTGGTAGGAGGAGGCGGTACCTGGTATAAGGAGGCTGTACCTGGTATAAGGAGGCGGTACCTGGTAGGAGGAGGCTGTACCTGGTATGAGGAGGTTGTACCTGGTATAAGGAGGCGGTACCTGGTATGAAGAGGCGGTACCTGGTATGAGGAGGCGGTACCTGGTATGAGGAGGCGGTACCTGGTATGAGGAGGCGGTACCTAGTAGGAGGAGGCTGTACCTGGTATAAGGAGGCTGTACCTGGTATAAGGAGGCTGTACCTGGTATAAGGAGGCTGTACCTGGTATAAGGAGGCGGTACGTACCTGGTATAAGGAGGCGGTACCTGGTATAAGGAGGCTGTACCTGGTATAAGGAGGCTGTACCTGGTATAAGAGGCGGTACCTGGTATAAGGAGGCGGTACCTGGTATAAGGAGGCTGTACCTGGTATAAGGAGGCTGTACCTGGTATAAGGAGGCGGTACCTGGTAGAAGGAGGCTGTACCTGGTAGAAGGAGGCTGTACCTGGTAGAAGGAGGCGGTACCTGGTATAAGGAGGCGGTACCTGGTATAAGGAGGCGGTACCTGGTATAAGGAGGCGGTACCTGGTAGAAGGAGGCGGTACCTGGTAGGAGGAGGCTGTACCTGGTATAAGGAGGCTGTACCTGGTAGAAGGAGGCTGTACCTGGTAGAAGGAGGCGGTACCTGGTATAAGGAGGCGGTACCTGGTATAAGGAGGCGGTACATGGTATAAGGAGGCGGTACCTGGTAGAAGGAGGCGGTACCTGGTATAAGGAGGCGGTACCTGGTAGAAGGAGGCGGTACCTGGTAGAAGGAGGCGGTACCTGGTAGGAGGAGGCTGTACCTGGTATAAGGAGGCTGTACCTGGTATAAGGAGGCTGTACCTGGTAGAAGGAGGCGGTACCTGGTATAAGGAGGCTGTACCTGGTAGGAGGAGGCTGTACCTGGTATAAGGAGGCTGTACCTGGTAGGAGGAGGCTGTACCTGGTATAAGGAGGCTGTACCTGGTAGGAGGAGGCTGTACCTGGTATAAGGAGGCTGTACCTGGTATGAGGAGGCTGTACCTGGTAGGAGGAGGCTGTACCTGGTAGGAGGAGGCTGTACCTGGTAGGAGGAGGCTGTACCTGGTATAAGGAGGCTGTACCTGGTATGAGGAGGCTGTACCTGGTAGGAGGAGGCGGTACCTGGTAGGAGGAGGCTGTACCTGGTATAAGGAGGCGGTACCTGGTAGGAGGAGGCTGTACCTGGTATGAGGAGGTTGTACCTGGTATAAGGAGGCGGTACCTGGTATGAAGAGGCGGTACCTGGTATGAAGAGGCGGTACCTGGTATGAGGAGGCGGTACCTGGTATGAGGAGGCGGTACCTGGTATGAGGAGGCGGTACCTAGTAGGAGGAGGCTGTACCTGGTATAAGGAGGCTGTACCTGGTATAAGGAGGCTGTACCTGGTATAAGGAGGCTGTACCTGGTATAAGGAGGCGGTACGTACCTGGTATAAGGAGGCGGTACCTGGTATAAGGAGGCTGTACCTGGTATAAGGAGGCGGTACCTGGTATAAGGAGGCGGTACCTGGTATAAGGAGGCTGTACCTGGTATAAGGAGGCTGTACCTGGTATAAGGAGGCTGTACCTGGTATAAGGAGGCTGTACCTGGTATAAGGAGGCGGTACCTGGTAGAAGGAGGCTGTACCTGGTAGAAGGAGGCGGTACCTGGTATAAGGAGGCGGTACCTGGTATAAGGAGGCGGTACCTGGTAGAAGGAGGCGGTACCTGGTAGGAGGAGGCTGTACCTGGTATAAGGAGGCTGTACCTGGTATAAGGAGGCTGTACCTGGTAGAAGGAGGCGGTACCTGGTATAAGGAGGCGGTACCTGGTATAAGGAGGCGGTACATGGTATAAGGAGGCGGTACCTGGTAGAAGGAGGCGGTACCTGGTATAAGGAGGCGGTACCTGGTAGAAGGAGGCGGTACCTGGTAGAAGGAGGCGGTACCTGGTAGGAGGAGGCTGTACCTGGTATAAGGAGGCTGTACCTGGTATAAGGAGGCTGTACCTGGTAGAAGGAGGCGGTACCTGGTATAAGGAGGCTGTACCTGGTAGGAGGAGGCTGTACCTGGTAGGAGGAGGCTGTACCTGGTAGGAGGAGGCTGTACCTGGTATAAGGAGGCTGTACCTGGTATGAGGAGGCTGTACCTGGTAGGAGGAGGCGGTACCTGGTAGGAGGAGGCTGTACCTGGTATAAGGAGGCTGTACCTGGTATAAGGAGGCTGTACCTGGTATAAGGAGGCTGTACCTGGTATAAGGAGGCGGTACGTACCTGGTATAAGGAGGCGGTACCTGGTATAAGGAGGCTGTACCTGGTATAAGGAGGCTGTACCTGGTATAAGGAGGCTGTACCTGGTATAAGGAGGCTGTACCTGGTATAAGGAGGCTGTACCTGGTATAAGGAGGCGGTACCTGGTATAAGGAGGCTGTACCTGGTATAAGGAGGCTGTACCTGGTATAAGGAGGCTGTACCTGGTATAAGGAGGCGGTACGTACCTGGTATAAGGAGGCGGTACCTGGTATAAGGAGGCGGTACCTGGTATAAGGAGGCGGTACCTGGTATAAGGAGGCTGTACCTGGTATAAGGAGGCTGTACCTGGTATAAGGAGGCTGTACCTGGTATAAGGAGGCTGTACCTGGTATAAGGAGGCGGTACCTGGTAGAAGGAGGCTGTACCTGGTAGAAGGAGGCTGTACCTGGTAGGAGGAGGCTGTACCTGGTAGGAGGAGGCTGTACCTGGTAGGAGGAGGCTGTACCTGGTATAAGGAGGCTGTACCTGGTATGAGGAGGCTGTACCTGGTAGGAGGAGGCGGTACCTGGTAGGAGGAGGCTGTACCTGGTATAAGGAGGCTGTACCTGGTAGGAGGAGGCGGTACCTGGTATAAGGAGGCTGTACCTGGTATAAGGAGGCGGTACCTGGTATGAAGAGGCGGTACCTGGTATGAGGAGGCGGTACCTGGTATGAGGAGGCGGTACCTGGTATGAGGAGGCGGTACCTGGTATGAGGAGGCGGTACCTGGTATGAGGAGGCGGTACCTAGTAGGAGGAGGCTGTACCTGGTATAAGGAGGCTGTACCTGGTATAAGGAGGCTGTACCTGGTATAAGGAGGCTGTACCTGGTATAAGGAGGCGGTACGTACCTGGTATAAGGAGGCGGTACCTGGTATAAGGAGGCTGTACCTGGTATAAGGAGGCTGTACCTGGTATAAGGAGGCTGTACCTGGTATAAGGAGGCTGTACCTGGTATAAGGAGGCGGTACCTGGTATAAGGAGGCTGTACCTGGTATAAGGAGGCTGTACCTGGTATAAGGAGGCTGTACCTGGTATAAGGAGGCGGTACGTACCTGGTATAAGGAGGCGGTACCTGGTATAAGGAGGCTGTACCTGGTATAAGGAGGCTGTACCTGGTATAAGGAGGCTGTACCTGGTATAAGGAGGCTGTACCTGGTATAAGGAGGCTGTACCTGGTATAAGGAGGCTGTACCTGGTATAAGGAGGCTGTACCTGGTATAAGGAGGCGGTACCTGGTAGAAGGAGGCTGTACCTGGTAGAAGGAGGCTGTACCTGGTAGAAGGAGGCGGTACCTGGTATAAGGAGGCGGTACCTGGTAGAAGGAGGCGGTACCTGGTAGAAGGAGGCGGTACCTGGTAGGAGGAGGCTGTACCTGGTATAAGGAGGCTGTACCTGGTATAAGGAGGCTGTACCTGGTAGAAGGAGGCGGTACCTGGTAGAAGGAGGCGGTACCTGGTATAAGGAGGCGGTACATGGTATAAGGAGGCGGTACCTGGTAGAAGGAGGCGGTACCTGGTAGAAGGAGGGTTGTCGGAGCCAGCACTTCCACTGCAGCAGCTCAGACAGGGAGGTGGTGGGAGAGGCCAGCAGGGGGCGCTGTTCCCCGTCCTCCTCTCTGCTCCTGCGCTCAGAGGTGCCCAAGTGGAAGAGCAGAGAAGACACCAGACCAATGCCCAGGACTATCAAAGCCAGGTCCTACAGAAGACACATGGTCTCAACGTTAGAGAGAGAGACCAGAGAGAGACCAGAGCAAGACCAGAGAGAGACCAGAGAGAGACCAGAGAGAGAGAGACCAGAGGGAGACCAGAGAGAGACCAGAGAGAGACCAGAGAGAGACCAGAGAGCGACCAGAAAGAGACCAGAGAGAGACCAGAGAGAGACCAGAGCAAGACCAGAGCGAGAGAGACCAGAGAGAGACCAGAGCAAGACCAGAGAGAGACCAGAGAGAGACCAGAGAGAGAGAGACCAGAGAGAGAGACCAGAGCAAGACCAGAGCGAGAGACCAGAGAGAGACCAGAGAGAGAGAGACCAGAGGGAGACCAGAGAGAGACCAGAGAGAGACCAGAGCAAGACCAGAGCGAGAGACCAGAGAGAGACCAGAGAGAGACCAGAGAGAGACCAGAGAGCGACCAGAAAGAGACCAGAGAGAGACCAGAGAGAGACCAGAGCAAGACCAGAGCGAGAGAGACCAGAGAGAGACCAGAGCAAGACCAGAGAGAGACCAGAGAGAGACCAGAGAGAGAGAGACCAGAGAGAGAGACACCGGAGAGAGAGACCAGAGAGACACCAGAGAGAGAGACCAGAGAGACACCAGAGAGAGAGACCAGAGAGAGAGACCAGAGAGACACCAGAGAGACACCAGAGAGACACCAGAGAGACACCAGAGAGACACCAGAGAGACACCAGAGAGACACCAGAGAGACACCAGAGAGACACCAGAGAGACACCAGAGAGACACCAGAGATAGAAACCGGGGAGTGACCAGAGAGAACAGAAAGAGGGACCAGAGAGACTAGAGAGAGACCAGAGAGCCACCAGAGAGAGAGAGAGCAGAGAGAGAGACCAGAGAGACACCAGAGAGAGAGACCAGAGAGACACCAGAGAGACACCAGAGATAGAAACCGGGGAGTGACCAGAGAGAACAGAGAGAGAACAGAGAGAGAGACGAAAACACCCTAAAATGCATTTCTTGTATATTGATGCGTCTTTTAGTCTGTTTATGTTTTTAAATTGCTCTTTTTTACACAAATTGTGCCAAACAAATAAATGATTGATGGATGAGTTCAAGACACAGTAGTAAAAGTTGTGCTCAGACTGCTGCCTCCACAGCCCGGCAACGGATCAAGTGGAAGTAAATAGAATAAACAAGAATTCTCAAATCTTTCCATTTTAAAAACTGGGTAAATTAACACAATAATAATTAACACAGCAAGAAGACACCTCCAGGCCTTTTTGTGTGGCGTTTGCATGTTCTCAGTGTGTCTGCAGGTTTCCTCCGGGTGCTCCGGTTTCTCACCCTGAAGACGGGGATGTCGGCGGGGCCCAGAGCGTCCATGTCCCGGGCCGCTCCGCTCTGCATGTGGAAGAGGAGGTAGGCCACGGCAAACACCGTGATGTTAGCTACCACCGTGAAGGCGTATCTGAAACCAGCAAGGTTACTGTGAGACCAGAGAGAGACCAGAGAGAGAGACCAGAGAGAGAGACCAGAGAGAGAGAGACCAGAGAAAGAGACCAGAGAGAGAGACCAGAGAGAGAGACCAGAGAGAGAGACCAGAGAGAGAGAGACCAGAGAGAGAGACCAGAGAGAGAGACCAGAGAGAAGACCAGAGAGAGAGACCAGAGAGAGAGACCAGAGAGAGAGACCAGAGAGAGAGACCAGAGAGAGAGACCAGAGAGAGAGACCAGAGAGAGAGACCAGAGAGAGACCAGAGAGAGAGACCAGAGAGAGAGACCAGAGAGAGAGACCAGAGAGAGAGACCAGAGAGAGAGACCAGAGAGAGAGACCAGAGAGAGACCAGAGAGAGAGACCAGAGAGAGAGACCAGAGAGAGAGAGACCAGAGAGAGAGACCAGAGAGAGAGACCAGAGAGAGAGACCAGAGAGAGAGACCAGAGAGAGAGACCAGAGAGAGACCAGAGAGAGAGAGACCAGAGAGAGAGAGACCAGAGAGAGAGACCAGAGAGAGAGACCAGAGAGAGAGACCAGAGAGAGAGAGAGAGACCAGAGAGAGAGAGACCAGAGAGAGAGACCAGAGAGAGACCAGAGAGAGAGACCAGAGAGAGACCAGAGAGAGACCAGAGAGAGAGACCAGAGAGAGACCAGAGAGAGACCAGAGAGAGAGACCACAGAGAGACCAGAGAGAGGCCAGCGAGAGAAACCAGAGAGAGAAACCAGAGGGAGAGACCAGAGAGAGACCAGAGGGAGAGACCAGAGGAAGAACAGAGATATAAGAGGGAGAGACCAGAGAGAGAGACCAGAGAGAGAGACCAGAGGGAGACCAGAGAGAGGCCAAAGAGACCAGAAGGAGACTAGAGGGAGAGAGAGACCAGAGAGAGAGACCAGAGAGAGACTAGAGAGAGACTAGAGAGAGACCAGAGAGAGGCCAGAGAGAGAGACCAGAGAGAGGCCAAAGAGACCAGAAGGAGACTAGAGGGAGAGAGAGAGACCAGAGAGAGAGACCAGAGAGAGAGACCAGAGAGAGAGACCAGAGAGAGAGACACCAGAGAGAGAGACACCAGAGAGAGAGACCAGAGAGAGAGAGACCAGAGAGAGAGAGACCAGAGAGAGAGACCAGAGTGAGACCAGAGAGAGAGACCAGAGAGAGAGACCAGAGAGAGACCAGAGAGAGAGACCAGAGAGAGACCAGAGAGAGACCAGAGAGAGACCAGAGAGAGACACTGGGGAGCTACTATTCCAAACGACTGAAACAACACGCAGAGAAAACTACGGAGAACATTTCACAGATTCCACTGATTTGTAGAAAATGTGACTGGATTCTTCTTCACGTCGTCCTGAAGCGTCCTCTTTGTCTCACACAGGTTTGAATAAGAGACAATAAGTGTGTGTTTCTGAACAACAACAACACAACAACAACACAACAACACACAATCAGCATTTGAGGAGTAGCTGCTCTCTGCATCCTACACAGTATTATACCTCACTCCTTTAACGGCCTAAAACCCAGTCCCTGTATTCAGCGAGGTCACAGTGCTTAGTACGTTTGCAAGTTCTTCCTGTGTCTGCATAGGTTTCCTCCGGGTGCTTCGGTTTCCTCTGCCACTAAAAACAACAGGTATAATCCTCCAGCTCTGGTTCTGACCACGAGCATCATCATCTGGAGCTGGGTCCCTGTTGCTACGGCGACCACTGCTCCTGACAGAGGCCCTCGTGTAGCTTAACCTGTCTGCTGTGAGGTGAAAGTGCTTGGTACCTGTATGCTGTGAGGTGAAAGTGCTTGGTACCTGTATGCAGTGAGGTGAAAGTGCTTGGTACCTGTATGCAGTGAGGTGAAAGTGCTTGGTACCTGTATGCAGTGAGGTGAAGGGCTTGGTACCTGTATGCAGTGAGGTGAAAGTGCTGGATACCTGTATGTGGTGAGGTAAAGTGCTTGGTTCCTGTAAGTGGTGAGGTAAAGTGGTTGGTACCTGTATGCGGTGAGGTAAAGTGCTTGGTACCTGTAAGTGGTGAGGTAAAGTGCTTGGTACCTGTATGCAGTGAGGTGAAAGTGCTTGGTACCTGTATGTGGTGAGGTAAAGTGCTTGGTACCTGTATGTGGTGCGGTAAAGTGCTTGGTACCTGTATGTGGTGCGGTAAAGTGCTTGGTACCTGTATGTGGTGCGGTAAAGTGCTTGGTACCTGTATGTGGTGAGGTAAAGTGCTTGGTACCTGTATGCGGTGAGGTGAAAGTGCTTGGTACCTGTATGCGGTGAGGTGAAAGTGCTTGGTACCTGTATGCAGTGAGGTGAAAGTGCTTGGTACCTGTATGCAGTGAGGTGAAAGTGCTGGATACCTGTATGTGGTGAGGTAAAGTGCTTGGTTCCTGTAAGTGGTGAGGTAAAGTGGTTGGTACCTGTATGCGGTGAGGTAAAGTGCTTGGTACCTGTAAGTGGTGAGGTAAAGTGCTTGGTACCTGTATGCAGTGAGGTGAAAGTGCTTGGTACCTGTATGTGGTGAGGTAAAGTGCTTGGTACCTGTATGTGGTGCGGTAAAGTGCTTGGTACCTGTATGTGGTGCGGTAAAGTGCTTGGTACCTGTATGTGGTGCGGTAAAGTGCTTGGTACCTGTATGTGGTGAGGTAAAGTGCTTGGTACCTGTATGCGGTGAGGTGAAAGTGCTTGGTACCTGTATGCGGTGAGGTAAAGTGCTTGGTACCTGTATGCGGTGAGGTGAAAGTGGTTGGTACCTGTATGCGGTGAGGTAAAGTGCTTGGTACCTGTATGCTGTGAGGTAAAGTGCTTGGTACCTGTATGCGGTGAGGTAAAGTGCTTGGTACCTGTATGCGGTGAGGTGAGAGTGCTTGGTACCTGTATGCGGTGAGGTAAAGTGATTGGTACCTGTATGCGGTGAGCTCGACCTTGGCGTGCTCGCAGCGCACCAGCTCTGGGATGAGTGACAGGTGAGAGATCTGCACCGCGGCCCAGCCGAACTGAAAGACCACAATGAAGGGAGCGAAGTACAGCATGGAGGCCCACTGCGGGGTGAGGGCGGAGCAGCCCAAGCACTGGTTAAAGATGAAGGAGAAGGACAGCGCCACACTGAGGGTGCCTGCGGAACAGCACCACAGGGTTAGACTATACAGGACAAAACACTGCCCTCTAGTGGTGAAGTACTCACCCACGAGGTGCCAGGTCTTCCTTTTGCCATAGTTTCCGCAGCCGGGTGTTCGGTCCGACTCGTATCCGATCAGAGGAGTACAGAGGCCGTCTGCGATCTGTCCCACCAGCAGCAGCAGCCCTGCACACAGACCATCATTCATCACTATAGAGAGCAGCGGCTCTACTCTAAGCTCCTTCATCATGTGACTGTCCATCACGCTCTACTCCATCCTTCAAGACTTGATGACCAGAGCTGAGGACCAGAGCTGAGGACCAGAGCTGAGGACCAGAGCTGAGGACCAGAGCTGAGGACCAGAGCTGAGGACCAGGCGTCTTCCTACAGTCCTGGGTTAAAATGGTCATATTTATATTCAACATTTTCTACATTCTGAGGCACGCACACGCACACCATCAGCACTGGTCTCGTCAATGATGTTTGTGTTGAGTGAGATTGGAACCAGACTGTCCCTGTGAGCCCTGGGAGCCCCATGTCCCTGTGAGCCCCGTGTCCCTGTGTCAGTATCATACATGAATAACATTTGGACTCTACAGACTTTCTGACTTGAACGTACAGACCTCACACGTCAGTAACTGTTTAAATGACAAAAACAAGATAAAAACAAAACAAAGAAAATCAATCTCAGTAAAAGTCTGGGTCAAAGTCTCAGATTTGTTTAGTTCAAGTTCAGCAATGTTACAAAATAAAAACATTCCACTAAAGACACTTTCACAACACGCTCCTCGAAAGGTTCACATCTCATTCATAAAAAAACTGGACAATTTAGGACTTCCTCACTTTTTGACACTGTTTTTTTATTTATTAGTCGTTGGAGACAACTTTGTAAATCTCAGGTTGAGGTGGAAAAGGCTCTGAACCAAACACTAAGTTACTTCTGCTTAGATTTTTTTTTAATAAGATTTCCATGACGTAAAATCTCAAGATTCCTCTCCCACTTAAGGAAGAATTCACACAATACTGAGACCAGAGAGACCAGAGAGACCAGAGAGACCAGAGAGACCAGAGAGAGACCAGAGAGACCAGAGAGAGACCAGAGAGACCAGAGAGACCAGAGAGAGAGACCAGAAAGAGAGACCAGAGAGAGACCAGAGAGAGAGAAAAGAAAGAGAGACCAGAGAGAGAGAAAATAGAGACCAGAGAGAGACCAGAGAGAGAGACCAGAGAGAAACCAGAAAGAGAGACCAGAAAGAGAGACCAGAGAGAGACCGACCAGAGAGACCGACTAGAGAGAGAGAGAGCGAGAGAGAGACCAGAGAGAGCGAGAGAGAGACCAGAGAGAGAGACTAGAGAGAGAGGCCAGAGAGAGAGACTAGATAGAGAGAGAGAGAGCGAGAGAGAGGCAGAGAGAGAGAGACCAGAGAATGAGACTAGAGAGGGAGAGACCAGAGCTAACCATTAAATCCAGTTCTTAGAATAAACCATGACTCTTCTGGTCCCTGGAAAAGCAATGTTCCAGCTTCTTCCCTCTGGCAGAAGATATTGTTAGCTGAGATGCAGGACATGCTAATATGCTAACAGCCATTTTTGTTGATTATATTCACAGTGACAATTGTTTCTTATACATTTTAGCTTGTTTTAATTCTGTACTTATCTGGTATACACACTGAGGACTCTCGTACGATTACTCCAAGGTGGTTTTACTGCAAATGACCACTGAGCTGAACCTGACCCATTGTAAAACCCAGTGATGGTAAAACATTCCTTGAGCTGCACGTCTGCAGTAAAAGTAGTTATATGTGCCGCAGAGTCACGCAGCAGTCACCATTATGGACCAGTAAAAGCGTAAAAATCGTTTAGTTTTACAGCAGGAAGTTCACAAAACTGCTTTAAACCATGAAGACAAACACAATTTCTAGACTTTCTCTCTTCCTCTGTTTGCAGCTTTACTTTTACTCATTTGTGGAAAGATTTGGGGTTAAATATGATAGAAATATTGTAAGTATTTTGCCCCAAGTTGTGTTTGTAGACACTAAATGTGAAGGTTTGGAGATTTTTAAAACAACATTGAGCTTCGTTAGTCCAGTACTCCGCATCATAGACTGTAATCAGATGGACAATGAAGTGCTCGTGGACGAAGTTTTGCACCAGGGCGGTAACGGGCCAACCTGTTGTTGTGTCCTTAGGCAACACACTTCACCCACATGCAGGGTATATGGTCTGTATGGTTTGTTTGTGAATGGTTGGTGGTGGTGGGAGGGGCCGGGATGAAAAATACCATGTGATTTATCTATTTGGATCCCCATTAGCTTACACAAGTGGTCTCTGGACTCTGGCTCTCTCTGGACTCTGGCTCTCTCTGGACTCTGGCTCTCTCTGGACTCTCTGGACTCTCTGGACTCTCTGGACTCTCTGGACTCTCTGGACTCTCTGGACTCTCTGGACTCTCTATTGTCTCTCTCTGGACTCTCTATTGTCTCTCTCTGGACTCTCTATTGTCTCTCTCTGGACTCTCTATTGTCTCTCTCTGGACTCTCTATTGTCTCTCTCTGGACTCTCTATTGTCTCTCTCTGGACTCTCTATTGTCTCTCTCTGGACTCTCTATTGTCTCTCTCTGGACTCTCTATTGTCTCTCTCTGGACTCTATTGTCTCTATGGACTCTATTGTCTCTCTGGCTCTCTCTGGACTCTGGCTCTCTCTTGTCTCTCTGGACTCTCTATTGTCTCTCTCTGGACTCTCTATTGTCTCTCTCTGGACTCTCTATTGTCTCTCTCTGGACTCTCTATTGTCTCTCTCTGGACTCTCTATTGTCTCTCTCTGGACTCTCTTGTCTCTCTGGACTCTATTGTCTCTCTGGACTCTATTGTCTCTATGGACTCTATTGTCTCTCTGGCTCTCTCTGGACTCTGGCTCTCTCTTGTCTCTCTGGACTCTCTCTGGACTCTATTGTCTCTCTGGACTCTCTATTGGCTCTCTCTGGACTCTCTATTGGCTCTCTCTGGACTCTCTATTGGCTCTCTCTGGACTCTCTATTGGCTCTCTCTGGACTCTCTATTGGCTCTCTCTGGACTCTCTATTGGCTCTCTCTGGACTCTCTATTGGCTCTCTCTGGACTCTCTATTGGCTCTCTCTGGACTCTCTATTGGCTCTCTCTGGACTCTCTATTGGCTCTCTCTGGACTCTCTATAGGCTCTCTCTGGACTCTCTATTGGCTCTCTCTGGACTCTATTGGCTCTCTCTGGACTCTATTGGCTCTCTCTGGACTCTATTGGCTCTCTCTGGACTCTCTATTGGCTCTCTCTGGACTCTCTATTGGCTCTCTCTGGACTCTCTATTGGCTCTCTCTGGACTCTCTATTGTCTCTCTCTGGACTCTCTATTGGCTCTCTAACTGGACTCTGGCTCTCTAACTGGACTCTGGCTCTCTAACTGGACTCTGGCTCTCTCTGGACTCTGGCTCTCTCTGGACTCTGGCTCTCTCTGGACTCTGGCTCTCTCTGGACTCTGGCTCTCTCTGGACTCTGGCTCTCTCTGGACTCTGGCTCTCTCTGGACTCTGGCTCTCTCTGGACTCTGGCTCTCTCTGGACTCTGGCTCTCTCTGGACTCTGGCTCTCTCTGGACTCTGGCTCTCTCTGGACTCTGGCTCTCTCTGGACTCTGGCTCTCTCTGGACTCTGGCTCTCTCTGGACTCTGGCTCTCTCTGGACTCTCTATTGGCTCTCTCTCTGGACTCTGGCTCTCTCTGGACTCTGGCTCTCTCTGGACTCTGGCTCTCTCTGGACTCTTGCTCTCTCTGGACTCTGGCTCTCTCTGGACTCTGGCTCTCTCTGGTGCCTGTCTGATTGTGTATCTTGTTTTGTTAAGTACTTTGAGTTGCCTTGTGTATGAACTGTGCTATACAGATAAACATGCCTTGCCCTGCACCTCTGTCTTCTCCTACAGCTCCTACACTTCCTCTGCAGTGTCCCGTCTCTTACCTGCGAATGTGTTCTTGAATCCCAGCACGTCATGGTAGAAAACCAGGAGGTAAGTGAACCACATGGAGGCGCACAGGTCGTTCAGAAAGTGTCCGACCGCATAGCTCAGTCTGCGGCACAGAGGCAGCGACCTGTCCGCGTCTGCCATGCTGCCCACCGCCGGAGAACAACTCTATCCAATAAAACTACTGTCCTACAGGCTACTACCACCGTCTTCACGGCATCCCCCAGTCTGTGTCGGTCTGCCTCAGTCTCGGTCTCTCCCTCTGTCTCCGCCTGGGTCTCCCTCAGTCTCAGTCTCGGTCCGCCTCAGTCTGCCTGGATCTGCGGCTGCTCTGGTTGTGGGTCTGACGTGTGACATCAGCCATTGTCAGCTTCCTCTAAAGTCAGGTGACGCTGACAAGACTATTATAAAAGTGTGAGTCTGCGAAACGACGCTGATAACGAAACCAGCGGCGCTATAGTTTAACATAGAGTTTAAGATTGACTTTAAAATGTCCGGTGTCAGCAAACTCCATTCTCTGGACGGGTCTGTGTGGAGGAAACGCGGGGGGTGGGTTTGAGAAGTAACACGTGTAATATTTCTGCTGTTGTTGTTAGCTAGTTCGAGCTAGCAGCGGCGCGACACACCAGGCAGATGTATGTAAACACAGGCCGCTGTTGATGACGTCACTGGAAAACTGACCAATGAGAGACGAGACGAAGACACTCCTCACGTGACGTTCGTTAGAGCCAGTTGTGGCAGGAGCACAGACTGTAAAATCCACTAAAACAGTGACAAAATCAAGGAATCATGAGTCTTATTATGGCAGCCTGGAAACATAACAGCAGTTTATACATTTAAGTAAATAACATTCATAAATCTACACGTTTAAGCTGTAAAACGGCAGGTTCTCCACGTTCAAAACCCCCGCAGGAGTTTGGAAACATCCGGATATCAAGAATATATCAAAAAAGTACCCAAACTTGTGAGCATAATGCAAGACTGTAATCATTTATATTATTTTATTTTATTTTTTTATTTTATTTTTTTTGTATTTTGTATTGTATTCTTGTTTATTATTTAGTATAACTTATTACTTATTTTTTTTAAATATAATGATGTATGTATAATGTAAATGTGATGTATTTATAGGTTTTAGGGACCAGGGGCCGTATTCCTAAAGATTCTAAGAGTCCTCTCAGAGAGCTCCTATCTTAACCTAAAAACTCCTAGCTAGGAGTCTTAGCTTAAAAGTTATTCCAGAACACTCTTATTTTAGAGAACTCTGAGCAAGGAATTGACAACAACTCTTATCTTAGTGAGGAGGCGTGGCCGACCCCGTTGCTAGGTATGAGTCATCATTTCAGACGCTGTGATTGGTTGATCCTAAAAGTTAGAGAAACCATATTTTTGATAATGGGCAAAATAAGGATCCTCTAATGGACAAACTCAATCATAGAATCTAATCTTAGGAATACTGTGTCATTGTAAATAATCAGAAAAGGTAGAAAGTCAGATGTATTTACTAATATTGTCTAACTTACTGTTGTAAGTTTGACTTTTACACCACATCATTAGAGCTTGCTCAGCACCAATTTATCACACATATTTAACAAACGTATATAACATGAGCACTTATATATATATATATATATATATATATATATATATATATATATATATATATATATATATGATTATATATAGATGATTATGATAACATTAGGATTAGTAAAGGCTGTGATACTGAAAGACGTAAAAGGAATTAAGGAAAAAATATTAATATAAGCATTTTATACATACACAAATCAAGTGCATGTTATTGTGAATGTTACTGTTGCATAACTGTAAATACACCATGGAATAAACTAAGCTGTAGCAACCACACTATTTAAGTTAATTTAGAATGATAGAGGGTGGGAGTTTAAAAGTATTAACTTCTTCACACTCCTTTTTGAACTGGATTGCTGTTAATAAAACAAAACTGTATATTTGTACATGATTGACTTTTAAACATGATTCCTGCAGGATCCAATCTGCAGCGTTTTACTGATTCACTGTCATCCAGTGTATAGAATATTTCTCCTGCCTCTACCGTCCACCATTTTGTCCTCCTTAGGGAACTTTTAAGTTGCTAAAAGTCCTCCTCTCAACTCTTAAGGGATCTCACCATAGGAGCACTCTTAAGAGCTAGGATTCTTTAGGAATAGCTTTTTTCTTAACTAGAAGCTACTCCTCACTTTTAGGGGAAATTCTAAGAGTTGGTCAAGATTCTAAGAAAATTCTTAGAATTTGGCCACTAGGAGCAACTTTTAGCACTAAGAATCTTTAGGAATACGGCCCCAGGTCTGCAAACTAGCTGTTAGCTGTACGGCCTATGAACACAGCATCGGTTCCTGTAACAATGCTTCTTGTTCTGTCCCTACCAAATAAACAAATAATAATAAAAATAAAAATAGAATAAATAAAAAAAAGCTTGTTTCGTTGTGGTTTTAAACGTCTGAAAACACACAGGCCTCTGATCTGAAGTGTGTTCACTGTTCGGTTTATCAGTTTCTGGACCTGACTTTTATGTGCACCATTTTTACTGTATGTTTTTAATTGTAAAGCGCTTTGTAATCCTGGTCTGTGAAAGGCGTTATATACATAAACTTTACTGACTCCCAGCCAGGCCTTTTCAGTGCGTTCTGCCAGCGTTTTCAGGTGATGACCCGACTTTGAAGTGCCACAGAATATTCATTTTTTAGACGATGTAAACACTAAGGGCACCAAATGAAAGATGAGCCTCTCTGCTTTAGTCGTTTGTTTCTACCTTTTACCGTTCTTGAGCGATTCGCCATAGAACATTTATATGTAAACAGGAACATATCGAGCAGAGAAGTGACTTTCAGGTGCATTTTTGATGCTTTAGTGACAATTCAAACATCTTAACACTTCAATTTAAAAACATGACTCTGAAATAATACTTTTTAGATTCAGTTTATTTGCCATTTGCAGTAAAAAAACCACATTGGAATACATTAGCAAAAAGTCTCCAGTGTGCACAGACAAATACAGACATAACAACATTAAAAGACAGAAATAAAACAAATAAAACAGTAATAAAACAAATAAAACAGTAAACAAATGTCACTGTTTTTCAACTTTGATGGCAAGTTGTTGGCAATTTATTCACAGATGGAAAATTTCACTTTTACCATCAACCAAAACGTCAAACAACAACAACACAGATCAATAAAAATATAAATGTATAAAATAGAATGAAGCGTGTGAATTTGAGCGTGTGTGTGAGTGTGTGTGTGTGTGTGTGTGTGTGTGTGTGTGTGTGTGTGTGAGTGAGTGACTGTGTGAGTGACTGACTGTGTGTGTTCGTGTGTGTGAGTGACTGACTGTGTGTGTGCGTGTGTGTGAGTGAGTGACTGTGTGTGTGCGTGTGTGTGAGTGAGTGACTGTGTGTGTGTGAGTGAGTGACTGTGTGTGTGTGTGTGTGTGAGTTAGTGAGTTTGAGTGAGTGAGTGAGTGAGTGACTGTGTGTGAGTTAGTTTGAGTGAGTGTGGTTTTTCAGTCCTCCCAGTAGTCCTGCTTCGTGTGGTAGAGGTTGAAACACTCTCCTGCGTGCAGCGGAACACGACACGCCGTGCACAACTTGTTGGTCTCCCTGCGAAGACCCCGGCGAGCACAGACCCGGCATCTTCTGGTCGGTCTCTCCTTCTTGCTGGTGGCCATCAGGGGTTCCATCTTATGCCTTTTAAGTTGCCCATCCAGCCGGCTCTTTGGGTCAACCATAGGAGCCCTGGGGTTGTACGTGCCCAAGACGGCCCCCACAGCAGCAGCACTCTCCTCAGCTCCTCCTCCCTCCTCCTTCCTCCTTAACGTCCAGGATCGTGCCACACCCTTCAAGAACTGCAGCAGGTGTTTGCACTCTCCTCTGGGGTGTCTGGCTCGATAGAGGACAAAGGCATTAAACATTGCCAGCTGGAACATATAGGCCACAAATTTTTTGGCCCAATTTGTGGACCGTCTGATGAAGGGGTAGTAGGCCACGTTTTGGTCCAACTTATCCACTCCGTTCATGCACTTGTTGTACTCCACGACACTCGCTGGCTTCTGCTTCTGCCCCACCTTCCCATTGTGTCTCACTATCCTGTCTCCAACTTGACTTTTTGTTCCACACACATTCGTTTTCTTCCCCAGTAAATGTTCACTGAGGGAAACAGAGTTAAAAAAGTTGTCCATAAAAAGTGTGTGTCCTTGGCCAAGGAGACGACCCAGAAGAGAGAAGACGGTGTCCTCCAGAGTGGAGCTTGTCCCGACATAAGGGAGCATGTTGTGGCAGTAGCCTGTGGCAGAGTCACACAGAATGTAAGACTTTATCCCGTATTTCACCGGCTTTTGAGGGTTGTAGACCCTAAAAGCCAGACGCCCCCGCCACAGCATCATCCCCTCATCGATGCAGATGTTTTCCCCTGGATTGTACAATTCTTTGAATTTAGTGACCAGGTAATCCAAAACAGGGCGGACTTTGAACATTTTGTCACCTACATCCTGTGACCAGTTATTGTTGTAACGCAGAAACCTCCAGATGAGCTGGTACCTGTTCCTCGACATTACTTGTGCAAAATATGGAGTAGCTTCAAGCTCATCCTCAGACCAGTACGACGCAATGCTAGGCTTTTTGATGAACCCAGTGATGAAACTGAGTCCCAAGAACCGTTTGAGTTCAGGGACCGAGAGCTCTTTCCACCTGTTACTCCTGCTGTGGAGCAAAGGCTCAGTGTTCGTCTCCAGATACTGGCTGGCATAGAGGTTCGTCAGGTCCACGATGTGTTGGAGCAGTTCCTCCGTCAGGAAGAGCTCCAGAAAGTCAGCTGGATCAGACGAATCCAGCTCCGCAGCAGGTCCCTGAGGTCCAGGAGTTCCTGTGAAGGGCATCTCACTCGGCTCCCACTCATCCTCCTGTCGGCCATCGTCCCCAGAGCCTCTGCGTGACGCACGGGCTGCAAAGTGGATAAATACAAAACTATATTATACACTGAATGTGTTACAAAATCAATCAATAAAATACAGTGAAGGCCACACTCCCACATTACTGACTGACTGCTTTGGACCAAAACAAGAGCTGTTACATGAATGATTGTTGTTCATCCATTCATGTTTGAATGAATACTGTTCAAAAACAAAATAAATACAATAATAACATAACATGTACTAATAGTATAGTATAATTATATTTTCCCATGGGATGTAAAAGAATATAAATAGTAGTTCTTTTGCCTTTTTTTGCACAGGAACCTCCTCTTGCTGCACCACCTGTAAATAATATAAATGTGTTTATCACTACACCAGGAGAATATACACAATAATATTTACAAAGGTATGAGGAGGATTATCTTCACCTCTGCTCCTGGCCCTGGCCCTGGCCCTGGGGGAGGGCTCTCTGCTTTTATCAGAACCTGTGAATGAAGAACACATTTCATTTAGTCAGAGCTATGTCCCTACAACCAGATGTTCAAGTATGAAAGAACTAAACAAAATAATAATAAATACAAAGATAAAACATTTACTGTGGCGTTTACTAAAGAAGCAGCAGAGATTTGAAGCTGTGTTACTAAGAAGATCAGAGAATATGCTGATCCAAAGGAAACTTGCTCTGGACAATTGAGAAAGAACTTACCTTCAGCTCGTTCAGGAGAGGATGCTCTGCTGGACTGAGACGGAAACCACTCATCTGATGAATCAGGATCAGGCTCACTGACGTCATCCCAGTCATCAGCAACATCAGCAGCATCAGCAGCATCAGCAACATCAGCAACATCAGCAGCATCAGCAGCATCAGCAACATCAGCAACATCAGTAACATCAGCAGCATCAGTAACATCAGTAACATCAGCAGGAGATACGCTCCGAGAAGCGGAAGGTGAGTCCCTGCTCCGCGCTCTTCCTCCGCGCACAGTGGGCTGCTGAGACAGACCTCCACTGGGGTCTTCTCTGGGGTCTTCTCTGGGGTCTTCTCTGGGGTCTTCTCTGGGGTCTTCTCTGGGGTCTTCTCTGGGGTCTTCTCTGGGGTCTTCTCTGGGGTCTTCCCTGGGGTCTTCTCTGGGGTCTCCTACGGGCTCTCCTTCACCGGGCTCTCTGCTCTCTCCCATCTCGACCTCACTCACGGTCAAACACTGAAACAGTGTCAGCTGTTTATGACTACTCTTTTTCGCCATCTCTCTTCTAAACTATCGCTAAACTACTCTCTCTCGCTCCGCTTCTCTCTACCACGCTCTCCCTTCACTCCCACGTTCCACTTCCTTTTCCTCTCCACTGACCTTTGACCCCACCTGGAGCGCAACACTGCCTCCTACCGGTGTCGATTGATCATTACAGGTACATTAGTATCATGTGGTGTCAGTGTTGTGGTTGTGGCTCGTCCAACTCGTCATGGGCAGTGGGCGTTAGTATAAAATAGAGCGAGTTTTGACGTCATGAGTAAATGCAGATGTTGACGTCATTATTCAGATGATCAGATTCAGACACAAACATTATAATTTCACTTTTACTACATGCTTAAAAAGAGCACTCTCTCTGAGGAGGCGGGATGGGGAGTGTAGACATGGACCCATTCATGTTATATGTGTTTATTTTGACTACTTTCCTCATCTCCAGTGTCCAGAGATGAAGCAGCAGCCCTTCATCTTCATCATCTGAATCTTCATCATCATCAATTCTCTTCTAACCTGGAGGTGGGTTTCTGATCACCCGTGGCTCTGTGATAATCAGACCTCAAACCTCAAACTGGACCAAAAAAAAGTCTTTCCTAAAATCATGTATGAAGTGATGTCACATGATCTGACATGAGCAGCTCCATACAAACTGCTGATTGGACAAAAGCAGTGATAACAGCCTCATATCACACACACAAGTCGTCAGCGTTGACCTCAAATCCATTTAAATGTGAGAAAAACACACATCAGTGAAAGTGTGAATCAGGTGCAGCTGCTCCGGACGCACACATGAAGCTATAGTTCCTCAAACCAAAACAGACCCAGCGCCCGCAACAACCTTCATTCTATTCTTACCTCCAAAACGTTAGACTGAAAACTGTCGTGTGTGACGAGGAGAAGGAAGAGAAAAACAAAACATTTATTAAAGTTTTGGGTTCTTCTTTGCCAGACAATATAAGGTTTTGTGATGTTATAACCCAATATATTCTCTGGTAAATGAGAACCTAATACTTTTAACTCTACTAACTACTAAAATATCTGTTTCTATTATTCAGTTATTGTCATCATGGGAAAATAGTGGTTTTATATAAATCATATACATACACACACACATGTATAAAAGTAAAATAAGAAATGGCAGAATGCAGTACTTTCAGATGGCTCTTGAAGGGACTAGCACGCGAACTGGGCCATGGCGCGCCGTGTAGAGTCAAAACGTACCGTACTAGGACTGTGGAAAAGCGGTATTAAAGGCGTCAAGTGTCCAATGACTTTACATTATTCAGTCCAGTCCAAGCTGGCGGAAACCCTCGGGTCGAGTGACGATGAGGGTGAAGTGTGTTGCTAAAGGACACACAGACAGCTTCACCTTCACAGCCTCAGCCCTCCCACTGTGGCACTCTGATCGACAGTGGTCTCCCATCACTGCACTACCCAGACCCCAGCCTGCTTAGACTCTGAGATCTGACAATATCTTTTGACCACGACATTGAACTTGTTCCCATCCAATGCCACACTTTAAAAAACGTAAACAAATCAAACAAATAATGAAACAGAAACTAGTCCCATTATTTTCTTTTTTTACGGTGACATCATTAGTCCAGATTGTTCAGCCCAAAGTGTCAAATAGTGACTCCCAGGGCTCTTTCTGACAACTATACAAAATATGGCATGTTTTCTATTGAGATGGAGACAGCATGTCGCGGTCTGATTCGCTCACATGTTTTACTTTCTGTTGAGACAAAAAAATGTATTAGTGATGGAACAAAAATATAGGTACCCCAGCTTTAACCCTTGTGCCAAGAGTACCCACCACAGAGAGAGAGGCCAGAGAGAGAGAGAGAGGCCAGAGTGAGAGAGAGACCAGAGAGAGAGACCAGAGAGAGAGACCAGAGAGAGAGACCAGAGAGAGAGAGAGGCCAGACAGAGAGAGGCCAGAGAGAGAGACCAGAGAGAGAGGCCAGAGAGAGAGACCAGAGAGAGAGAGAGACCAGAGAGAGAGAGGCCAGAGAGAGAGACCAGAGAGAGAGAGAGACCAGAGAGAGAGAGGCCAGAGAGAGAGAGAGAGAGACCAGAGAGAGAGAGGCCAGAGAGAGAGAGAGAGGCCAGAGTGAGAGAGAGGCCAGAGAGAGAGACCAGAGAGAGAGGCCAGAGAGAGAGACCAGAGAGAGAGAGAGACCAGAGAGAGAGGCCAGAGAGAGAGACCAGAGAGAGAGAGAGACCAGAGAGAGAGAGGCCAGAGAGAGAGAGAGAGAGACCAGAGAGAGAGAGGCCAGAGAGAGAGAGAGAGAGACCAGAGAGAGAGACCAGAGAGAGAGAGACCAGAGAGAGAGAGAGAGAGAACAGAGAGAGAGAGACCAGAGAGAGAGAGAGACCAGAGAGAGAGAGAGAGACCAGAGAGAGAGAGAGACCAGAGAGAGAGAGAGAGACCAGAGAGAGAGAGAGACCAGAGAGAGAGAGGCCAGAGAGAGAGAGAGACCAGAGAGAGAGAGAGAGAGACCAGAGAGAGAGAGGCCAGAGAGAGAGAGAGAGACCAGAGAGAGAGAGGCCAGAGAGAGACCAGAGAGAGAGAGGCCAGAGAGAGAGAGAGAGAGGCCAGAGAGAGAGAGGCCAGAGAGAGAGAGAGACCAGAGAGAGAGAGGCCAGAGAGAGAGAGAGAGAGACCAGAGAGAGAGAGAGACCAGAGAGAGAGAGGCCAGAGAGAGAGAGACCAGAGAGAGGCAGGCCAGAGAGAGAGAGACCAGAGAGAGAGACCAGAGAGAGAGAGACCAGAGCTAGCCATTAAATCCAGTTCTTAGAATAAACCAAGACTCTTCCCTGAAAAAGCCATGTTCCAGCTTCTTCCCTCTGGCATAAGCTATTGTTAGCTGAGATGCAGGACATGCTAATATGCTAACAGCTGTTTTTGTTGATTATATTCACAGTGACAATTGTTTCTTATACATTTGAGCTTGTTTTAATTCTGTACTTACACAATTACTCCAAGGTGGTTTAACTGCAACTGACAATGGTTTAAGTAGAAGAACATTCACTAGAGTCTAAATGGATCTAAATGACCCAGGACTCGTCAAGTTAGATTTTTTTCTAAATCTCTAAATTCCTCCTGACTCGCTGACGGTAGCACTTTGGTCAAATAAATGTGTCGCACAAATTTACTTTCGGTTTTGTTGTTGCAGAAAGTGTGTGATGGTAAAGCTCCTGAGGTCCAAACTACAGAACGTTTGTTGAAAGAGGACAAAGGGACAACTCTCGGATTACGTGTTCTTCCATAGATTTGTGTTGAGGCTGTTGTAGTCTGTTCATTGCTATTCACCCGCTGTCCCATTGTCTGTTTCATGGAGTGATGATGGGACTGGAACCCAACCTCCTCCATCTGCACCTGTGGACTGCCTAACCTGGTACCGTCCCTGCCTGGGAGTCTTAGATCTACAGCCTCAGTCCTGGGTCTACAGCCTCAGTCCTGGGTCTACAGCCTCAGTCCTGGGTCTACAGCCTCAGTCCTGGGTCTACAGCCTCAGTCCTGGGTCTACAGCCCCAGTCCTGGATCTACAGCCTCAGTCCTGGGTCTACAGCCTCAGTCCTGGGTCTACAGCCTCAGTCCTGGATCTACAGCCTCAGTCCTGGGTCTACAGCCTCAGTCCTGGGTCTACAGCCTCAGTCCTGGATCTAGAGCCTCAGTCCTGGATCTAGAGCCTCAGTCCTGGATCTACAGCCTCAGTCCTGGGTCTACAGCCCCAGTCCTGGGTCTAGAGCCTCAGTCCTGGATCTAGAGCCTCAGTTCTGGGTCTACAGCCCCAGTCCTGGGTCTACAGCCTCAGTCCTGGGTCTACAGCCCCAGTCCTGGGTCTACAGCCCCAGTCCTGGGTCTACAGCCTCAGTCCTGGATCTAGAGCCTCAGTCCTGGGTCTACAGCCTCAGTCCTGGATCTATAGCCCCAGTCCTGGGTCTACAGCCTCAGTCCTGGGTCTACAGCCTCAGTCCTGGGTCTAGAGCCTCAGTCCTGGGTCTAGAGCCTCAGTCCTGGATCTAGAGCCTCAGTCCTGGGTCTACAGCCTCAGTCCTGGATCTAGAGCCTCAGTCCTGGGTCTAGAGCCTCAGTCCTGGGTCTACAGGAAGGACAACGATGAACAACGTGAAATATGTTCATGATGTTTTTTATTCTGTTCGGTTGTTTTTAAATGGAGATAAACTTTTAATCCTCCAAAACCCAGAGAGAAAAACAAAGATGAAAAAAAAAGAAAATTAAAAATACAAGTTATTTTAAAAAATGACACTTGGAGGAAACGCACTACAGAACCTAAAAAACAAACTTTTAGAACTGAGAAATTAAAACAGAGAAAGTCTTTTACACAAACATCATTAATGCTTCGTCAGGCGGGACAGAGCTTTCCTTCTGAGGTCCAGGTCCCGAGGCCAGACCCGGGTCCCGAGGCCAGACCCGGGTCCTGAGGGTGCGGTGAGGCTGCAGTCTGTGCCTCAGCTGCAGCACGTCCCACAATCACAATAAGCTCCTCTGAACCAGTCAGTCAGGAAACAAAAACGTCTATCGATAACTGTTTGTTAGGTATCGATAACTGTTAGGCTGTGGGCGCAGGTCGTCCACCGCCGCCTGGACCCAGTTTAGTCTTTGTGGGGCTCCAGACCAGAGAAGGACCGGATCCAGGGCGAGACTGGATCCAGAGTGAGGCAGGCCCTAGAGCTGGACCAGACCCAGGGCAAAACAGGCCCCAGAGAGAGACCAGACCCAGGGCGAAACAGGCCCCAGAGAGAGACCAGACCCAGGGCGAAACAGGCCCCAGAGAGAGACCAGACCCAGTTCAAGACAGGCCCTGGAGCTGGACCGGACCCAGAGTGAGACAGGACCCAGGCGGGGGCCGGAGGAGCGGAGAGGAGCCTCTTCATTTGTGTCTCTGGAGAGCTTTCCTCTTCCTCCTCTTGAAGAAGCAGCAGCACCTGGAGAGAATCAGTGTCAATACTGTCTGCACAGAAATATCATGATTTGATTTGAAGACATGACCCGATTTATGTGAAGACCCACATGTGACGTCATCTGAGGGGAAGGTCCCAAAACCAGTTGTAGGAAAAACCCTTGCGCTACTCTCTGGCCCTCTGGCAAAAATGACCCGTATTTGTATTTAGGTTGTTTTTTAATTCCCAGTGGCCCAATTTGGGTCCCGAATGCTGCTGCTGGCTCACAGGGACACAGAGGAGAGCACATCACCCCTGTGCTAGCTTCACTTCACTGGCTCTGTCACATTCAGGGTTGATTTGAAGATTCTGATGCTTGTTTTTAAAGTGTAAATAGTATGGCCCTGGTCTATCTGACAGAGCATTTATCTCTGTATGTTCCTGTCCGATCACTGAAGTCAGAAAAACAGCTTTGGTTGAATGTCCCCGATCTCATCTCAAAACTCGAGACTCTCAAAACCCGCATAAAGACTCAGCTGTACGACTAGGCTCTGGACCCCCACTGAATTCTTGATTTCAAATATTGTACAGTAATTTCAGGCTGTTTTTTCCCCCTATTTTGTCAGAGTGTAACGAGTTTGAAACGCTGGGATTTGCAGAAAGAGAGCGAGAGAGAGAGAAGTGTTTGCAGCGGTGATATTAGCATGAATGTAGCTAACACCAAGCCCAGTGTTTCTTTGCTTCTAGCTAGCATCAGTTCTCACTTGGTGTCGTCGGCCACCTCCACCTCGGCGTTGGCGGTGATGGGGGCGTTCGAGTGCCCTGCTGTGGGGTCGTCTGTGTTCAGCTCCCCATTGGTCGAATTCATCACCTGCGGAGAAACAAAAATATTGTAAAATTAACATATTATAACATTGACGGACATTGGTCTCTTCTCCTTAAGGACCAATGTTGGAGCTTAGCGACGCATTCTACAGCCTTACAGCTACTTGTATTGTGTATTTTATGTGTGCCTTATGTGCTGTTACTGCTGTCCGGTATGTGCGCTGCAACATTGAAATTTCCTCACTGTAGGACTAATCAAGGTTCTCTCATCTACATCTCTTCTTCAGAAGGGTTCAAACCATTGTCACATTAAATAGACTGGCCCTGGAGGGAGTAGGGACCAGATCGAGAGTGTGTCCTCTGTTGTGAGTTGGCTGTGAATAGTTGAGATATCGTCAGTATTTGGGCAAATGCCTACTTCCTGTTAATGTTATACTTTTGTCAAATGGCATGGGAATGATTAATCTCTTCTGTGGTAATGTTACTAAGTATTGTTTTCTACATGAAGTCGTTCAGGTGAAGCATAAATACTGTTTTTCCGGCAGCATCAAAAGAGGCGTTTAAAAGCAATACGACATTATTCAAACAGCCGATCACTGCAGCTCACCACAACCACCACACCATCAAGCTCCACAGAATACAGCAGCAGAGACACACACAGCAGACACAGAGCCTGGTCCAGAACCTGGTCTTAACCCTGGTCTAGAGCTTGGTCCAGAACCCGCTTCAAACAGCAACACAGAACCAAGTTAAACTTTTTGGGATTTGCTCTAACTTTTTTTTTTCTTTGCCTCCCATAAATGATTGTGGAACAAACACGTGGAAAAGGCACAATGCTCAGGTACAACATGACAATATTGGATCAAATTTGACAAAATAAGTTGGTGAGTGTAAACCAATATACATTGAAGAATTGAAAGAAAGTCTCAGCAATGACAGTCCATTCTACCACTGTCCAGAGTGATAGAAGAATGGACGATTATAACACAATCCACTGCGGAGTTACAAGTTACAGAGAAAAAATACTGACTCCTGTAAAACATCAGTATCTGCTCCGTACTGTATGTGTGTACAGTATGTATATGTGTGTACAGTATGTATATGTGTGTACAGTATGTATATGTGTAAGTCTGTGTGTGTCTATATATATATGTGTATACGTGTGAAGAGGAGGCTGTAGTCCCCTGACAGGGCTGTAGAGGGCAGCAGACACACACACTGAGACACAGCTCAGTACCTGCACCGAGTTGAGGCCCCTGGGCACCGCAGAGGCTTGGGAGCCCCTTCTCTGCTGCAAGGGCCCAGAGAGAGGGGGGAGAAAAAGGGGGAGGGGAAGGGGAAAGTCAGAGAGAGGGGGAGAGAGAGGGGGGAAAGAGGGGAGTCAGAGGAAAATCAGAGACAGGGAGAGTGTGAGAAGGGGGAGAGGGTGATTAGTCAGAGAGAGACGGGGGAGAGGAGAGCCAGGGAGAAGGGGGAGAGTGGGGAGCCAGAGAGGAAAATCAAAGACAGGGAGAGAGGGGTCAGAGAGAGGGGGAGAGGACAAGGTGCCATTACAAGTCTAATCAAGATGTACCATCAAACCCACCTGTACATGAACTAGCATTTAACACTTGCACATTCCTTTTCCTTAGGAGCTCATTTTGGATCAAATTTGCATTAGTCCAAGTCATTAAACTCATTTTACTGAGATTTCTTCATGAAAACACTGGGGTTTCTGTTACGTCTATTGATCCGCTGATTTAGAACAGCGCTCTCTTTTTAACTTTTCTGTCTGAAAAAGCGTACTTACAGTTTTGTGCGATTTACTGAAAGTTTGCCATTTACCAAAACTTAATTAGAAGCAATACTTGGGTTAAAAAAGGCAGGAACAGCTCTGAGTTTGAGACAGGAGCATTTAGACAGAAGGGAAGAAGTCCCATGTCTGTACCAGTCCAGAGCGTCTCCAAAACTCACCTGGTTTTTGGTCTGCGGGGCCTTCTCTCTGTTGCTGGTCTGCAGGGGGGTCTCTGTGGACACGGGGCCGATGGGAGTGGGCTGCAGAAGGAAGTAGGCAGCGTTAGAACATGAGGCCAAACAAAACTTTCTCACATAGAGGTTCGACACGCGCACATCGCCCATAATGCTTTGCACCTCGTGTGTGTGTCACCCACAGAAGCTGTATGTAATAAACAGTGATTTGCAGTGAGATTTGAACCAGTCCTGGTGAGAGGGCTGAACTAAACGCGGATAAGTGGCGCCATCTGCTGGTCGTATACAGAACTGCACCCAAGAGCTTTTTCAAATCAACTTTTCAAAATCCTAATACTAGGAGATTTTTTTTAAGCTTCAGTTTTGTTGAATTTAAACTTCTGAGGGTTTATGTAAGATAACATCAGTCTCTTCTATGATGGTATTTGATCGTGTGCAATAATCCACGGCATGTAATATTAGATTTCTCTCACTGGGAAAATAAATGTCCTAGTTGCACATTACAACATATACAATACACAAATACAAAAAGATCAGGCAACGCACGCCAAAAAGTTCTTGATGAGGTGCAAATGTGTGGGGGGTCTCTGTGGGGGGGTCCCTGTGGGGGTCTCTGTGGGGGTCCCTGTGGGGGTCTCTGTGGGGGTCCCTGGGGGGGTCTCTGTGGGGGCTTCTGTGGGGGTCTCACCAGGGGCTTCCCGGTCCAGTCGTACTGATAGTCGAAGGTGAAGCCGTTGCGGTCGAAGAGGTCCGTGAACAGCTTCCTCAGATAATCGTAATCTGGTTTCTCAAAGAAGTCCAGGCGCCGCACGTATCGCAGGTACGTGGCCATTTCTTCTGTTCCAAACAAACAACGTGAGACACAAAACAAAAACAAAACCCCCTCAGAGATAAAGACTATATTTACAGCATCAGTCCCGTCTGTTTTATAAATTTCATCCATGATTTATTATTTCATTTTACATTTATCAGTAACTTTTAGAATGATGTATTTATTTGTTTGATTCATGTATCCATCTATTTCTATCTGTTTTATATTATTGCATTTTATTATGTATAAATGTGTAAGAACAAGTATGAAGAAATGTATGAAGTTTTTGTCATTAATTCATAGTTTTTAATATTTTTTTTCCTTTGGGGGGGGGGGAATATTTGTAAAAAAAAAAAAAAAATCTAAATCTGAGAATAATGCATATTTAATAAATGCTATTTCATCACAAAAAACCCACTCAAAAAGTATTCAAAACCAATCACACATGCCCTTTTCCCAAACTTGTTGATAAATGAAAAGGAAAAACAAAATCAGTTTTGCACAATACACACGTTATCCTCCCAAACTAAACGCTGTGGTTCTGAAGTTCCCGAACGTTGAAGTGTTTTTAAGGTCGTATAATAAAAGCAGGATACTGAGTCCCACCTGGAAAGCTGTCGCAGAGGACTTCTATGGGCGTGTCCCTCTTGGTGTCCCCGATCTTCTGGTATCTCTCCTTCAGCGTGTCGGCCTGGAGCACAAGGGACGGTCAGCAGCTGGACTTTTCACAACTTCAAAAAAAATGAGTTTGAAATGTTTCTCAAGCTACACAATCTTCAACAAATTTACCAAACTTCACCAGGGCCTGGACATGTAAGATGTAGAGTTAAAAGTTAAAAGTTCAGTGACTTTTCCAGGTTTTCCACATACCAACCCCTTCCACTCTACAAACCCTGGGTATACCATCATCCACAAGCTCAAAGGAAGTCCATTTGGCAAAAAGCAGAGTAGAACCAAACCAGACAATTCAGATTAAGATCCAGGTATGACTGTAATATCTGTATCTAGAGTCAGCAAATACTCAATAAGTACTGTGGCGAGGTGGTGTGTTGGTGTGGTGGTGGTGTGGTGGTAGGGGTGGGCGATATGGCCTAAAATTCCTATCGCGGTATGATTTGGGTCACATACGGTAGACGGTATACATCACGGTATAATTTGGTGTGTGAATTTCAATATAGGTTTAGCAGGTTCTTGCATAAAATAGTCAAGATTGTTACTTATCTATACATTAGAATCTGATATATATTTTTTGAGTTTGAAAATCAGGTGAGAGACAAATGCTGTAACATACATTATTTATGTATGTTACAGTAAAGACCATTAACTGTGAAAGCAATTTTAAATAATATAAAAATATAAAATATATTATATAATATCTGTAGCAGTTAGACTTTATTTTTATATTTATCATTATTTATAGTGTCAGAGTTTAGTGCGTATGCATGGCTTCAGTAAAAGCTATTGTTCGTTTACAAAGCTAGTCTTGCCATTTGTTGACGCTCCCTAAGCGCTTGCTGTGAACTGGATGATTCAATGGATTTATCTGCATTAAAACAGCGCATTTGATTTGAACAATTGATGTAAATGCTCATTTTGGCACAATTAATTTTGCTTTCGTGATCTATTGACCGCGGAAGTCTGAATCGGACGCTAACTTTACAAAACTTCTGAGATGATGCGGACACGGCACACGCATGGATCTATTTCGGCTCACGATGGCGCTTCGAGCCTACGCCCCTTTGACACTCATTGGCCGAAAGGTAGACATGTAAACTGTGATTGCTGTGTGTGTATTTACCTCTGCTGGGGCCGCTGTGACCAATACAGAGACAGAAACACGGTGTGAAAGCCGTGCTGTTGTTTCCAGTGGTGTCTGCTAGGCTAATGTGCTAGGCTAATGCTGCTGAATGCCGGTTTGTTTTGATGCTCTCTGCTGGCGTCAGAGCCTGCGCAATTTGATGACATAATGACCTATCGCAATATGCCGGTATAACAAAAATCTCTACCGTGGGCCAAATTTATACCGCATACCGCTTATACCGTTTATACCGCCCAGCCCTATGTGGTGGTGTGGTGGTCCTGACCTTGAGGCCCTGCCAGGGCAGACTCCCCCTGAGGAAGTACATGAACATGTGTCCGAGAGCCTCCAGGTCGTCTCTCCGGCTTTGCTCTGAAACAACAACAGCGTCACACTACAGCACTACACACACACACATTTATCTTGAGTATCAAAACATTTTATTTGTTCTGAGGGCTGTATCACAATGACGTTTTTGCCTTTTCTTCTTTTGTTAAATCCAGAGAGACCAATTCTGTAGATGTTTCATGTAGATTATGGCTTATTAAAGTTTGAGGTCTTTAGACATCACTTTGGAATGGAAACGGCAGCAACTCTGAAACAGTTGTTGTTCTGTATTCTCTAATCCACTGGAGGAATGCTATTTTTTATGCTAATGCAGAATTTCACCCTGAACCAAAGCAGTAGACCTGTCAGGTAATTAAGCAGTACTAGCTGTTTTTCACCCTTCTCCAGGTGTGTGTTAAAGGCCCCTCACCCTTCCTCAGGTGTGTGTTAAAGGCCCCTCACCCTTCCTCAGGTGTGTGTTAAAGGCCCCTCACCCTTCCCCAGGTGTGTGTTAAAGGCCCCTCACCCTTCCTCAGGTGTGTGTTAAAGGCCCCTCACCCTTCCCCAGGTGTGTGTTAAAGGCCCCTCACCCTTCCTCAGGTGTGTGTTAAAGGCCCCTCACCCTTCCCCAGGTGTGTGTTAAAGGCCCCTCACCCTTCCTCAGGTGTGTGTTAAAGGCCCCTCACCCTTCCTCAGGTGTGTGTTAAAGGCCCCTCACCCTTCCTCAGGTGTGTTAAAGGCCCCTCACCCTTCCTCAGGTGTGTGTTAAAGGCCCCTCACCCTTCCTCAGGTGTGTGTTAAAGGCCCTCACCCTTCCTCAGGTGTGTGCTAAAGGCCCCTCACCCTTCCTCAGGTGTGTGTTACAGGCCCCTCACCGTTCCCCAGGTGTGTGTTAAAGGCCCCTCACCCTTCCCCAGGTGTGTGTTAAAGGCCCCTCACCCTTCCTCAGGTGTGTGTTAAAGGCCTCACCCTTCACAGGTGTGTGTTACAGGCCCCTCACCCTTCCCCAGGTGTGTGTTAAAGGCCCCTCACCCTTCCCCAGGTGTGTGTTAAAGGCCCCTCACCCTCTCCAGGTGTGTGTTAAAGGCCCCTCACCCTTCCCTAGGTGTGTGTTAAAGGCCCCTCACCCTTCCCCAGGTGTATGTTAAAGGCCCCTCACCCTTCCCCAGGTGTGTGTTAAAGGCCCCTCACCCTTCCCCAGGTGTATGTTAAAGGCCCCTCACCCTTCCCCAGGTGTGTGTGTTAAAGGCCCCTCACCCTTCCCCAGGTGTGTGTGTTAAAGGCCCCTCACCCTTCCCCAGGTGTGTGTTAAAGGCCCCTCACCCTTCCCCAGGTGTGTGTTAAAGGCCCCTCACCCTTCCCCAGGTGTGTGTTAAAGGCCCCTCACCCTTCCCCAGGTGTGTGTTAAAGGCCCCTCACCCTTCCCCAGGTGTGTGTGTTAAAGGCCCCTCACCCTTCCCCAGGTGTGTGTTTAAAGGCCCCTCACCCTTCCCCAGGTGTGTGTTAAAGGCCCTCACCCTTCCCCAGGTGTGTGTTAAAGGCCCCTCACCCTTCCCCAGGTGTGTGTTAAAGGCCCCTCACCCTTCCCCAGGTGTGTGTTAAAGGCCTCACCCTTCCCCAGGTGTGTGTTAAAGGCCTCACCCTTCCCCAGGTGTGTGTTAAAGGCCTCACCTCACCCTTCCCCAGGTGTGTGTTAAAGGCCCCTCACCCTTCCCCAGGTGTGTGTTAAAGGCCCCTCACCCTTCCCCAGGTGTGTGTTAAAGGCCCCTCACCCTTCCCCAGGTGTGTGTTAAAGGCCCTCACCCTTCCCCAGGTGTGTGTTAAAGGCCCCACTCACCCTTCCCCCCTCCCAGGTGTGTGTTAAAGGCCCCTCACCCTTCCCCAGGTGTGTGTTAAAGGCCCTTCACCTTCCCCAGGTGTGTGTTAAAGGCCCCTCACCCTTCCCAGGTGTGTGTTAAAGGCCCCTCACCCTTCCCCAGGTGTGTGTTAAAGGCCCCTCACCCTTCCCCAGGTGTGTGTTAAAGGCCCCTCACCCTTCCCCAGGTGTGTGTTAAAGGCCCCTCACCCTTCCCCAGGTGTGTGTTAAAGGCCCCTCACCCTTCCCCAGGTGTGTGTGTTAAAGGCCCCTCACCCTTCCCCCAGGTGTGTGTTAAAGGCCCCTCACCCTTCCCCAGGTGTGTGTTAAAGGCCCCTCACCCTTCCCCAGGTGTGTGTTGTTAAAGGCCCCTCACCCTCCCCAGGTGTGTGTTAAAGGCCCCTCACCCTTCCCCCCTCCTCCCTTTTCCCCCCCCAGGTGTGTGTTAAAGGCCCCTCACCCTCCCCCCTTGTGTGTTTAAAGGCCCCTCACCCTTCCCCAGGTGTGTGTTAAAGGCCCCTCACCCTCCCCCAGGTGTGTGTTAAAGGCCCCTCACCCTTCCCCAGGTGTGTGTTAAAGGCCCCTCACCCTTCCCCAGGTGTGTGTTAAAGGCCCCTCACCCTTCCCCAGGTGTGTGTTAAAGGCCCCTCACCCTTCCCCAGGTGTGTGTTAAAGGCCCCTCACCCTTCCCCAGGTGTGTGTTAAAGGCCCCTCACCCTTCCCCAGGTGTGTGTTAAAGGCCCCTCACCCTTCCCCAGGTGTGTGTTAAAGGCCCCTCACCCTTCCCCAGGTGTGTGTTAAAGGCCCCTCACCCTTCCCCAGGTGTGTGTTAAAGGCCCTCACCCTCCCCCAGGTGTGTGTTAAAGGCCCCTCACCCTTCCCCAGGTGTGTGTTAAAGGCCCCTCACCCTTCCCCAGGTGTGTTTTAAAGGCCCCTCACCCTTCCTCAGGTGTGTGTTAAAGGCCCTCACCCTTCCCCAGGTGTGTGTTAAAGGCCCCTCACCCTTCCCCAGGTGTGTGTTAAAGGCCTCACCCTTCCCCAGGTGTGTGTTAAAGGCCTCACCCTTCTCCAGGTGTGTGTTAAAGGCCCCTCACCCTTCCCCAGGTGTGTGTTAAAGGCCTCACCCTTCCCCAGGTGTGTGTTAAAGGCCCCTCACCCTTCCCCAGGTGTATGTTAAAGGCCCTCACCCTTCACAGGTGTGTGTTAAAGGCCCCTCACCCTTCCCCAGGTGTGTTTTAAAGGCCCCTCACCCTTCCCCAGGTGTGTGTTAAAGGCCCTCACCCTTCCCAGGTGTGTGTTAAAGGCCCCTCACCCTTCCCCAGGTGTGTGATAACGGCCCCTCACCCTTCCCCAGGTGTGTGATAACGGCCCCTCACCCTTCCCCAGGTGTGTGATAACGGCCCCTCACCCTTCCCCAGGTGTGTTTTAAAGGCCCCTCACCCTTACCCAGGTGTGTGTTAAAGGCCCCTCACCCTTACCCAGGTGTGTGTTAAAGGCCTCACCCTTCCCCAGGTGTGTTTTAAAGGCCCCTCACCCTTCCCCAGGTGTATGTTAAAGGCCCCTCACCCTTCCCCAGGTGTGTTTTAAAGGCCCCTCACCCTTCCCCAGGTGTGTTTTAAAGGCCCCTCACCCTTCCTCAGGTGTGTGTTAAAGGCCCTCACCCTTCCCCAGGTGTGTGTTAAAGGCCCCTCACCCTTCCTCAGGTGTGTGTTAAAGGCCTCACCCTTCCCCAGGTGTATGTTAAAGGCCCTCACCCTTCCCCAGGTGTGTGTGTTAAAGGCCCCTCACCCTTCCCCAGGTGTGTGTGTTAAAGGCCCCTCACCCTTCCCCAGGTGTGTGTTAAAGGCCCCTCACCCTTCTCCAGGTGTGTGTGTTAAAGGCCCCTCACCCTTCCCCAGGTGTGTGTGTTAAAGGCCCCTCACCCTTCCCCAGGTGTGTGTGATAACGGCCCCTCACCCTTCCACAGGTGTGTGTTAAAGGCCTCACCCTTCCCCAGGTGTGTGTTAAAGGCCCCTCACCCTTCCACAGGTGTGTGTGTTACAGGCCCCTCACCCTTCCCCAGGCGTGTTTTAAAGCCCCCTCACCCTTCCCCAGGTGTGTGTTAAAGGCCCCTCACCCTTCCCCAGGTGTGTGTTAAAGGCCCCTCACCCTTCCACAGGTGTGTGTTAAAGGCCTCACCCTTCCACAGGTGTGTGTTAAAGGCCTCACCCTTCCCCAGGTGTGTGTTAAAGGCCCCTCACCCTTCCACAGGTGTGTGTTAAAGGCCTCACCCTCCCCCAGGTGTGTGTTAAAGGCCCCTCACCCTTCCCCAGGTGTGTGTGTTACAGGCCCCTCACCCTTCCCCAGGCGTGTTTTAAAGCCCCCTCACCCTTCCCCAGGTGTGTGTTAAAGGCCCCTCACCCTTCCCCAGGTGTGTGTTAAAGGCCCCTCACCCTCCCCAGGTGTGTGTTAAAGGCCCCTCACCCTTCCCCAGGTGTGTGTTGATGCTCATGTAGCGTGCGGTCCCCGTCAGGCTCTTGTGCTCTCTGTAGGGGATGTGCTTCTTGGTCTCGGGGTCGATGTACTCCTTGGCGAGCCCGAAGTCGATGATGTGGATGGTGTGCTGCCGTTTGGAGCCGGGACGTCCCACCAGGAAGTTCTCCGGCTTCACGTCTCGATAGATGAGGCTTCTGGTGTGTACAAACTCCATGCGCGTTATCTGGAAGAAGAGAGAGAGAGAGTATGTGGAGGAGTGAGGACTTCAGCACAGAGCAAGAGAGAGGGAGGTGTGTGGTCAGACAGTGTTTGGGCCTGTGTCTTTGCTTGTGTCGAGTTGTGTTGGAGCCAAATATGAGTCGATCATGCAGCCTTACACTGTGTTGACAAATCCCTGCATCCATCTACACCAGCCTCAAACAACAACAATCCAGTGAGTGTCTGAGTCCTGGATCTACAGCCCGTCCGTCCATGAGAGTGGATCTCACCCTCAGTTAGGTTTCTCACTTTTCTCCCACTGGGTTTTTAACAGTTGCTCCATCTTGGTCTTCAATTGGTGCAAAATGCTGCAGCTCGTTTTTTAACAAACACTCCCAGACGTCAGCACATCACCCCAGTCCTTTTTTCTTTACATTGGCTTCCAGTTTCTTTTAGAGTTGATTTTAAAATTCTTCTTTTTGTTTTTAAAGCCCTCAATGGTCTTGCCCCTTCATACCTGTCTGAACTTTTGACTATTCGTGACTCGGGCAGGTCCTTGAGGTCGTCAAATCAGCTCTTGCTGGAAGTGCCTAGGACCAAGTCCAAGCGTTGGGGTGATCGGTCCTTTTCAGTCGCTGGACCCAGACTCTGGAATAAGCTGCCCCCTGAAATGCGCACCATCACTGATCTTGGCCTTTTTAAATCCAGGCTCAAGACACATTTATTCAGACTGGCTTTTAACATTCAGTAACATTCAGTTTTTTTTTTTTTTATCTTACTGTTCTATTTTTATTTTGGTTTGAATGAATGTTTTTAATGCATTTTATGTGATTTTATTGTAAAGCACTTTGGTCGCCTTGAGTGTTGTAAAGGGCTCTATAAATAAAATTTGATTGATTGATTGGTATTAATGGACATTGGACTCTTGGACTGTGGATGTCATTTCTATCATTGCATTTCCGGTGTTTGATTCTCTGATCTGTGTTGGCGAATCAAAGATGACTTGTGATTTAAGACGATACAAAAATACGTTGAATTAAAGAAGAAACCACAGCTTTCTACATTGACAACCGGAGCGGAGAGAGAGAAGCCGTCTGCTTAGAGCTCGGGACAACTATGGACCAGTGACACAGGTTTTGATTTAAGGCTCAACTTTGTCCCCTCAGGGAAACAGTGTCTTGGTCTCACTGCTAAAACCTGCCTCACCCGCACTACACAACACCACAGAGCCTCCAGAGCGGTCTTACCAGTTGTATGGCTATCATGAGGACTGTCTTGAGGGAGAAGGTCCGGTCGCAGAGGTCAAACAGGTCTTCTAAACTGGGCCCCAGCAGCTCCAGCACCATGGCGTTGTACTTCCCACAGGGGCCAAAGTAGAACACCTGCGGGACCCCCTCTGCAACAACAGCAGCTGGTTACACTCACGCAGCTCTACACAGTTTGGTGATTTCATTATGATCTTTGACTGTGATTGGACGTCTGGCACCGGTCACTGATGGATCCTCACCTGAACTCCCGAGCTGTTTGTAGAAGCGATATTCTAGATGAAGCTGCGGCGCTCGAGACTTGATTGGTTCCTGAAACAAGAAGATATTGATTCAACATTTTGATTTTCATGTATGGCCTTTTACAGGTTTTGTACTCTCATGGAGGCGACGTTATGTTATTATACTGTCGGTCAAACTTAAAGGAGCAGTATGTAAAAATGTGTCCAAAAGTGGTACTGCAGCCTCTCCCACTCTCCCTGACTCAGGTTGCCAGATATGCAGACGAATCCAGCTGGGACCATAACAGCTGAATAGACGAGAGTTTTGTCAACAACTTACAAAAATCTGACATATTGCTACTTTAAAAAGCCAAATTTAACAACAAGAGCTGATCAGACCAGATTCAGATGCAGTTTATTTACCAGTTGCAGTGGACGTAATGGCAAATCAACTGCATCTGAATCTTTTAAAAGTAGGAACACGTGTGAGATGTGCCCAGTGTGCCCCAGACAGACACCAGAGGAGGTGGCCATAGTTTAAAAGTGGTTTAGTTTTATCTGATTTTTTGACATTATGAAAACATTGTGACAAATGTCTTAATTTTATATGTTAAGATTTTTCAGAACAAAATTAGTTTAGAGGTCAATGTTTTTTTTTCATATTTCACTGTTTAACTTCTAATTTTACGGGTTTTGTGGTTCAAATTTCACAATAAAATACGAGATTTGCTCTAAAATGATGTACAACATAGCATAGCAGCAGAAGTAGTAGAAGGTGGTAATAAAAATAATAATAATAATTGAAAATCATTTTGTGTGACGTTTGCATGTTTACTCCAGGTGCTCCGGTTTACTCCAGGTGCTCCGGTTTACTCCAGGTGCTCCGGTTTCTCCTACCCCTGAGACATATACTATAGTCCCCTCACCAGTTTGATGGCCACGTATTCGTTGGTGTAGAGGTTCTTGCCCAGACGCAGCTCTCCAAAGTTCCCGCAGCCGATCTTCTTCCCGACCCTGAAGTTGGGCCCCACCATGAGGACGCCCGAGTTGGAGCCGGTGCCGCGCCCGCTGTGTCCGGACCGACTCGCCGCTTTCCCCGACATCCTCTTGCCCCCGTCCTCCCCCTCGGCCGCCTTGCCCCCTCCTCCCCCACCGCCGCCTCCCCCACCGCCCCCGCCTCCCCCGCCCACGCCGCGCTTGTCAAAGTCCATCAGCTTGTGGTAGCCCGGCTTCTCCACGGTTAGGCCAATTCCATGCAACCCAAGGGACCAGCGGGATGACCGACTCGCGGCCTGGGTAGTTTCACTGTGAGGGCGAGCGTGGAGCTAAAACCTGGTGTAGCGATTGGTTGTGCGTTTAAAGAATAAGAAAATACTATAAAAAAAGCTAACTTAGAGATGTTGAATCAGAGGTAACCGCGCTAACGACGCCGGAGACAAAGCAAAAAGATGGAATGGTTTGGTGGAGCAGTGGAGCCGGGATGAGAGCTCCCCCTGGAGGGGCCAGAGATGAGGATGGGAGGGCAGCTAGCCGTACGCTAACATGCTCGATTGTGGAGCGGAGAGGCTGTGCTAGCTCTGGGCTCCGCGCCAACGCTGCGTTGCCATGTAAGAGAGGAGACGTGTCAGCGGGTCCAGACAAATGGGGTCCGAGCATCCGCCAGACTCCTCCTGCAACAACAAGACGGCAGCGTCAGAAATCAGGAAATATGAAAAGGTGGAGATAGAACATTATACGGTGAGGAAGAGAACCATTTAAAAGCTGGGATGCCTGACTTTCAAACACCAAAAAACGTACTTTCTGGATTATAAGGCACACCTGTATATAAGCCGCACCAGCAACATTTGAAAAGAAAATCGATTTTGTCCACACATAAGCAGGTTTTATGTTGAAATGTAGCAGAGACCATTTTAACTGGACACAACAGGATTTAATGACGAGGCGTTTAACAACTTCAGCTTCCATGATGCATTTCACCAGAATATTCTGACAATAAACAGTCTCCTGTAGCTGCTACAACTGATGGAGTCCATAAACAATGCTTTGACATCAGCCTAACTCTACAGCTCTACTAAACACACACATATGGGCTGCACGGATCAAAGAACAATCCACACTTCTGTTGATTTACAGATTTCATACATTTTTTTGTAGCAATTTGGTTTCATTGTTTAGAGCAGAAGTCAGAAACCTACGGCTCTGTAGACAGATATGATTGTGTCTGTAAAAATGTTTGGATTACGTCATTATAATTTTTTTTATGAAAACAAAAGAACACATCCTGAGTCTAATGTTACACTGTAAACGTTTTGATGTTTTAACAAATCGCATATTCACAGTAAAGAAAGGGGTCCGGCTCCCCCTCTGGTTTAGAGGCAAACTAACATAATTCGGTATAGAAGCAAATCAGCAGAATGGAAAGACGTTAAGGCGGGAGCTGCTTTTTAACATCTCTTGTTCTATCACTACTTTTCACAAACTAGTGACAAATAGAAGACCGACCTCACTCAGACTATCAGCTTTGACCCAAATCAAAATCAAAACCCACAGATGAAGCTATAAAGCTGTTTAAATGAGATTAAAACCATCACAGATTCAGTGCAGACGATGCAGAAGTGGAACATGTTTGTACGAGAGACTTTCTATTTGAACTATTTAAAACTCTGCTGCTTTCAATCCTGTGCTGTCATTTCCACACCCCACACCCAGACACACACACCTATAAATCTTTCAGTATTTGGTCCAAACAGCCGTCTCCACCATTGTACTATTAATGGTCAGAGTAATGGTCATCTTTGCGGCCGCTCCCACCACTTCCTGCTCCGTCCATTCACCTTCATTATGTCCTGTCTTCCATTTCCTGTTCAAAAAGCTCCTTAGCAGGCGGATGCTCGGATCTATCCTCCCACTGCGCAGCCAATCACAGGCCTCCCTTTCTGGCTCTGAAGTCACTGGACTGATCCGGTCTGATGTAGAAAAGCACCCACTTTCCAAAGACCCAACATTGTTCGTAAAAAGGCAAAGATCATGATGTATGTTGTTGAAAAGTAAAGTATATAGTTACATTTGTGCAGCTCTACATGACAACAGCAGGGTTTGAACAAAGGCAATACAATAAAAACACACACATAGGAGCCATTGGTGCTGGGGAGAGGGAGAACCACCGTCTAGAAATGTTAATAAATATCCAGGATCCAGTTGCATCGGCCAGGAACTCAAAAAACACAGTGGGAAAAAGTGAGAAACCTTGAGAAGACCCACATTGATCCAGGACTCAGGCTGTAGAACGAGGACTGAGGCTGTAGATCCAAGACTCAGGCTGTAGATCCAAGACTGAGGCTGTAGACCCAGGACTGAGGCTGTAGATCCAGGACTGAGGCTGTAGACCCAGGACTGAGGCTGTAGACCCAGGACTGAGGCTGTAGACCCAGGACTGAGGCTGTAGACCCAGGACTGAGGCTGTAGATCCAGGACTGAGGCTGTAGATCCAGGACTGAGGCTGTAGACCCAGGACTGAGGCTGTAGACCCAGGACTGAGGCTGTAGACCCAGGACTGAGGCTGTAGACCCAGGACTGAGGCTGTAGACCCAGGACTGAGGCTGTAGACCCAGGACTGAGGCTGTAGATCCAAGACTGAGGCTGTAGACCCAGGACTGAGGCTGTAGACCCAGGACTGAGGCTGTAGACCCAGGACTGAGGCTGTAGACCCAGGACTGAGGCTGTAGACCCAGGACTGAGGCTGTAGACCCAGGACTGAGGCTGTAGACCCAGGACTGAGGCTGTAGACCCAGGACTGAGGCTGTAGACCCAGGACTGAGGCTGTAGACCCAGGACTGAGGCTGTAGACCCAGGACTGAGGCTGTAGATCCAAGACTGAGGCTGTAGAACGAGGACTGAGGCTGTAGATCCAAGACTCAGGCTGTAGAACGAGGACTGAGGCTGTAGATCCAAGACTCAGGCTGTAGATCCAAGACTGAGGTTGTAGATCCAAGACTGAGGTTGTAGAACGAGAACTGAGGCTGTAGATCCAAGACTGAGGCTGTGGACCCAGGACTGAGGCTGTAGATCCAGGACTGAGGCTGTAGACCCAGGACTGAGGCTGTAGACCCAGGACTGAGGCTGTAGACCCAGGACTGAGGCTGTAGACCCAGGACTGAGGCTGTAGACCCAGGACTGAGGCTGTAGACCCAGGACTGAGGCTGTAGACCCAGGACCGAGGCTGTAGACCCAGGACTGAGGCTGTCGATCCAGGACTGAGGCTGTAGACCCAGGACTGAGGCTGTAGACCCAGGACTGAGGCTGTAGACCCAGGACTGAGGCTGTAGACCCAGGACCGAGGCTGTAGACCCAGGACCGAGGCTGTAGACCCAGGACTGAGGTTGTCGATCCAGGACTGCTTCTAAAAATAATGCCTGGCTTGTCTCTGATATATAAAACCATTATCCCAGCATCGGTGCATTTAGAAAACGTTCAGAGACAGAACAACCTGCAGTCACACACACACTGATTATTGCCTCGCGCCATTAGTATCGTTAGCGCCATTAGCGTCATTAGCATCAGGTCTGGGCAGTAGAGGTATGTGGAGGCTGAATGTAGTATTCAGGAGTCCTGGCCACAGAAGGAGGCCACGGGAGTTTTCACCAACAGGAGAACAGGGAAAACACTTTAGCTAGTAAACATTACAGCTACTTGTATTGTGTGTGTTGTGTGCCCTTTGTGTGTTCTTACTACTGTCCTACAACACTGACATTTCCCCACTGTGTGACAAATAAATATTCTCTTATCTAACCACAGAAAACTCAAAAAGCAAGGTATAAAAGTAATAAATAAAGCGCCTTTGCAAATGTGGTCATGTCTCTGACTCCACACAGAGATGAGAGCGAGGTCGTGGTACTGGAGGTGCGTGACAAGACCTATTGTACAGGTTTTTAATGGTAGGGGAAACCGGAGCGCCCAGAGGAAACCTACGCAGACACTTCAAGAATCTATTTTCCATTTGAAGTAAAACCACATTGGGAAAAACTGTGCAGGATTACAGCAGTGTGCCCCAGGATAGCACACACCAGGGCTCTTTCCAAGACGCCACGGGAAGAACATGCAAACTCCACACAGAAAGCTCTGGAGGTGGAATCAAACCCAGAACCTTCTCGCTGTGAATCACAAGAGCTAACCACTGCGCCACTGTATGCAAGGGTTTCCCAGAGGATGCAAAAGGGACAAAACAATTCAGAAAAAGTAGATTCCCATTTGTTTTCTAACCACACAAAAGAAATGAGTCTGATTCTGATCAATTTGACAGTTGATAAAAAATATTCCAATGTCAAACTAACTTTCCAGGAGAGAGAGAGAGATGCACTTTATTATCTCACAATGGAGAAATTCAGTCAAGTCAGTCAAATTGAGCACAACCGTTTATATGAAGAAAACTATTTACAAATCAGGAACAAATAAACTGGAGCCAACACGGCGGAGCTGAAAAATGGCCTATAGGCATCTGTCTTTAATTAGTCCATCTGCCGCAGGTCGAGGGCAGTTTTTTCCACTCCACAAAGAGCTTTGTCAACAGAAATCAATACAGCTTCATGTGCGAGAGAGAGAGAGAGAGAGAGAGTCCCCACGCTGGGGTCGGACGCTTTCAAATGTCCACAGAGCGATTATCAGGAGCAGAAAACCACAGAACAGCGGCAAGTCTGAAGCCACCGAGGGCTGTAATTAACCATTGTTTCCATCATTACCCAAAGGTCAATGAATGTGGGATTTTATCTAGATTTCACAAACAAAGCTCTGGTGATGCCCCTGGAGAGAGTCTACACAGATATCGGGTTGTTTGGTTAAAAAAAAAACTCTTTGTAAACTTATTATTATTGATCTACAGCCTCGGTCCCGGGTCTACAGCCTCGGTCCCGGGTCTACAGCCTCGGCCCCGGGTCTACAGCCTCGGCCCCGGGTCTACAGCCTCGGCCCCGGGTCTACAGCCTCGGTCCCGGGTCTACAGCCTCGGTCCCGGGTCTACAGCCTCGGTCCCGGGTCTACAGCCTCGGTCCCGGGTCTACAGCCTCGGTCCCGGGTCTACAGCCTCGGCCCCGGGTCTACAGCCTCGGCCCCGGGTCTACAGCCTCGGCCCCGGGTCTACAGCCTCGGCCCCGGGTCTACAGCCTCGGCCCCGGGTCTACAACCTCGGCCCCGGGTCTACAGCCTCGGTCCCGGGTCT